TTACGTAATACACCCCTTTTGCTGTTGCGAACTGCTGCGAGTTGCCTCCGGTAAAGAAGGGGTCTGTCTGATATCCGTGGGAAATTAGGCCTGTCAGTAATGGGCTGGTCTGTGCGAGTAGTATGGCGTGGATCTGGGCAGTTGGGCGGGTCAGTGCGTCGGCAATGTTCGATGCTCCCTTTTTATAGGTGACCGTGTAGTGGAAGTTTGACTTGAGGAAATCGAGCCAGCGGCTCTGTCGTGGGTTGAGGTGGGGCTGTGCGCGGAGGTACTGTAGTCATCTGTGGTCTGTCCGTACTGTCACGTCTGCGCCGGTCAAGTAACATCGCCAGACTTTGAACGCATGCACGATCGCGAGCATTTCGCGGTCGTGTATCGGGTAATTCTTCTCGGGCGGATGCAGTTTTCGTGACTCGTATGCGATGGGCTGTAAACCATTGTCGAAATCCTGTAACAGTACGACTCCAATGGCGATGTCGCTTGCGTCTGTAACTACTTCGAATGGGCGGTGTGGGTCGGCGATGCGCAGTACGGGCGGTAAACAGAGAACGTTTTTCAGGGCAGAGAAGGCAGCATGCTCTTTCTCCCCCCACGTAAAAGCGACCCCCTTCCGCAGTAAGTCCGTCAGCGGGGCGGTTAACCGGGCCATGTCGGGGACGAACCGACGCACATAATTAACGAACCCTAAAAAACTCTGCAACTCCGTGATGTTCGTTGGGGGGTGCCATGCTTTTACCGTGTCCAGTTTTTTTGGGTCGATCTCAACTCCAGCCTCCGAAATAATGTGCCCCAAAAACTCTAACCTATCCCGGAAGAACTCGCACTTGGAACCCTTGGTCAGTAGTCTGTGCTCGTCTAAAACTGTAAATACTGCTTCCAGATTTGCTAAGTGCTGCTGCTTATCGCGACTGTAAACTAGGATGTCGTCGAGGTAAACTATCACGCATTTATCTAAGAGCGGCCTAAACGCCTCATTCATGGTAATCTGAAATGTCGCCGGTGCGTTGGTCAGCCCGAATGGCATCACTGTGTACTCGAATGACCCATACCTAGTTCTAAATGCTGTTTTTACGCAGTCCGATGGTTCGACCCGAATCTGGTGGTAACCTCCGCGTAAGTCAATTTTCGAAAAGACCCGTGCTGTTCGCAGTTGATCTATCAGTTCGTCGGCGCGGGGAATGGGGTATCGCGACTTGACTGTTACCCTGTTCAGTGCTCTGTAGTCGATACACATGCGAAACCCCCGTCTTTTTTGGGTGTGAACAGTATCGGTGCGGCGAACGGCGACGAGCTCGGTCGGATGAATTTTTTCTCTAACAGGTAATCTAACTGCTTCCTCAGTTCATCGAGCTCTGGTTGTGTTAGTCGGAATTGTCACTGTACAGTTGGCTGTGCCCCCGGTTCTAACTCTATTCGGTGGTCATATGCCCGCTGAGGTGGCAGTCCCTCCGGTAAATCGTCGGGAAAAATCCCCGGGTACCGTTTCAACAGTTCCTGTAGTTCGGGCGGTACCGCTGCCAACAGTTTCTGAAAATCGCTCGGCTGCTCTGCTTCTCCTACCAACGCTATATCCACTGCGTACACGTCAGCTCCAGCGGCGACAGCCCGTTTCATCGTGATGGCATTGACGTGGACCGTTGAAGACTCGGGCGACTGCCAGCGAGGTAGCACGACCCAGTTACCGCTACTTCGCACAGTGCAACTACCCGTCGTCCAGTCGATTCGCGGGTTATACCGTCGCAGCCAATCACGTCCCAGTAAAATGTCGTGCCCATCCAATGTCGTCGCGAGCATTTCCTGTGTAAACCCAAAGTTCCCCCCGCAGCGGACCTTTACTCTCTCCACCTTCTCCCGTATGGCCAGCGGCGTTCCGTCCACTAAGCGTGCATCTATTTCCGGTAAACACCGACTAAGTGCCAGTTGCAGCTTCCGGGCGGTCGCGGTATTAACTAAACTGTGACTTGCTCCTCCGTCTATAAAAAACTTCACTGCTGCTCCTTGTATTTTCCCGTGGATCAGTAATGGGCAATCCGTCGCTGTACCCTCCTTATTCGTCCGAGCCCGATCGATAGCATGAACCGGTACTGTGACTCGGTGAGGGTCGGTGAGGTTGGGCGAGCAGGCAGTCTCGTCAGTAGTTGGCCCGATTCCTACTGACTGCTGGCGTTTCCCTGCCTTGGAGACTCCCTCCCCTGCTCTGCTCCGCGGCGCCTCAGCTCCTCTGGGCACTCACTCTTGCGATGGCCCGGCCTATTGCAAGCAAAGCAGCGCCCCTTAAACGGCGCGGCAGCTGCATTTGTCGCAACGGCATGTACAGTGGCGTGCTCGATCGGTCCCCGAGGGCGATGTCCGTAGTAGGACCCCGGTCTCGGACGGCGTAAGATATCGATTTTCTCGGCGAGCGCGAGAATCTCGTTGAAATTCGAGAATCCGCGTAGCATGATTTCGTGCGAGATGTCCGGCTTCAGCCCTCCAACGTAACGGTCCACCCGCTCCGCTTCGTGCATGTAGCCGACTTGCTCGCATAATGCGAGAAAACCACTCGTGTAGTCTTGAACCGACCCGAGTTGCCGCCAAGTACGCAGTCTCTGACGCGCCGAAATAGAAGCCGCGATCGGCTCGAAGCGCGCCCGAAGCCCTGCGCACCACGCATCCCACGTGCTGTACTGGGCGGTTTCGCAGAATGAACTCCAGGTGACGGCTGGACCCGTGGGCCCTTCCTCTTGCGACGGTGGCTCGTAGGCGCATGGCGACGTCACGATGACTCGCCACCAGTCCATGGCGGGGCCCCTCAGTAGCGAAACATCGTAGTGAATCTTCGCTGCGTCCGACTCGCCGTAATTCGCGTCGAAGAAAACGTTCATCGTGAAGACCCACGATTGAACCGTCGGACCTCCACGTTGGCTCGGATCGAAACAGGGCGGGCGCTGCGGCTTGAGTGGCATTGGTGCCATGATGTCGTGGCTGCCACTTGTTGCTGCAAACTCCACATGCCGACGAGCTTCGCGAGGCCCACGCGGGCTTGGCGCGGCCCGATTTCTCTCCATGCCAGGCATCGATTGAGCGGCGCCATCACTGGCTGCACCTGAGCGCTGTCCCACGCTGTCGTTTTGCGTCGGTGTGCCTGATGAGATGACGATCGGTTCTTCTGATTGCGCAGGTACATTTGCGGGTCCTTGTGATGGAGTTGGCGCATTCACCGTTGATTGCTGGCGGGCGGAGTCTCGTTCCGGCGTGAGTGTCGCGATTTCGAGCGTCGAATCTTCGAGCTGGCGTACGAGACGGTCGAGCTGCTCCTGCGTCAATGTCGCGAGAGTAATTTCGGCCATGGCGGGGGTGTCGGGCAAGCTCAGCGAGAGCCTCTGTCGTGGCCGTGCGTGCTTACGAGAGAGCACTTCGAGGGGCGGTGCTTGGTCGCTGAGAGACGTATACCCCCCCCTAAAAATTGAGATAATGGGGAAGCGAAGGTGTGGGCGCGGTCCGAGAGGAGATCGTAGGCTCGAATACCAAGTGTTATGAGTGCAATTGAACGAGCGAGTGAGAATTGCACTATCGAAGCAATCAATACAGTTGAGCGAAAAGCATGAGCGAAGTTATATAGCGAAGCTAGCGTGGTAACGGTAATGCGGGAAATTGGGGTGCGCTACGGGCCTAGCGGCGAGGTTGGGAATTGTCGAGGCGGAGGTCCAGAGCGCGGGTTACCAACCGAACCGTGAGGTTGGGTCGCATCGTGAACAGTGGCGGGAGTCGTGGTCGAGGCGAATGTCGCGAGCGGGTAACGTTCACGGATGGGTGCCGATGGTGGGAACAGGCATGTACGCGGTAAACAAGGACGCGAAGTAAGGAAAAGGAATTTTCCTTACACCCGCCAATTGCAATCTTGGATCGAAGCCTAGGTCTGATGAAGCTGTCTTACTCAAGTGCTCAGCGTTAGTGTAAAGTGTCGAAGGAAAAAACTGTACCATTTCGATTTATTGGGGCTATATAAATGAAGGGCTCAGAAACTGTGTGGACGTGCGGAGCATGTGAGTCCTTCCCAAACCAACAGCGCTAACTTGCTATTCGTTACAGTCATCGGTTAGAACTTCTCGAACTAGAGATAAGGCTCGGTTTCGCTTTATTCCCAACCACCGAGCCCCAAACCAGCAGCTTCCTAACCACATTACTGTACCAAGTCTCGAGTTTGCGCCGCGTCCGCCGACCAGTCCCGCTGTCCAGGAGTCCTGGCCTGAACAACTGTTCTTACCGGGGAAAGGCGGAAGGTACAGTTACCCCGGGCAAGAGGACTTCCGTCCTCGCAAAGCCACTTTCCGCCAACCCCTGGCACCTTCCACCAACTTCCAGGGACCATCCGCCAGGCACTGGCTCCGCCAATTTCAAAACAGCTCCAGCACCCGCTTCCCCGTCGTCCCCCCGCAAGCCCCTACCCCACCCTCCTTCCCTGCTCCCCCCCCTCCCCACCTTCTCTCCCCATCTCCCCGCCCCCCGCAGCTCCCCCCATCATTCCCCCCATACCCCATTCTCCCCGCCAGCCCACTTCAGCCATTTTCAGCCATGGCAGTTCCTCCTCCCTTCATGCACCCACATCAACTCTGATAGTCCCCACTCACCTCGCTTCGCCTCGCCTCGCCAACCCCGTAGTTAGAACTTAGGAAACCGCCTTTACGTCACCATAATGGTACGTTGAAACTTGGTTGGTTCTTTAATTTCCGAAGAGTCGCCCGCATTGCGTTACCATCCGCTCGTACTCCCTCACTTTCACGTCTCACGTCTTGATCACTAGCTACGCGTTACTTAGTTCGCCTTCTTCAAACAGGGTTTCGTGGCTTGCGCACCTTCTTTTTAAATTAAATCGTCTGTAAGGCGCATCTAGTTTCCAGTCTTCAGCAAAGACTGTTTTCCAGTGCATGCGTAGAGCCGTGTAACCCTAATTGCACAGCAGACCCATGGGTAGTTGTTAAGGCCGTAATAACTGCTGGGCCAGCGAGGCAGGTGGACCTATGGGTGGGTGCTTATCTAGCGATAAGGCGACGAAAGAGGAGCAAAGACCCAATAGGAACGCACTCCCGTCAGGTGAGTCGATAACGGCTATTTCTGCACTGCTTCGGGTTCCCTCCTTCATCAGGTTGTTTGTCGACTTACACACCAGATTGTGCGCTTTAGAAAGCAGGCGACGATAAGAGTGCGACGAGCTCAGTGCCCTTCGTCCTTACCTTGCCGGTAACTGATCGCGTCCTTTTGTAGTGTGTCGTTTGTTAGCAGTTTTGTCGCTATTATCCTCTGAATGCCAGCTTCCCTTTTCTTTGTCGGCTAACTCTCTGTTCAACCACGATAGACGAGCTTTTACCACCACGCGAATAGGTAGTCGACAAAGCTCCAGAGTGGAGTTACTCTCGTTGTACCCGTTAGCATGTAGTTCGTTTTCTTTTTTCCGCAACACGTACGCGCTACCCTTCATTTTGAGTCGACTTAAGCGCCACATTGTTTCACTTATTCGTTCCCCGCTCTTTCTCATGTCCTGCTTAGGCGGTGAGCTGCCTAAAGCTTCCGCGGGTGCCTTTTGAGCGCAATTTTCACTCTTTTGTTCCAACCCCACCACCCTTTCTCCCTCCTGCTTAGGCGGCGAGCCGCCTAAAGTTTCCGCGGGTGCGCCCGCTCCAGAAGCAGGAAGCCAGCAGCAGCAGCAGCTGCAGCAGCAGGAGCAGCAGCAGCAGCAGCAGCAGCAGCAGCAGCAGCATTCTGAGGATCAATGGCGGTTGCAGCAGCAGAAAGAGCAGGAGGCTCTTCAGCAGAAGCAGGCATACGAGGCTCAGCAAATGCAGGAGCAGCAGCAGTTACAGATGCAGCAGCAGCAGCAAATGCACTACCAGCAGCAGCAGATGCAAATGCAGCATCAGCAACAACAAATGTACATGCAGCAACAGCAGCAGCAGCAGCAGCAGCAGCAGCAGTATGGGGCAGATCAGCAAGGGTATAACCCTCAATACGGTATGCAACAACAGGACCCCAGGTACATGCAACAACAGCACATGCAGCAGCAGCAGCAGCAGCCCCCGCCTATGAATCCCTACCAGCAGCCCCCGCACCTAGCCCCTCCTCTTCCGCCAGGCTTCCAACAACCCGCCGCGCCTATTCCCCCCCGCGGGTTACGACAAGTGAACGAGGAGGAGGAAGTTAACGACGGGCAGGGGGGTTGGGGAGGCGGAGCGCCCGCGGGAGCAGCAGGCGGGGGAGGAGTTATTGGGTATCAGGAACAGCCGGCGGAGCTACAGGAATATTCGTACCAGGATTTAGTCGACGCGACGGAGGATTTTCAGGAACATTCGGTGCTGGGAGAGGGGGGGTTCGGAAAGGTTTATAAGGGGTACGTTTTGGACCGGTTTCCCGTGGAAGGCGGGCCGCCTGTGACGGCGACGGTGGCGATTAAGAAGCTGAACCCGTCGGGTTACCAGAGCAAAGTGGAGTGGATGGTACGAATTTCGCAACCCTTTGTTTTTCGCTTAGTGTGTTCGCCTTCCGTCGGCAACCGTCGCCCCCCTTTCCCTCCCCCGTGTGTTCCGGCAACCGTCGCCTCGCGCTCTCTCTCCCCTTGCACTCACCCGCTCTCCCGTTGCTCTTCCGCTCGCCGCCAGCGCGCGCTTCCGCCGGCCTCCTCTCTGATGTGTTCTGCAAGGACGCTGTTCAGAATATTGGAATATGTGTTCCGTAGTTGCTTTTGCATGCTCGTCGTTTCAGTGAGGTCGCTCTTCAGAATATTAGGATTATCAGACGGGGTATTTTGGAGTCACTTTTGAGATGCCTTGATGCCTTGGTTCCTTTCCTCATTTCCCTTCCCCCTCCCACCGTCTCCTCCTTTTTATGCGTGCGTGTTCGTGCATCCGCATGAGCGTGTGCGTGTGTCTGCGGATGCGCATGTGCGTGTGCATGATTGTGTGCCTTGTGCTTGCTCATGTTTGCGTGCTGGTCCGTGTGCATGCGTGTATGTGTGTGTGTGTGTGTGCCGAATAACAGAGGGAGATCCTGGTGCTGGGGAAGCTGAACCACCCCAACCTGGTGCGGCTGATAGGGTACTGCGCGGAGCTCGAGGAGATGCTGCTCGTCTACGAGTTCGTCCCCCGAGGCAGCCTCGACTACCATCTCTGGCCGGGTGAGGTTTCATGCTGTTGTTTTCCTTGCGAGACCACTTGAGGGAAGGCCACTCGTTGGTGTCTGCGTGTCGGGAACGACACTGTCTATGTCTCTCTCTGCGTTTGTGCTTTCAGCGCCCCTCTGACCCCTCATTGTGCCCCTCTGCTTGTCTCTCTACCATCCCTTCCTGCTGCTTGCCCCACGTCTTGCCCCTTCTCCCCTCCCTGCACCATTCCGCCCCTCAGCCCCCAACGTGCCAGCGGAACCCGTGTCGTGGCAAGCGCGTCTGCGCATCGCTCACTACGCGGCGTGTGGATTGGCGTCCCTCTGACCCTCCATGTGCCCCTCTGCTTGCCCCTCGCTTTGTCCCTCCTGCCCTTCCTGTCCCCTCAGCCCCCAACGTGCCTGTGGACCCCCTCCCGTGGCAAGCGCGTCTGTGCATCGCCCATGACGCTGCGTGTGGCTTGGCTCCCCTTTGACCTTCCGTGTGCGCCTCTGCTTGCCCCTCTGCGCGCCCTCTGCTTGCCCCTCGTTTTGTCCCTCCTCCCCTTCCTGTACTCTCAGCCCCCAACGTGCCCGCGGACCCCCTGCCGTGGCAAGCGCGACTGCGCATCGCCCACGACGCTGCATGTGGCTTGGCGCATTTGCACGCTAGCAACTTCATTCATCGCGACTTTAAGGCTCCCAACATTCTCATTGCCGAGGTATGGTTGTCTGGGCTTGTGTTGGGGCTTATCGGTGCTTGTATGGGCTCGTGTGGATACGTCAGCGTGCCGTGGGTACGTCTGGGTACGTCTGGGTACGTCTGGGTACGTCTGGGTACGTCTGGGTGAGTCTGGGTGCGTCTGGGTGAGTCTGGGTGCGTCTGGATACATCTGGGTACGTCTGGGTGAGTCTGGGTGCATGTGGGAACATCTGGTTGTGTGATGCGGCGTGTAGCTTGGCGCATCTGCACGCCAGCGATTTCATCTGCCCTCCCTTCACTCACACCCCCAACACCCCACTCATCCCCACGCCTCTCCACCCCTCTCCACCCCTGACCACCCCCACCGGGATTGTGCAGAATTATGCTGGCAAGTTGACGGATTTCGGGCTGGCCAAGGACGGGCCGGATGCATAGGAGCCTTCGTTGTGCTCTACACCCGTCCCCACACCTCCCCACACCTCCCTCTTTGCCTGTGCAGAATTACGCGGGCAAGTTGACGGATTTCGGGCTGGCAAAGGACGGGCCGGATGCAGGGCAGACGCACGTGTCGACTCAGATCATGGGCACCATGGGGTACCTTGACCCTCGATATGCTGAGACAGGTAGGGCGGTGGTTGGGGTATGGTGAGGTAGGTACGATGGTCTTGATGGCTTGAAGCAGGTGTGCTGCTGCTTGTGGTATGGAGGAATAGTTGGTATGGTGAGGCACGGGTCACATGGGCATGGCATGTGTTGATGCAGGGCATGGGCATCACTGGGTACATGGACCTGAGATTCGCTGCTCTTAAGCATTCAGTTGCATTCACATGTGTCACTGCTGTGTCTCTTTCTCTGTTCGATCGATACGCCTCAACCCCCGCAGGCCAGCTGACAGTGAAGAGTGACGTGTATGCCTACGGGGTGGTGCTGCTAGATCTCCTCACAGGCACTGAATCGCAATGCCTCAGGCTCCACTCATGTCCTGTGTCTCTGTCCCCCACAGGCCAGCTGACTGTGAAGAGTAATGTCTATGCTGGGGTGGTGCTTTTAGAGCTCCTCATTCACATCTGCCACTACCAATGTTCCTCATTCACATGTGCCACTACCAATGTTCCTCATTCACATGTGCCACTACCAATGATCCTCATTCACAGGCCAGCTGACTGTGAAGAGTAATGTCTATGCTGGGGTGGTGCTCACAGGGATTGGATCTCATTCACATGTGCCACTACCAATGTTCCTCTCTTCCGCTCTCTCATTTGCACCTCAACCCCACAGGCCAGCTGACAGTGAAGAGTGACGTGTATGCCTATGGGGTGGTGCTTCTAGAGCTCCTCACAGGGATTGAATCGCAATGCCTCAAGCCCCCACTCCTGTCCTGTGTGTCTGTCCCCCACAGGCCAGCTGACAGTGAAGAGTGACGTGTATGCCTATGGGGTGGTCCTCTTAGAGCTCCTCACAGGCAAGAAGGCAATGGGAATCAGCCCTGGGGGCAAGCCCAAGACCCTCACCTCCTGGGCGCGCCCGTACCTCAACAAGGCTCGGCCGGACCTGGAGTCCCTTGTCGACCCGAACCTGATTGACCCGTTCCCGGAGAAGGTGGCTCGGACGCTGGCGATTTCGGCGAAGCACTGCATTCAGGACGACACGAATATGCGACCCATGATGAGTGATATTGTCGACACTCTCCGGCCCCTCAACACCGCTATCAACGGCCGCCGTTAACTAAGCACGCCTTTGAGTCGAATGAGAGAGAGGGGCGACTCTTAGCGTGCAGCGATGGCTTTCGAGTCGACTGGGCATTTGAGTAGGAGGCGTTGTTTGTGAGCGACAGGTCATCGTTGTGGAGTGGACACGCCAAAGCCCCTCAGCATGGCCTTCAGCCGACGGTCTACGGTCGGCGCTAAGCACACACTTGAGATCGCGTTCCCAGAGTAATTTCGACGTGAGAGGCCTATGAGTGATGTCGCTGGTGCGGTCAGGGATTTTGGGCATGGAGCAGAGGAGAGGAGTTGGTCTGGCGAGGATTTTGCGGGATTTGAAGAAGCTGCAGCAACGAGGCGGCTTAGGTTTGGGGGCACGGGGGAAGTTATGGGGGGTTGGAAGGGGATGCTCTAAGAGAGAGCAGCAGGTGGAAAGTGTAGCAGCATCAGCATTAGCAGACTTCAGCGTAGGTTTTTGTGCATTGTTGATATTAGCACTAGACCCTAGCCTTCAGTTTTGTGACGAGGGGTGTGGAGAGGTGAGTGGGGGTGGGGGGGTGGATGGAGGGCAGGGGTGTTAGTGCTGTGATGTTGGATGTTGGATTCCCCAGTTATGGCATAGGAAGAACTACCAGAGGTGGCACTACAGTAGTTCATCGCGGTGACATAAAGAGGTGGCACGATGCAGGAGGTAATGCTCTCCAGGAGTTAAAGGAGCTGGAGGTGGACCGTGGGAGTCAAGATCATAAAGGCCCTGAAGACGTTCTAGGACTTTCCTGAATGACAGGAGGTCACTTATTGTGAGATTCATTTGCAGGTGAACTGTTGGGGTTGTGGCTAGTGTAGGGTGATGTGGTTAGTAGGGTATTAGAAGACATGTTATTAGTCTGTTGGAGGCGGATGGTCTAGTGTGGAGCAGCTGGGTGGTGTCTGAGTTGCTTCATAGTGATTGATGTCACAGAAATTTGGAGCTTGGTATCTTGCTTGTTTTCCAAATAGGAATAGAGCTGGATAGAGAGAAATTGTATTTTACATGAGTACGCGAGTTTTAATGGGTTTGCTGTACTTCTGAATCAGGACAATCTCTATTTCACGTTCTGCACATTTTCACATTCGGGCCTCGATCTTGTCGAGCTCATTCTCTTGAGCTCACCCCTTCCGCCTGGCAGACAACTTTCAAGCATTCGCAGATAGTGCTCCCTTCCCCACCGAGCCAGTTTTGAACTTCACGAACGTTTCGGGCGTGCTCTGCCGCTGGATCCACCGATCGGATCATCCGTTCCTGCTTTCTCCCGATCATGCCGGTACGCTATCACTTACAAGCCATTACATGAACTTGTAGGTTATGGCGTGGCGGCATTGTTCGCAAATTCGATGCACCGACCATCTGTAGGTCGCTTGCAGGAGGAACCATGGATCAGTTTTTTCGGACATCGTGCTAAGCCAGTAGATCACGGCCGTCTGAGAATCCGTTTCTTTGTTTCCGCGACGAAGTCTCTCGCAGTCGCTTGCTTGGATTCACCAATTTATTCAGTCGACTTACCATTTCTAGCTTTCGAGTCGCCTCACCTCACTCAAGAGTCGCTTCAGTTTCTCAGTCACGCCTGTTCATTCGTCCATTTTCGTCCATCTTCAGGCGTCCTCAGAGCAGATCCGAAGCGCTCCAGAATCTTCTAGTAACGTTTTTCCTTATAACCTGATTCGTTATTATCTTTCAGGCGCGTCGGCTGCTGGAAATAGAGCCTCCTGGCCCCATCCGTTACATCCTGGGCGCGGTGTTGATGCTCGTGGGGGTCGTGCTGCCACTCACCTACTTCATGTTCCGATCCAAGCGAACCCCGCCTCCTTCGTTCAAGCAGACGTAGGTGTGGTAACCCCATATACTCGCTACAAACATTTTCGTGTGTGCTACCGCTCACCTACTTCATGTTCCGATCCAAGCGAACCCCGCCTCCTTCGTTCAAGCAGACGTAGGTGTGGTAACCCTATATACTCGCTATAAGCATTCTCGTGTGCGCTGCCGCTCATCTATTTATGTTCCGATCTAAGCGAATCCCGCCTCCGTCGTTTAATCAGACGTAGGTATGGTAACTGTATATGATCGCTATAAGCATTCTCCCGTGTGTGCTGCCGCTCGCCTACTTTATGTTCCGATTTTAGCGAATCCCGCCTCCGTCGCTCAAGCAGATGTGGGTGTGGTACCCCTATTTACTCGCTATAAGCATTCTCGTGTGTGCTGCCGCTCACAACCTTTCCCACCTCCTTTAACACCTCAATCGCCCTCACATTCTGAACCCGTCCCTTCCTCCAGGTTCTAGCCACCCCAGGTTTCCCCCACCCCGGTTTTCGCCTTCCGCCGTATCTTAGAAGCTAGCCGACGTCTTTCGTGCCGATCGCGACGGGATCAACTACCTGCTGCTCTTGATCGCTGAAACAACCAGCAGCCAATCATGGCTCTGCTGCGGCCGCTGCCGCTCCTGCTGGTGCTGGCTGTGGTGTTGTCCGCGGGGGTGGCGCGGGTGAGCGGGCTGTACGAGGACCAGGTGGGGACGTACGACTGGGTGCAGCCGCGCATAGGCGGGGTTCGCTTCGCCGCGTTCCTCACCTCCTCGCAGCGCAAGCGCGTGCTCGTGGGCACCGACAGGAACGTCATTGCGGCCCTGAACCTCCGCACAGGGGACATTGGTGAGCTGTGCATGCCACAACAACCAGGAACGTGCATGTTCTAAGTGCCGAGCCAGGGCTGTTCTGAATCCTATCCGCCTCAAAAGACCCTGCTCATCTCTCCTCGTCGCTTTACACGCTTCCTGTCGCGAATCTGCAAGGCGGGATCACTGATTCTCCGTTCCCATTTCCACCTCTCCTCTTCGCTTTCCTTCCCCCTCTCCTCCCCCCGCTGCATATTTTCCCCCTGCAACGCCGTTCCGCGCACTTGATATGGGTGGCAGCGTGGCGCCGTGTGCTAGGGGACAAGGACACCCTCCATGCGCTGGATATGGGCGGCAAATGTGAGTGTTTTAGAGGGACACGGGCGGCAGATGTGATGTGAGTGTTCAGATCAGAGGGATATGGGCGGCAGATGTGAGTGTTTAGAGAAACATGTACGGCAGATGTGAGTGTTTAGAGAAACATGTACGGCAGATGTGAGTGTTTAGAGAAACATGTACGGCAGATGTGAGTGTTTAGAGAAACATGTACGGCAGATGTGAGTGTTTAGAGAAACATGTACGGCAGATGTGAGTGTTTAGAGAAACATGTACGGCAGATGTGAGTGTTTAGAGAAACATGTACGGCAGATGTGAGTGTTTAGAGAAACATGTACGGCAGATGTGAGTGGATGGAGAGATGTGGGCAGCGGATGTGACTGAATGGAGGAATATGGGTAGCAAATGTGAGTGCGCACGGATATGGACAATTGTCTTAAGGGACTCACATCCTCGGTATTGCCACTTGAATGTTCGTACCACCCCCATCCCATCTCCGCTGTTTGATGTTTCCCATCCAGACCTCGTCACCCTGTCTGGCACCAAGGCAGCAGCAGTGAGGGCGTGGGCTGTGCCTGATGGGACTCTCGCATGGGAGACTGTGCTGCCACTGCCTGCAGCTGCTGCAGCTGGAGTTGCCAAATTCATCACAATCCCAGTGAGTAGGTTACGCTGAACAGGGTTGTGCTCACTGGTCTTGTACTGAATAGGGTTGTGCTTATTAGTCTTGGGCGAAACTTACGAAGCACCAAGTGTCGTCTCTGCTGTGGCTTATGAGCTCTTTCCTTTTGTCCGCCCCATTCGCTCTAAGGCTACTGATGGTGCCTCACCTGACCGAGTGGTGGTCCTTCTTGGATCAGCTGCAGCATCAGACAGAACAGGATTAGAGCCAGCATCGACATCTGAACCACTCAATAATATACTCCACTGGATTCTTTCCTTTCGCCCCTCCCCTTCAATCTCAGGCCACTGACGGTTCCTCACCAGACCGAGTGGTGGTCCTCCTTGGATCAGCTGCAGCAGCATCAGCACCAGCAGAAGCAGCTGAACCAGAAGCAGCAGGAGTAGGAGCAGCATCGGAGGTGCATTGCCTGTCAGCTGCTACAGGCGACGTGCTCTGGTCCGCTACCCTGCCCACCCATGCCCACTCCATCTCCCTCCTCCCACACGGCCCCATCCTCCTTACCAGCTTCTCCCCCTCCCTCTCCTTCTCCCTCACCACTCTCGATGGCGCCTCTGGGAAGATCACTGCCTCTGCTGCCTCTCCTCCCTCCTCCTCCGTTTCCTCCTCATTTCCTCCTCCTGCTGCGTTTGTCACGGCGACTGACACTGCGGTGGCTGTGGATTCGGCTTCTGGTAACATCCTTACTGCTGCACTGGTTACCTCTGTTACAGCGGATGCTACAGCCGATGTTACAGCTGCTACAGTGCAAGTGCACAGTACCCCCCTTGCCTCTCTCTTACCCAAGGAGCACTACCAGTCAGGAGTCTCTGCTGCTGTGGTGCCAGAGAAAGCTCCAGGAAGCTTCTTCTGGCTGTCTGTGCCAGGAGCCGTGTTTCTCCTGTCGGCAGGGGCGGCAGACGGGCAGGCTGGGTCGGCAGGACAGGTGTCGCTCGTTGATTCGTTCCCTGGGTTGAGCGCTGTTAGTGCGAGCGTCGTGGGGGGAACACCAGGAGCAGCGGGGGCAGGAGGAGGAGGAGGGGAGGGAGGGGAAGTGGGGAGTTTCTATTCCGGTCTTGTGGGCTCGCAAGGCAGCAGTGATACCCTCAAGTTCCACATGCAGGTGCGGTGCGAGGAGAGGCGAGGGTGTACGTAAGTTTGTGGGCGTACACGTTTTCTTCTCCCTTGCCCTATCCCTCTTCCCGCACTCCACTCCCACCCCTCACCTCCTCTTTCCTCCGCCTCTCCCCACGCCCCCTCTCTCCCCCTTGTTTCCCTGCACCTGCTTTTTCCCCCCATGTTCCTCCCCACTCCCGCCCCCTGTCCTCTCTGACTGTCTCTGTGCCACTTCACCACGCCCCTTGTGCTGCGTCTCCCTCGCCGCCTTATCATTTCCTCCCTCGCTCTCTCTCTCTTCCCGCGCCCCTGCACGTGCATCAGCTTCTTCCGGACCCCCTGTGTCTCTGTCCCACTCACCACATCGTAGACCCCCTGTTCGTGTTTTCCTCAACGTTTTTTTTTTTTTTTTTTTTTTTTTTTTTCCTCCCTTTCTCTCCCATTCTTCCCTCTCCCCTGCAGGTGCACCAGCTGCTTCCCCCCTCCTCCTCCCCCCCTGCCCTGCTCTCGGACTCTGTCTCTGTGCCACCTCACCGCGGCCCCCCTGTTCGCGTTTTCCTGAATGCCTATGCGAGGGCAGCAGGGGCAGGGGGGGGGGGGCGGGGCAAGGGGGAGAAATCGGCGGGAGGGGCAGGAGAGGGGAAGGCGGGTGCGTTTGGGTTCAGGCTGCTGGTGGTGGGAGAGGATGACTCGTTGTCTCTGCTTCAGCAGGTGGGTTGTCACTAGCTGCATTTCCTTCTCGCTTGATCCTTCTTATTGCTGGTGGATGAGGGATAGGAAGGGAGTGGCTTACTGTCTGTCGTTGCTGCAGCAGGTGGGTGAGGTGGTGTGGGAGAGGGAGGAGGCTCTAGCTTCAATAGTAGCAGTGGGAGTGGCAGGGCTACCAGAGGAGGAGGAGGAGCTGTCAGTGGCAGCAGTGGAGCATGACATCTACGAGTGGGCCCACACGCACCCTATCTGACCTCCCTTTCCCCTCTCTTCCAAACAACCTGTTCCGTTTCCGCCCCGTCTCTTCAGGGAGAGGTGGTGTGGGCGAGAGAAGAGGCTCTATCTTCGGTAGTAGCAGTGACGATAGCAGAGCTACCAGAGGAGGAGGAGGGGCTGTCAGTGGCAGCAGTGGAGCATGACATCTACGAGTGGGCTCGCACACACCTGCTCAGGGCCAAGTCCTGTCTCTCGAGGCCTGTGTGCCCCTCTCTCCCTCTCTCACACACCTTTCCTTCTCCGTACCCCTCCTCCCCTTTCACGTCCCGCTCCTCCCCCACCTCCCCTGTTCCCTGCTGCAGGGTGAGGTGGTGTGGGAGAGGGAAGAGGCTCTAGCCTCGGTAGTGGCAGTAACAATAGCAGAGCTCCCGGAGGAGGAGGAGGGGCTGTCAGTGGCAGCAGTGGAGCATGACATCTACGAGTGGGCTCGCACACACCTGCTCAGAGCCAAGGCGTCTCTCAATCTCGGCTCAGCTGAGGAACAGGCGTTGGTGCATCGCCTGCGCACCGCCTCCCCTGAAAAGATCAAGCCTTTCCGGGATAGGAACGGGTTTCGGCGTATTCTTCTGCTGCTGACCGCGCCAGGTGGGGACAGCAGAGCGTCAGGTGGAAACAGCAGAGGCGGGATGGGGAAGCTGTTTGCGTTGCATTCTGGGGATGGTCGGGTGCTGTGGGCTGCTGCGCTGCCGTCAGGTGGTTCTTCAGGTGGAATGGGCGCGTCTGTGTTTTCACCTGAAGCGCTGGTGCTGTGGAGGGACCCCCACCGCACGTCACCTGACCAAACACCTGAAGCTCTGGTGCTGCAAATCAGGCAGCAGAAGCAGGAGCAGGAGCAGCAGGCGGGGGGGGGATAGGAAGGTTGCACATGCTGCATTAGTGACTGTAGTGAATGGACACACGGGGGATGTGCTTGAATCGAAGGGCCTGCCCTTTGTGCCCCGTCTCGTTGCCCCCTTGCCCCTGGTGGGGAAAGACGAGCGGCGGCTGGTAATGCTGGTCGAAAAGGTAGAGAGGAACGAGGAGGAGGAACATAGAGAGGGGAAAGCGGAGACAGGTGGGAAAGGACAGGGACAGGAAGGGCTAGAGAAGGGAGGTGCAGCAGCAGGGGAAGGGGGGAAGGCGCGGCGGTACGAGCCTGTGCGGGTTCATGTATTCCCTGGGACGGAGGAGGCAAGGGGGCTGTTTGAAGGGCACAAGAAGGAGGTGTTCTTTTACCTGGTGGATGCTATAACGGGGTCTGTGGAGGGGTATAGCATTGGAGAGGAGGTGAAGGAGGAGGGTGGCAGTGGTGGGAGTGGTGGGAGGAGCGATGGTGGGAGGTTGGGAGGGGGTGTGGTGTATGGAGCAGTGTTGGTGTGGCGGGTGGTGCTGCCTGCTGACTCGGAGGTCATTTCAGCCATTGCTGCACCTAAGAGAGAGGAGGTGGGTGGGCGTGTGTGCATGGGCGTGCATGGGTGTGCATGGGTGTGCATGGGTGTGCATGGGTGTGCATGGGTGTGCATGGGTGCACATGGCTGTGTATGAGTATGTATGCGCGTGCATGGGTGTATGGAGCAGTGTTGGTGTGGCGGGTGCTGCTGCCTGCTGACTCGGAGGTCATTTCGGCCATTGCTGGCCCTAAGAGAGAGGAGGTGAATGTCTGTGTGAAGGCAGAGGGGAAAGGGAAAGGGGGGTTGTGTGCGAGTGGAGTGTGTGTGTAGGGGCCCATGGGTGTCCATGCCTGTGGAGTGTCTTTGCCATTTCTGTGCCCAATCAATTCCATTTCCCATCCCCCCCACCCCCCATCCAACCCCTCTCAGTCCCAGCACACGCAAGTGCGAGCCCTGGGAGATCGCAGCGTGCAGTTCAACCTGCTTTCCAAGAACCTTCTCTTCCTGCCTTTGCCCTGTCGTTGCCCCCAATCCAACTTATCTCTAACCCCCCCCCCCATCCACCTTCACCACACCTCCCCCTTTCAGTCCCAGCACACACAAGTGCGAGTCCTGGGCGATCGCAGCGTGCAGTTCAAGCTACTCTCCAAGAACCTGCTCTTTATGTCTTTGCCCTGTAATTGCCCCCAAAACAAACACATTTTTCCTCGCCCCCCACCCTTCACCCCAACCCCTCTCAGTCCTAGCACACGCAAGTGAGGGCCCTGGGCGATCGCAGCGTGCAGTTCAAGCTGCTTTCCAAGAACCTGCTCTTCCTCGCCACAGTCACCCCTCCTGCTGCCTCTGCTTCTGCTTCTGCTGCTGGAGTGGGGGTGGGAGGGGAGGAGGGGGGAGCGGTGGTGGTGTATTTGATTGATACGGTGGGAGGGCAGGTGGTGGAGAGGGTGGTGCATGCGGGCATGCAGGGACCCGTGCACGCGGTGAGTGTAAGGGTCTACATGGTTTGTAAAGGGCTTGCCTGTATGGGGCTTGTTTGTTCGGGGCTGGTCCGTACAGGAGTTTGGGGTTGCCAGGGGTGCAGGGGGAGCGGGGGTGGGAGGGGAGGAGGGGGGAGCGGTGGTGGTGTATCTGATTGACACGGTGGGAGGGCAGGTGGTGGAGCGGGTGGTGCATGCGGGCATGCAGGGATTCGTGCACGCGGTGAGTGTGTGGGAGAGGTTCGGGGCTTGCCTGAACATGGCTGTCTGCATGGGGCTGTTTGTACGGGCCTAGTCTGTTGGTCCGTATGCGGTTGGGGGTTCCTCTACTCTTCTCGTCTCCTCATTTCCCTGCACAGGTAATGGTAGAGAATTGGGTGGTATACCACCACTTCAACCAACCCCTCAGCTTTGTTCCCTCTATCCTCTCCTGTGCGCTTTTTTTTTTCCCTGGTCTCCTCATTTCCTGGGCAGGTAATGGCGAAGCTCATCCTGTTCCCTCTGCCCTCTCCTGTGCTCGTTCTCCTGTCTCCTCATTTCCTTGGCAGGTTATGGCGGAGAATTGGGTGGTATACCATTACTTCAACCGTGCTGCCTCTCATCTTGTTCTTTCTGCAAACCCGTACCTCCTCTTCGTCCCACTACTCCCTATCCCGTTTCTTGCTTTCTATGTCAGGTCATGGCGGAGAACTGGGTGGTATACCATTACTTCAACCCCGCAGCCTCTCGCCACGAAGTCTCCACTATAGAGCTCCTCGATACCTCTCTTAAGGACGTCCCCGTTATAGACTACCTCAAATACGGACTCAGCATCCCTGGATCGTCCAACCTCACAGCGCCGCTTTCTGCGGCGGAAATTCCCTGGGAGAGGGTGAAGCGGCTGAGGCAGAGTTACTACTTCCCCTACGCGCTGAGGTGTATTTCGGTGACTTCCACCCTTGCGGGGATCACAAACAAGCATGTGCTCTTTGGTACAGCGCTTGATCAGGTGAGGGTGAGGGTGAGCGTGAGGGGGGGGTGGGGGGTATGAAGTGATTTTTGACTTCCACCCTTGCGGGGAGGATACCAACAAGCATGTGCTCTTTGGTACAGCTCTCGATCAGGTGAGGGGCAAGCAAGTAGTGAGTGTCTCGAAAACCAGCAAGCGTGTTTCCTCTGGCACGGCGCTCGACAAGGGGAAGGGGGGGGGGGGGGGGGGAGTGCACCCTTGCGGGGATCACCAACAAGCATGTGCTGTTTGGTACAGCCCTTGATCAGGTGAGGGATGGGCGAGGGGGGAAAGAAGAATCCAGTCGTTAGACGACTTTTGAGACGTCTCAACAGACTTCCACCCTTGCGGGGATCACCAACAAGCATGTGCTGTTTGGTACAGCCCTTGATCAGGTGAGGGATGGGCGAGGGGGGAAAGAAGAATTCAGTCGTCAGACGACTTTTGAGACGTCTCAACAGACTTCCACCCTTGCGGGGATCACCAACAAGCATGTGCTGTTTGGTACACCCCTTGATCAGGTGAGGGATGGGCGAGGGGGGAAAGAAGAATTCAGTCGTCAGACGACTTTTGAGACGTCTCAACAGACTTCCACCCTTGCGGGGATCACCAACAAGCATGTGCTGTTTGGTACAGCCCTTGATCAGGTGAGGGTGAGGGTGAGGGTGAGGGTGAGGGTGGCTGGGGGGTGGGGGAGATGGGGGGTATGAAGTGATTTTTGACTTCCACGCTGGCGGGGATCACGAACAAGCATGTGCTCTTTGGTACAGCTCTCGATCAGGTGAGGGGCAAGCAAGTAGTGAGTGTCTCGAAAACCAGCAAGCGTGTTTCCTCTGGCACGGCGCTCGACAAGGGGAAGGGGGGGGGGGGGGAGTGCACCCTTGCGGGGATCACCAACAAGCATGTGCTGTTTGGTACAGCCCTTGATCAGGTGAGGGATGGGCGAGGGGGGAAAGAAGAATTCAGTCGTTAGACGACTTTTGAGACGTCTCAACAGACTTCCACCCTTGCGGGGATCACCAACAAGCATGTGCTGTTTGGTACAGCCCTTGATCAGGTGAGGGATGGGCGAGGGGGGAAAGAAGAATTCAGTCGTCAGACGACTTTTGAGACGTCTCAACAGACTTCCACCCTTGCGGGGATCACCAACAAGCATGTGCTGTTTGGTACACCCCTTGATCAGGTGAGGGATGGGCGAGGGGGGAAAGAAGAATTCAGTCGTCAGACGACTTTTGAGACGTCTCAACAGACTTCCACCCTTGCGGGGATCACCAACAAGCATGTGCTGTTTGGTACAGCCCTTGATCAGGTGAGGGTGAGGGTGAGGGTGAGGGTGAGGGTGAGGGTGGCTGGGGGGTGGGGGAGATGGGGGGTATGAAGTGATTTTTGACTTCCACGCTGGCGGGGATCACGAACAAGCATGTGCTCTTTGGTACAGCACTTGATCAGGTGAGGGGGGCAGGCGAGAGTTTGGTGTAGAGTTTATTTTAGGCACAGTGTTTTGTAGCGTCCGCTTATTCTTGTCTTGGTGTGCATAGTTTTTGTTGACTCACCTGATTCTCGTCTCCCTCACTCACCACTCTGTCCCGACTTTCTGTTCGTTTGATCTTTTCAGGTCCTTGCTCTCGACCGTCGATTCCTGGACCCCCGCAGGGTGCCTGAGCCGTCACAGCAGGACAAGGAGGCGGGCATCATGCCTTACAGTGACTCGCTGCCTGCCCCTGGCCAGGTGTGTAGTGCTTTATAACGAGTAACAAGCTGCTAACTATAGCAAACATCACTTTGAATGCATCACAGCAGCACAAGGAGGCGGGCATCATGCCTTACAGTGACTCGCTGCCTGCCCCTGGCCAGGTGTGTAGTGCTTTATAACGAGTAACAAGCTGCTAACTTTAGCAAACATCACTTTGAATGCATCACAGCAGCACAAGGAGGCGGGCATCATGCCTTACAGTGACTCGCTGCCTGCCCCTGGCCAGGTGTGTAGTGCTTTATAACGAGTAACAAGCTGCTATCTATAGCAAACATCACTTTGAATGCATCACAGCAGCACAAGGAGGCGGGCATCATGCCTTACAGTGACTCGCTGCCTGCTCCTGGCCAGGTGTGTAGTGCTTTATAACGAGTAACAAGCTGCTATCTATAGCAAACATCACTTTGAATGCATCACAGCAGCACAAGGAGGCGGGCATCATGCCTTACAGTGACTCGCTGCCCGCTCCGGGGCAGGTGAGTCATGTGTTATGGCGAGTCTCACGTCTTTGACTCCCTGGGAGAGGACTTCAACTTCGCTCTGCCACACAACTTACCTCTTGCTTTCTTGAGAAGTCTCAAAAACACTCCTTTCACCCGCCCTCTCACGTCTTTGACTCCCTGGGAGAGGACTTCAGCTTTGCTCTGCCACACAACTCACCTCTTGCTTTCTGCCCCCGTCCCCTCCCCGCCACCTGCTCCAACCCCGACTTGCCCATTCTTCCGCTGATTTCTCCCCCAGGCCTATCTGACCCATAGCTACCGCATCCAAGGCCTGAAGAACATCCTGTCCTTCCCCGCGCGCCTCAAGTCCACCACCCTCGTGCTCGCCCACGCTGCTTCCAATGCCTTGTTCCTATCCCCCTGCTCTCCCTGCTCCCAATGCCCCCAACCCCAGGCCTATCTGACCCATCGCTACCGCATCGAAGGCCTTAAGCACATTCTCTCCTTCCCCACGCGCCTGGAGTCCACCACCCTTGTCTTGGCTCACGGGCTGGACCTCTTCTTTGTTCGCACCGCCCCTTCTTGAGTGTTTTACTCCCTCGAATGAAACTCACACTCCTCTCCCTCCCTGTTCCGTCTCCTCCTCTCCCCCTGCTCTGCTCTTCCCCCAGGCCTACCTCACCCACCGCTACCGCATAGAGGGGCTGAGGCACATCCTGTCCTTCCCCACGCGCCTGGAGTCCACCACCCTTGTCTTGGCTCACGGGCTGGACCTCTTCTTTGTGCGCACCGCCCCCTCTCGCGTCTTTGACTCCCTGGGAGAGGATTTCAGCTTCGCCCTGCTGCTGGGGACGATTGCTGTGCTGTCGATCGCGATTCTGGTGACCTGGGGGCTGTCTAGGAAGCAGGAGCTGAAGCAGCGGTGGAAGTGAGGAGTGGAGGATGGGGGTGGGGGAAGGTGAGGGAGGCGAGGGGGCGATTTCAGCTTTGCGCTGCTGCTGGGAACGATCCCTGTGCTGTCCGTTGCCATCTTGGTGACCTGGGGGCTGTCTAGGAAGCAGGAGCTGAAGCAGCGGTGGAAGTGAGGAGAGGAGGATGGGGGTGGGGAAGGTGAGGGAGGCGAGGGGACGAGTTCAGCTTCGCGTTGCTGCTGGGCACGATTGCTGTGCTGTCGATTGCGATTGTGGTGACCTGGGGGCTGTCTAGGAAGCAGGAGCTGAAGCAGCGGTGGAAGTGAGGTGTTCAAAATGACGGAGGGGGTGGGTGGGGGGGGGGAAAGGGGGGAAGGAAGTGTGGGGGAGTTGAGAGTAGAGGATTTAGCATCGCTGGGGAGCAAGGTTGAGGGGGAGTTTATAGGTGGGTTTGAGCTTCTTTCTGCTGCTCCTGTGCTCTCGATTTCAATCAGGGTAGCTGGGGACTGTGTAGGAAGCAGGAGCTGGAGCAGAGGTGAAAGTGAAAGGGAATACGGTGTGCCATTCGGAATGTGGGAGGAAAAGTGGGTGGTGGATTTCTCTGGTGGGAGGTGGAGGAGGCAGAGTCACCTCAAAATCCTTTTGTACTTCGAAACATCGTCTTGAAGAAGACGTTTTTTTTATACGATTTACTGGTAGGTTATGCCTTGCGATGAAGACGTATTGTGACTCGCGAGCTTGAACAAAAGCTTGGTACTGTGGTAGAGAATTGCACTTAACCTTGCCCTTGCGCAAAGAGAGTCTCTAGAAATACGAATATATGTCCCAGGGAATGCTTTTACTTTTAGGAAGTAACATAGATTAGTATGCGTAATGTATAATTATGAAACACTCGAATCTTACTTAAAACGGGTGATCTTGAAAAGAGTATCAAGGTTGACTCGAAGTCAAAGCTCTGCTCTCAATGGTTCGGGGCAGGGTTTCGGATGATTGACTTTAATGACTACCACGTCATTTCACTCTACTCTTCCTGCCAACCAACCCACCAACTTTTACCTCGAGTTTATTTTACGCCAACTGCCAGCCAGTCCATATTTCCCGCACACACAACTTTCTTGATCACACTTGTAGTGTTTCGTTCAGACTCGAGCAACTGAGCTTCCGCTCCGGAATTTTCGCCCTCTTCAATAATCCACGCAATGGCGTTAGTCCCTTTCCTTAGCCGCCTTAAAACCATGGTTTCGCCCGCGCGCACCGAGCCGCCTTTCCCCCTGGAGCGCCTTCCCGACGACATGCTCGCGCTCGTCCTCCGCTCGGTCGCGCAGACCTCCTTCCGCCACGCGCTCGTTTCCAAGCGCTGGCTCCGCCTTTCCGCGTCCGCGCTCTCCCACTTGACCATTCAGCATCGCGGGTTTAAATCGAACAATGATTCTATATTTGAGACACATCCATTTGAGGTCGACCGCAACGCGGAGCTTGCGTGGCTTCCGTTTCCGCACCTTCTTTCCGCGCTCCGCCGCTTCCCCGCCCTCACGCACGTGTCGCTGGGCAGCTTTTCCATCTTATCCGCCGACGGCGACGCGCTCTTCCACTGTCTGGCCGCCACGTGTCCGCGACTGCTCCATCTAACGGTGGAGCATCAGTTTAAAATGTCGGTTACTGTAGACGGCCTCGCGTCGCTCTTCCATGGATGCCGCAAGCTAAGGGAACTCCGGCTATTCACCACCAACGACCTCCCTCATCTCCCGGCGTCCCTCTCGCTCCTCACGGATCTCCAAACCCTCCACGTGTGCTCGCATACTCGCTATGGCCACCACTCGTTACAGGAGCTCGTTTCGCCGCCCGAGAGCATCGGCGCGCTGCAGCAGCTGCGCGAGTTGGGGATCGGCGTGGGACTGTGTTTCCGCGGTCTCGGACTCGATCAGAGCGTTTGCCTTTTGCGTGGTACCCTTCGCAAGCTGAGCATTGCTAGCGGTGAACTCTTTCCAGAAACTATCACGGAGCTTCCTGACGCAATTGGCGAATTATCTCTGCTGGAAACCCTAGAAATCAAAGTGGATGGTCTAGAGAGCATCCCGGAATCCTTGCAACTGCTGACCGGGTTGAAAACCCTCTCGCTCCAATGCGAGAGTCTGCTATGCCTGCCCGAAAATGTTATGGCGGGGATGACTCAGCTGCAGCATCTTTCCCTCTACCACTGTGCTTCCCTCGAGATTCTCCCAGAAAGCATCTGCTTCCTCCCCCTCTCCTCCCTCTCCATCTCCCACTTCTACTCCCTCACCTCCCTCCCACACCACATCGGCGCATTGTCCCACCTGCAAACCCTAAAGCTCCTCGACCTTGTTGATATCCGGGCATTGCCTGAAAGCCTGGGTAATTTACCCCGGTTGAAATCGCTCGAGCTGGAGCATCTGCCCGAGAGATTTTGTGAAGGCAGCCTGCCAGCGTGCCTAGAGAAGCTGACTCTGACGCGGTGCGAGAAGCTACAGGAGCTTCCTCCCTCACTGTACACGCTGACTCGTTTAAAATCACTCCATATCGAGTCATGCTCCCTTATTGAGTTTCTGAAGCCGCTGACCCCACCAACCTTTCCCGAAGGATCCGGAAGTGAGTCTGGAAGTGAGTCGGGGTCCTTCAGCCTGGCTGAAATAATGCACTGTGAGTCTGGAGGTGAGTCCAGGCCCTCTGCCCCTGCCCCAGCCCCTGCCTCTGCCCCTGCCTCTACCTCTGCCTCTGCCTCTACCTCTGCCTCTGCCTCTGCCTGTGTATCTATCCCTCTCTTCAATTCTACAACAGAAATCACCGAACGACACCCGGGCCTAGTATCCCTCACCGAACTAGAAGTTTCCCACTGCCCGCTCATCTCTTCCCTCCATAAAACTTCTCCTTCCCTGCCCTTCACACGCTCACCCTACACTCCCTGGGCAACCTGAATAATCTCCTGGACTTATCAGGCAAGGAACTGCCCAAGCTGCAACATCTGGATTTGGAGGGGGTGGGGGCCGATTCAGCCTTATCTCCGGTTGAATGTCTTCCCGGTGTGCGGTCTGGGAGAATGTGGCTGCTGCTGCATGTCAAGCCTCTGTTTCTGCTTCTGAGGCTGCTGGATTCATTGCTGCAGCTGGCTCTGTTGTCAATAAATAATGGCTGTTCTGTGCTGCAGGGTGCCTGCACTTGGACGGTTGGCTTAGCTCGGCGATCGTGCAGGTTAGCATACGGGTGGTGTGTCGGGGAGATGGAAGAGAACAGCCCGCTTGTTGTGAGTCGTGATGATTCGTGAGGATTGTGCATTGTACATGTTAAAGTACAAACAGATGTGGTGTAGGAGGTTGTTGATAGAAACCTGCTTATTACAACAACCCCTTTTGTGATTGATTGTGAATTATTCGCTTAATTTATGCTAGCCAAGCCTCTCTTCCAAGGGGATTCTCTATGCGAAGCTGTATGGATGGTGAAGATGACAGCACGCCGTAACCGTGACATGTTATAGAAAAACAAGTCCCGCTTTAGCAAGTACAATTCATGTGCTCTTCATTCATCCAAACGCACAGCTGCATGCACATCAAAACTCTCACGGGTACATCTGCACATACTGTATGTGTTGCAAGGGGTTTCACTGATACCGTCTCCTCCCCGATATAAGCGCATGCCTATAATTAGCGCCGGCAGTTCTAATTGGCATGTGTGAGCAAAGGATAAGCTAGCTAGTTCGGTGCGTGCAAGCTAGGTAGTGTGAAGCAGGCAGCGAGGTTCGGGCTAGTCCTGAAGCGTAGGCAGACTCGTTAAGTGGCGAACCTTTAAGCACTAACGGGAGAAGAACAAGATTCGACGTTAACGTCGGAAGGGTTGCGTAGATGTTACATTCATATTTTACAGAACATGAGGACAAGCTATTTAATGTATTTATATAGCACCAAGTTTAATTTTCATGTGTTAACGAGTATGACAGGCTAGCTAGTTCTTGATTATGGAATAAAGTGATTGTTTATGATTTCTTTTCTAAAATATGGGTGAATTTATATAGAGCCATTGATTGTTTCTATTAAGGATTATTTAAATTTAGTGAACAACTATGTTTTATATCTTCAATATGATATTTTGTAACACTGAACTACCAGGTTCTTGTTCTAGCAAAAGTGTGTTTCCAGCTCACACAAATTCCACGTGATTATGCGTGTGTTCTCACGTGGCATCAGCGTTTGGTTTTTTGTTTTTAGATTCCAAGTGCCCAAGTTCTGTGCTGGCTTTCAGATTGCCCCATCGTTTTCGGGTTTCTATATACGAAGTGTTTCATGCGTCGTCTTTTTCTGGGAGGTGCGCAAATTCTGTTCAGTGTTTTCGTTTTGCCCCATCGTCTTTTTCGTGTTGTGTTTCATGCCTCCTCCCTTCTCCCATTTCGGTTACTGTAGTTTCTTGTTTGGAGGCACTCCCTCCCACCCCGTCATCGCTTCTCCTTCCCCACCACCTGTTGCCTCACCCTCCCACCCACCTCGTCATCGCCTCTCCCTCCCACCTTTCCATCGCTGCTCCCTCCCACCCTGCCATCCACTTTCCATTCCACCCCGCCATCCCCTCTCCCTCCCACCGCGCCGTCGCCGCTCCCTCCCTCCCGCCGTCGCCTCTCCGTTCCTCCCGCCGTCGCCTCTCCCTCCTCCCCGCCGTCGCCTCTCCCTCCTCCCCGCCGTTGCCTCTCCCTCCTCCCCGCCGTCGCCTCTCCCTCCTCCCCGCCGTCGCCTCTCCCTCCTCCACGCCGTCGCCTCTCCCTCCTCCCCGCCGTCGCCTCTCCCTCCTCCCCGCCGTCGCCTCTCCCTCCTCCCCGCCGTCGCCTCTCCCTCCTCCCCGCCGTCGCCTCTCCCTCCTCCCCGCCGTCGCCTCTCCCTCCTCCCCGCCGTCGCCTCTCCCTCCTCCCCGCCGTCGCCTCTCCCTCCCACCCCGTAGTCGCCTCCGGCGACAGGTGCACGGGCGCAACCGCGAGTTGGTGCGCGAGCGCGGGTTGGTGCGAGAGCGTGGGTTGGTTTCTGGCACCGTGGTTATCAGGTGTGTTCCCGGTCCTTTCATCCTCCCTCCCCATCTTTTTTTTTTTTTTTTTTTTTTTTTTTTGCTCTCGTCGTAAGTCTTGTGTCTTAGTCTCTTGCATTGCAGTCCCATTTGAAGTAGAACGAGAGGGGTTCGCGAGGAGAGCGTGCGCACGAGAGCGAGCACGCAAGAGATTGCGTGTGAGAGCCAAGAGAGGGTGGTAGAGCGTGCAGGTGGGAGCGTGGGATGGAGAGGCAGGAGCGAAAGTACCCGTGCGCGCTTGTGCCATAGGCACTTGCGCTTAGGCGCTTGCGCCGTGGGGGCGCGATTCGAGGGTGCTGGCACCGTGGGCGAGTGAGAGAGCGCGTGAGAGAGCGCGTGAGAGAGCGCGTGAATGGCGCGTGAGAGTGCGCGTGAGAGTGCGCGTGAGAGTGCGCGTGAGAGTGCGCGTGAGAGAGAGCGTGAGTGAGCGCGTGAGGGAGCGCGTGAAAGAGCGCGTGAGAGAGCGCGTGAGAGAGCGCGGGAGAGAGCGCGGGAGAGAGCGCGCGAGAGAGCGCGCGAGAGAGCGCGCGAGAGTGCGCGCGAGAGAGCGCGCGAGAGTGCGCGCGAGAGAGCGCGTGAGAGTGCGGGTGAGAGTGCGTGTGAGAGAGCGCGTGAGAGTGCGCGTGAGAGAGCGCGTGAGTGAGCGCGTGAGGGAGCGCGTGAGAGAGCGCGTGAGAGAGCGCGGGAAAGTGCGCGCGAGAGTGCGCGCGAGAGTGCGCGTGAGAGAGCGTGTGAGTGAGCGCGTGAGTGAGCGCGTGAGAGAGCGCGTGAGAGAGTGCGTAAGAGAGCGCGCGAGAGAGCACGTGAGGGTGCGGGTGAGAGTGCGCGTGAGAGTGCGCGTGAGAGAGCGCGTAAGAGGGCGCGCGAGAGAGCGCGTGAGAGAGCGCGCTAGTGAGCGCGTGAGAGTGCGGGGGAGAGTGCGCATGAGAGAGCGCGTGAGAGTGTGCGCGAGAGAGCGCGCGAGAGAGCGCGGAAGAGTGCGCGTGAGAGCGGGTGAGAATGCGCGTGAGAGTGCGCGTGAGAGAGCGCGTGAGAGAGCGCGTGATAGAGCGCATGAGGGTGCGCATGAGGGTGCGCGTGAGTGTGAGTGCGAGAGTAAGTGCGATGGAGACTGCGATGTTGAGCGCAAGTGTGATCGCGGGTGTGAGTGCGAGGGTGTGAGATGGTGTGTGCGAGGGCAAGTAGGAGAGTGAGTGCAAGTGTGAGTACGAGGGCAATTGTGAGCATGAGTGTGGGTGTGAGTGTGAGTTGAGTTTGAGGGTGCGGGCGACTTTGTGTGCGTGTTTTTGTGAAAGCGTTCGAGTGAGTTCGAGAGTGAGCGCAAGCGTGAATTTAAAGGTGAGTGCGAGGGTGTGTGTGTGTTTCTGTTAGTGTGTCTAAGAACGGCTGAAATTAATTATGTGACGTGAGTTGTTGCGAGAGTGAGTACGAGAGAGTGCGAGGGTGCGAGTGCGGTTTTGAATCCGATTGCAAAGGCGGGTGTGACTGCGAGAGTGAGTGCGCGCATGCACTCGAGGGTGAGTGCAAGGGTGCGTGTAAGTGTGTGTATGGGGGTGAATGTGAGAGCAAGTGCGAGGATGAGTGTTTGGGTGAGCGCGAGGGTGAGAATGAGAACGAGAGCAAGCGTGAGAGCAAGTGCGAGAGTGAATGTGACTGCAAAAGCGATGGTTAGTGCGAGCGAGCGTGAGTGATAACGCTTATGAGTGCGAGGGTAAGTGCCAAAGTGAGCGTGTAGGTTCTTATGCGTGTTTATATGAGTGTGTCGAAGAAAGTTGGGAGTATTTGTGCGGGTGTGAGTGGGTGCGAGATTGAATACAATAGTGAGTGTGAACGTGAGTGTGAAGTTGAACACGAGGGAGGCTGCAAGGGATCGCATCATGCTGGCGTAGTATCTGTGGTGCCACGACTGATACCAGTTTACCTTTGTAAGTTGTGAAAACCATTGCTCAATTTTTATTGATCCATGCATTCTTAAACAGCTCTTTCTATTGTGCTTGTTTCGTCTCTAGTGCATGTGTGAGCTGCATTCTCTGTTTTTGTTCTCTTGTAGCAATGCTGTGAGGTGTACTCTTGGTTTTTCTTTCTTGTGCAGGGTATGTGTGTTGCATTCTCTGATTTTGCTTTGTGCAGGGCGCGGGAGCTGCATTCTTTAATTTTGATTGGCGGAGAAGGGAGACGAGGGAGGCAGTGGGAGGGAGATGAGAGGGGGAGGGAGGGAGGGAAAGAGGGAGGGAGGGAGGGAGGGAAGGTTGTAAGGACGGTAAGGGGTAATTGGCTAGCGATGATTTATGAATAGCCGAATTTCATGATGGTTGCGTGTTTATTATTATCTGCATGTTTCTGTGCTTGTTTGCGTGTGTGTCAGTGTGTGCGTTTGTGTCGGTGTGTACGTGTGCTTGTGAGCCTGTGTGTGAGATATGTACAGTTGTTTGTGTCTGTCTCAAGGCGTGTGCTGAAGTGCCTCGTGTATGCAACTCAGGTTGTGATCGCCGGTGGGGCAATCGCCTTAGCGTGCCAGACCAATCTCTGTTGCATCATCGATGCATTTTAGCATTCTCCCCAAGACGCTTCAATTGTTATGTGTTGTCGTTTTTGTTATGTGCTCGTTCATTTTTGTTGTAAGGTGTGATGTTAAAGTGTGTCGGGCCTGCAATTGAGGTGGGGATCGTTGTTGGGGCAGCGTTGCTCGCCTTAGCATACCGGATCCATCGCTATTGTAGTACCGATGCATTTTAGCATTCATTTTATGACAGTCACAGTTGTCATGTGTTGTCGTTTTTGTACGTGTTCAATGGATGCAAGTACCATAATGTGCATCCACTGTTTCGTCTCGTCAGTTCTGCTTTATGTAGGTAAAAACATGACGACCAATTCTTCCAGTCGCCGTATTTATCGACGATTATGGAATGATTGGTTACATTTGGTTTCACTTTTTTGGAGACTCGTATGTATCAGTGCCGTCATCTAGACGTGTTTGGAGCACCCGTTTTTTTTAAACGTTAAATCGAGTGCTTCGGGCGTTGGAAAAGAGACAAAAACTGCACTGTTCATTTGAGTCGACCGAAAAAAGTGCTACCAATTGTAAAGGGGTTGCTACGCAACCCAAAAAGGTTGGTCTTGTACGATTTGCTGAGGTGAGCAGTAAGGAATCCCAAAATAATCGAGCATATTCGGCTTGAAACCAATTGCCTTGAAGAAGCTGACGGAGTTGACTCGAATTCAAAATGCTGCGCTGGATAGCTGGGGAATTCTTCCGCGCTGGACTATTTCTTACTGCCACGTCATTTTTATTTCTCCCCACCAACCCCAACAACTTCGCAGTACATCGCCCCCAACCAATTCCAGCCCAGCAATCCATGTGTTGGGGCCGTCAACGCCCTGAAACGTACTAAATCGTGTTGAAGCAAACAAGCAATCAAGTGTACCGTATACAACCTTCTTTCGAAGTCTGGACCTCGACTCGCAGGATGTTCCACGTTCCAAGTTCCTTTACCCTAGACCAGCATTTACTTCTGATGAAGATAAGTTCCTCTACTCTAGACCAGACTCCTCATAGCAACAAAGCTGCTCACACTTCTTTAGAAATCCACGCAATGGCGTTAGTTTCTTTCCTTAGCCGCTTAAAATCCATGGTTTCCCCCGCGCGCACCGAGCCGCCCTTCTCCCTGGAGCGCCTCCCTGATGACGTTCTCGCGCTCGTCCTCCGCTCGCTCGCGCAGACCTCCTTCCGCCACGCGCTCGTTTCCAAGCGCTGGCTCCGCCTTTCCACGGCCGCGCTCTCCCATTTGACCGTGCAGCATCGCGGCTTTAAGACCTTCCTTTTGGAGATACACAATCCAGAGCACTTCCGCAACGCGCAGCTTGCGTGGCTTCCGCTCCCGCACCTTCTTTCCGCGCTCCACCGCTTCCCCGCCCTCACGCACGTGTCGCTGGGCCAATTTTCCATCTTATCCGCCGACGGCGACGCGCTCTTCAAATGTCTGGCCGCCACGTGTCCGCGCCTGCTCCATCTAACGGTGGAGCATCAGTTTGAAATGTCGGTTACTGTAGACGGCCTCGCGTCGCTCTTCCGTGGTTGCCGCAAGCTAAGGGATCTCCGGCTACTCACCACCAACGGCCTCCCGCATCTCCCGGCGTCTCTCTCGCTCCTAACAGATCTCCAAACCCTCCACGTGTGCTCGAATATTCACCATGGCGAAGACTCGTTACAGGAGCTCGTTTCGCCGCCCGAGAGCATCGGCGCGCTGCAGCAGCTGCGGGAATTGCGGATCAGCGCGGGAGCGAATTTCCGCGGTCTCGATGGGTGCGTGGGCCTTCTTAGCAACCTCCGCACGCTGAGCATCAGTAACCTCTGGTCGGAAACTGTCACGAAGCTTCCTGACGAAATTGGCGATTTAGCTCTGTTGGAAACCCTAGAAATCGATCTCGTTGGACTCGAGAGCATTCCGGAATCCTTTCAACTGCTGACCGGGCTGAAAAACCTCTCGCTCCAATCCAAGCGTCTACGATGCCTGCCCGGAAATGTTATGGCGGGGCTGACTCAGCTGCACCAACTGTCTCTCAACTGCTGTGATTCCCTCGAGATTCTCCCAGAGATCATCTGCTTCCTCCCTCTCTCTTGCCTCTCCATCTCCTACTGCCGCTCCCTCACCTCCCTCCCACACCACATCGGCGCCTTGTCCCATCTGGAAACCCTAAATCTCCTCGACCTTGGTGATATCCGGGCATTGCCCGAGAGCCTGGGTAATTTACCCCTGTTAAAAACGCTCGAGCTGGATCTGCCCGCACTAGAGCGTCTGCCCGAGAAATTTTGTGAAGGCAGCCTGCCAGCATGCCTTGAAAAGCTGACTCTGTCGCGGTGCGAGAAGCTACAGGAGCTTCCTCCCTCACTGTACACGCTGACTCGCTTAGAATCACTCCATATCGAGTTATGCTCCCTTATTGAGTCCCTGAAGCCGCTGACCCCTCCAAACCCCCCTGAAGGATCCGGAAGTGAGTCGGAATCGCTCAGTTTGCCTGAAATGGTGTTTACGGCTGTACTCGGCACTGCTGCAGTCTTTGCCGTGATGCTGCTGATCTCCATACCGCTCCGCACCGCTCAAGAGATCATAGCACCGGCCTCCACCGCACTGCACATCCGACCTCCGGTGATGCTTGTCCCTGCTGCGCTGCTCACTTCTGCTGCTGCAAGAACCGAGAACGTTGTCGCAATCCTTGTGTCAATGCTCTTTGTAGTCGTGGTTCTGCTGGTCTCTCTGGTGCCCACTGCGTGGCTCAATCCTGCCATGCTGCTTGCTGCTGCACTGCTGGTCTCCTCCGTTTTATATGCCGGTGCCTCTGCCCCTGCCCCTGCCCCTGCCTCTGCCCCTGCCCCTGCCTCTGCCCCTGCCGCTGCCTCTGCCCCTGCCCCTGCCTCTGCCTCTGCCCCTGCCCCTGCCTCTGCCTGTGTATCCATCCCTCTCTTAGACTCTGCAACAAACAGCACCGAACGACACCCAGACCTAGTTTCTGCCTCTGCCTCTGTCTCTGCCTGTGTGTCTATCCCTCTCTTAGAATCTACACCAAATATCACCGAGCAACACCCGGGGCTAGTATCCCTCACCGAGTTAAAAGTTTCCTACTGCCCGCTCATCTCTTCCCTCCCAGAAAACTTCTCCTTCCCTGCCCTTCACACGCTCACCCTATACTCCCTGGGCAACCTGGAAAATCTCCTGGACCTATCAGGCAAGCAGCTGCCCAAACTGCAACATCTGGATTTGGAGGGGGTGGGGGCCGATTCAGCCTTGTCTCCGGTTGACTGCATTCCCGGAGTGCGGAAGGGGAGAATGTGGCTGCTGCTGCATGCCAAGCCTCTGTTTCTGCTTCTGAAGCTGCTGGATTTAGTGCTGCAGCTGGTCTTGTTGTGGATAGTGAATGGCTGTTGGGTGCTGCAGGGAGTCTGCACTTGGTCGGCTGGCCTTGCTCGGCGATCGTGCAGGTTCGCGTCCGGGGAGGTGGAAGAGAGCAACCCGCTTGTTACCGGTATGAGTCATAACAACTCCGTATGATGCGGCGGTGGATTTACTGCTGCGCTGCAGCTGGCTGGGGCGGTGGATTTACTGCTGCAGCTGGCTCTGTTGTGGATGTGGGAAGGCTGTTCGGTGCTGCAGGGTGCCTGCATGTGGTTGGCGGGTCTTGCACGACTATCTTTGAGCCGTCTCAAAAGAGTGCTGCAGCCGGTGCTGTTGTGGATATTGAATGGCTGTTCAGTGCTGCAGGGGGTCTGCAAGTGGTCGGCTGGCCTTGCTCGGCGATCGTGCAGGGTAGCATTCAAGAGGTAGCAACCCTCTTGTTGCGACGCGTGACTCGGTATGATGCGGGCGGTGGATTTACTGCTGCTGCTGCAGCTGGCATTGCTGTGGATATGGAGGGGCTGTTCAGTGCCTCTGCATGATGCGACTCGTGCGACGTGTGACTCGGTATGATGCGGGCGGTAGATTTACTGCTGCGCTGCAGCTGGCTGGGGTGGTAGATTTACTGCTGCAGGTTGCTCTGTTGTGGATATGGAAAGGCTGTTGGGTGCTGCAGGGTGTCTGCCAGTGGTCGGCTGGTCTTGCTCGGCAATCGTGCAGGGTAGTGCGCGGGTGGTGTGGCGGGGAGGTGGAAGAGAACAGCCCGCTTCTGGGACTCGTGACTCAGTATGATGCGGGCGGTGGATTTACTGCTGCTCTGCAGCTGGCTGGGGTGGTACCGTAGATTTACTGCTGCAGGTTGCACTGTTGTGGATATGGAAAGGCTGTTGGGTGCTGCGGGGTGCCTGCACGTGGTCGGCAGGCCTTGCTCGGCGATCGTGCAGGGTAGCTTACGGGTGGTGTGCCAGGGAGGTGGTGGAATAGAGCAGCCAGCTTGTTGTGAGTCATGACAGCTCGTAATGATTGTAGGTGCATTGTACAGCTTAGCGTACAGGCAGGCGTGGTGTAGGAGGTTGTAGATTGATTGATTGTGATTTATTCAATTAATTTATTCTAGCCTTTCTTCCTAGGGGAATTGGTAAATGTGCTGCAAGGGGGTTTCACTGATATGATGATGGCACGTACAGCTTTCACTCTAGAGAATTCTCAAAAGTGACACTTTACCGGTAATCTTGAGAACTCTTCAAAGTGACAAGTACGTACACCTCAGAAGCCTCTAGGGTTGTCTTGAGCCGCAACCGCCATGGTGCAAGCGTAGAGAACATGCGAGTGGTTTCGAGACGTCTCAATACACAGGCACGTGCACCGCAGAGGCCTGCACGGTTGTTACCAGCCCCAACCTTTGCGGTAACTGCAGAGAGGACTTGCGAGTGGGTCACTGCACGACAATAGGTGCTGCAGCAACTGTAGCGGTGGCCGCCACAGGTTTGGAAGCAGGTGCAGAAGCAGCAGTAACGGCAGGGGATGTAGCAGCAGCAGCAGCACTGGATGTGGCAGCAGCAGCAGCAGTTGTAGCAGCAGTGGATGTAACAGCAGCGGAAGCTGTAGCATTAGGCTTGGGGCGGGGCAGGAAGGCGACGTGGTGCAGAGCGTCTTTCAGTGCTCGCAGCACGAGAGCTATGTTGGCTGGACGAGCGTTGTTGCCCATTATGCCAATGCGCCACACCTGAAAGGCGAGACGGGAGGAGGAGAGGGAGGAGAGGGAGGAGAGTGAGGAGATGGAGGGGGTGAGGGAAACACTGTTTGTGCCCTTGATAGTCACCTTTTGCCCATGATGCCAATGCGCCACACCTGAGCGGAGGAGGTGAGAGGGAGAAAACAGCAGGACAATATGCAAGGGTAGGGGAGTTGCAGGGTATCACCTGGGATGACATGCAGGCCATTCAGTCCTACTCACTCCCACACTCACTCTCGTCCACTCTCACTCTCGCCTTCACCCATCCAAACCCCTCCTCACTACCGCTCTCACACTCTCCCCACCCTCATTCGCCCCCACTCTCATTCTCTCACTATCTCACTCACCATGCCAACGGTGGGCCCCAGCCCTCCTGCAATCTCGAGGTGGTATTTCTCCATGAGGAGAGCCGTCACCTGCGCCCACTGCACTGCACCCTCATACTCCCACTACACCCCCCCATTCAAGCATTCACATTCTTTCACACACTCACACTCTCACTCACCATGCCAACGGTGGGCCCCAGCCCTCCTGCAATCTCGAGTTGGTATTTCTCCATCAGGTAAGCCGTCACCTGCGCCCACTGCACGCCCTGTTCATCCCAGTAGCCTTCAGCCCTCCAACCCATTCTCACTACCTCCCTCACTCTCTCCACACCCACGCACTCATTCTCCCACTCACCATGCCAACAGTCGGCCCCAGCCCTCTGGCAATCTCGAGGTTGTATTTCTCCATGAGGAAAGCCACCACCTGTGCCCACTGCACCCCCTCACTCTCTCAGTTCCACCTTCAATCATCCACTCCCTCCCCACTACAGCCCCTGTTATCTTACACGTTCACTCACCATGCCAACAGTGGGTCCCAGCCCTCCAGCAATCTCGAGATTGTATTTTTCCATCAGGTAAGCCGTCACCTGTGCCCACTGCACGCGTCACACCCTCACTACCACCCTCATCAATCCACAGCCCTCCTCACTACCAGATCCATTCTCTCACACCTCATTCTCTCACTCACCATTCCAACCGTGGGTCCCAGCCCTCCGGCAATGTCGAGGTTGTATTTTTCCATCAGGTAAGCCGTCACCTGCACCCACTTTGCCCCTTCTCACACTCTCACTATGACCTGCACACAGTCACTCTCTCCTCAATCCCTTCCTCACTCACACTCGCTCTCCCACTCACCATGCCAACAGTCGGCCCCAGACCCCCGGCAATCTCGAGGTTGTATTTTTCCATGAGGTAAGCCGTCACTTGCGCCCACTGCACCCCCTCTGGCACCTTGATGGTTGTCACGGTGGGCAGGCGGACGGAAGGGTCCTTCACGAACAGCTCTAGCCCAAGCTGGTGGGTGTGGAGGAGAGGGGAGGGGGAGAAGGGGTAAGGGGCACGGTAGGGGCAAGGAGGAGAAAGGCCAGTTGTTGCTGTCACCTGCAGCCACTGCACGCATGCACGCCCTCGGGCACCTCTATGGTTGTCACCGTGGGCAGGCGGATGGCAGGGTCCTTTACGAACAGCTCTAGCCCCAGATGAGAGGGGGAAGGGGTAAAAGGCGGTGTAAAGGCAAGAAAGAAGGTTGGTTGCTGCTTCGATGGTAAGCCGTCACCTGCGCCCACTGCACGCCCTCGAGCACCTTCACAAACAGCTCCAGCCCCAGCTGAGGGGTAGATTGGGAGAGGGAGGGTGGTAAGGGGGTAACAGAAGGTTAAGTTGCTAGGAGTGGAGTACGGAGGAAGGTCGGATGTTGCTTTGATGGTTGTCACAGTGGGCAGGCGGATAGAAGGGTCCTTCCCAAACAGCCCCAGCCCCAGCTGTAGGGTGGATTTATGGGGAAGAAGGGGGGGTGTGGGGGGGGCATGGAAGAGGGTACGGGAAGGGTTGATATGAGAGAAGTAAAGAGGAGGAAGGTCGGATGCTGCTTCGATGGTAAGCCATCACCTGCGCCCACTGCACCCCCTCCGGCACCTGGATGGTCACAGCATTACCACTGTGGCCACAGCACCACACCAGAGCTACTCAGAGTGTATTTTTAAGACGTCTCAAAAATACCCTCTATACACCTTGAAGGTCACAGCATTGCCACTGTGGCCACAGCACCATACCAGAGCTACTAGAAATCTAGTTTTGGGGCGCCTCAAAACTGGATGGTCACAGCATGGCCAATGTGGCCACAGGACCATACCAGAGCTACTATAAATTTTACTCCTCCCTGACTTCCTTGCTCACCTTGCTCAATACCTTGTGAAGTACAGAAGCTATTAGCCCCCTCCCTCTCCCTCACCTCCTCAATTCCAGCGCAGAGCTTATCAGCCAGGGAGCGGTGGCGATGCCACACACTCTCTAACCCTTCAACCACCACCACCACCACTACCCCCAGCACCACCATCAGCAACAAAGTCATTTCCACCTTCTTTATAGCTCACCTCCTCAATTCCAGCACAGAGCTTATCAGCCAGGGAGCGGTGGCGATGCCACACGCTCTCTAGCCCCTCGTCCACCACCAAAGCTAGCGTCTCCCTGATGGCCATGATGTTGCTTCCGAGAGCTGCATTGGGATCAAATGCAATGAGGAAAGAAGGGCGAGTCAATTGGCGAGGCTCGCGTTTTGAGGCACAGGAGAACCCAAACCATGTTGTGCCTCCCAATGGCTGCTTTGGAATCAAATGTGATGGAGGGGAGAATGATGAATGATGAAGTCCATGATATAAGTACCGTATTGTTATTCAGTGCTAAGATACGTGTGATGGTACTTACATGTATGATGGTACACATGCGGTTTGCCATCCACGCCCCAGAAAGCCCCAGCCTGTTGTAAGATAAATACACAAATAAGGCATGGACTCAAAGCATCAGTTATGCAAAACTCTGTAAATCACTTGCTTGGCATGGGCGAGTGCCCCAAGTCATAACAAAACAGAAAGAGCTTGTTACGAAATAGTCTAGAAATTATGCGAGAGTACTATTTTTCTCTTACCACGTTCATATCGAAGTAGTATGTTTGGATCTGGTGCGCCTTGCTCTTGAGCTTCTGTCTTGCACGCTCATTCATGGAGAACGGCGACGGCGATACGAGCGACGACAGACACTTTTGAGACCTGAAATCCACAAATACAAACACAAATAGTCTCATGCTTATAGCATCATGTGAAGTGGATCACAATCACATTAGATTTAGAATAAACATTTCATTTGACTTCTATGTATAGCAGTGTACCACGTACCCGCTGTAACACACATCGATATCCCATTCGTCCATCAGAACAGGCACTCCTCCCGCCGTGCAAATCGCATCCACCACCAGGAGCGCACCTGGCGGCGAGGAAAGGGAACATCGCAGGGGAAATTGCGGGGGAACGGGGAGAGGAGCTTTTTAGATCTGGCTTTTGCGCCGAGGCACGCGGGGTGGCCCGTTCACCGCAGCTGCAAATAGGAGCTGGCAACCGCAGGATAAGGGTCTACTCTCAAAATCCCTAATTTCTCCTAAGCGCTCTGTCGAGGAGTCTTCGCCATGTGACGCGCGAGACTGCTGCTTCACGCAGCATTAGATCGAACGCAGGCTTAGGAATTCAGAGCGACTTTCGTGCTGGCTTCTGAGGCGCCTCAAGAATGGCTCGTCTAGATATTCAGAACGACCGCGACTCCCCCAAACCCCCATCACAAACAGACGAGGCCGCGACTCCGCGTTACAGGACGACCCGTTTCAAGCGCGTCCCCTTACCGTGCTTGTGGCAGAGTTCCCCCAATCCTTCCAGCGGCTGCAGCGTCCCTGTGCTCGACTCGCCGTGCACCACAAACACCGCCGAGACTCCCGGGTTCTCCTCGAGAGCGTGCGCGAAGTCGGAGAGGGAAAACACCTCCCCCAGTGGCGCCTGGATCGTTCGCACGTCGCCGCCGTGTCGCCGCGCGAGCAGCGCCATTCGCTCGCCCCACATGCCGTTGACCGCGACCAGCACGACGTCCCCAGGTGCCACAACCTGAGATAATGTGACAATAGCGGGAGGAGAGTTCAGGAAGCCAGAACCCGAGGTGTGACAATAGCGAGAGGAGAGAAGCAGGGAGGAGCCGTTAGCGAGGGTTATAGTTGACAAGAGTTGCAAAATTTCGCGAAAATCTACGATAATTCGCGAGAATTTGCGAAGATTGACGAGAGTTCACTCACGGCGTTCACTGCAGATTCCATGGCGGCGTGTCCCGAGCCGCTGACGCCGAGCGTGAAGCGGTTGCGCGTCTGAAAGACGTACTTGAGCCACTCGCGCACGTCGTCCACGGCACCGAGCAGCGAGGGGTGCATCTGTAGCAGGGGGACGCCATGGATGGGCGACGAGGGTGAAAGATAGAGGTATAAGGACGCGGTGAATGGTGGAGGTGAGGTGCATCAGTGGATAAGCATGTGCCTCAAGAAACATCACGCTCGCAAATGAAGGAAGTCCTAAGCATGGAAATGCCAGGGCCTGACACCTAACATGGAAATGCTTACATGGCCGACAAGGGGCGAACCAGCAGCAGCGAGGACACGTGGATGGGGAGATGATGGGCCAGGACCTGTGGGGGGTAAGGTTGATAAGGGAGAGGGTAAGAGAGAGGAGGTATTATTTACTGGACTCGAAAATTGGGGAACCAGCAGCAGGGAGGGCACGTGGGTGGGGAGATGATGGGCCATGAACGGAGGGGGGTAAGGTTAATGAGGGAGGGGGCAGAAGAGAGGAGGTAGAAGGTGAGAGGTGAGAAGGGTGAGAGGTGAGGGGTGAAGGAGGGAGGCGTTCGTGAGTCTGTAATGTGAATGAGAGACGCGGACTCATAAGCAGAAGATTTGGGAGCGTGGGAATGGCGACGTTAGAGTAGAGTCAACACTCACTTGTGAGAACTTGCTCACTCACTCAAAAGCACTCACTAACTGATGAGCACCCACACTCTTCACCACTCACTCACTCTCATGACCACTCACTCATTCACTCATGACAACTCAACAATCACTCACTCACTCACTCAACCATAACGTGCGGGAAAGAGGGACTCACTCATGAGCAGCAGGTTGGGGAGAGTCAGAGGCGTGGTGGGGATGCTCGGCCTCTCAACCCTAGTCGAAGCGGCCGTTGCGGAAGCAACCAAAGGAGCCAAAGGAGCCATGGCGATGGCGGCGGAAGCTGAATTCTTGAGGCGTCTTAGGTCTCAAGAAGGAGTGAAGTGCAGCGCGGCACGAGGACCACCCAACACAGGAGGCAGCAGAGCGAGGATAGCGTGAGCTAAATCCACGTCTGGAGCAAGTATAACGAGTTCTCAACCAGTCTATTTACAATATTCACAGTCCGGTCGGGTAGCGTAGGAGGCGGAGCGGGATACTACCAGCAGTGCACCTTGGAGTTTCGGCTTGAACGACGACAGATCTGCTGGAGAGGAGAGATGCTAAGTGCAACGGGAAGTTGAGGAGGAAAGCTCCGGAATTGGACAGGAGAACGGACTTGCTGAGGTGTATACTACTCGAAGAGGCGATGGCGGAGGAGGGGTGGAATTTGAAGCCGCTTGTCGGGAACGAATGAACGCGATGCTGAGGTGGTGAGGTGGTGGAATTGCAGCCGTGTAGGCAATTATGGAGATTACTCTGCTGAGTCAAGCTGACTACGCTGTGGCAATCTTGATTCAATACGGAGATGCTTGGGATGCGATGAATCTATCCCCCGATCGAAGGGGAACGGAGGCTTGTGCGAGGGGACGGAGCCAGGGGTGGCTGAGGATTCTGGCAGGGAGGATTGTGTCGAACGCTGAGTGCCGACGGGGTTGACTGAGGAATTCGGTAGGGATTTTTCTACCACGTCAGCAGCGCCGCTAATATGGTCGAATTTGGCGGCGCGTGAAAAACGTCTTCAGGAGGTGTCAAGGCACGCGAGGGAGACTGCTGGCAGTAGGTGAACCGGTGAGTGACGTTCTTTACAATCTTCTTCCGGTCCAGCCGGAGTGCTTGAGGATGACGTCAGCAAATTATGTACAGTTGAGACCAAGATGCTTGGGACGTATGTACGGCGTCAAGAGTCGAGAGCTGTGACGCGCTGGCACAGGGTGGTGCGTCGCGTGCTAGCAATGGGAGGGAAGTAAGTACAGTATGTACACAGCAAAGCACGTGTCAGCAGAGAAATGTGGAGTTTTGCTGCTGGGAGTTGGAAGGGAAGTTGCGGTCGAAGTTATCGAGCTGGTTGTTGGAAACGATAGACGGATTGCTGCACAGCTCAGTTGTACTTCGTCGACTTGGAAGGGCTCGGCTTTATGTAATTTCTGATTTGGAGCCAGCGATGCCTCGTTCCGCGTCGCGTGTGATGGGAATCCCTCGTTCCCGCGCTGTGATTTCAAAGTTCGGATCGCGTCCTCGGAGTCAGCTCAGCACCAGGAAGCTCTGATTTGATAAATCCCTCCGCGCAGTCACCTAGGTTGTCGGCTGGAGCAAAGAATGTGGTCCGCGTTTGATGCACGGAACAGCTCAGCACGAGAAAGGACAGCAGTTCCCCAGACTTGGGCTTCTAGAGCCTGTATTTTCGAGGTTTGAGCTCCCAAGGTTTCCTCCAGCTATGAGTCTCTGAGGTTCGAGCTTTCGAGGTTTGAAGTGAAGAGAGAAACAGCCCCCCTAACCTCTTTGACTTGGCTGCTTGTCTGGTGGAGGAAGAAATCTGGGAGAATGCAATGTGCCAGTGGGGACGAAATCGACTGGACGCGCGACTCGGACCAGTAACTTGATTCGCGACCGGAACAATGACGTGATTCGTTGAGAGCGGGATTAGCGAACGAGAAGGTAGTCACTGCGAATGGCAGAAATCGCTGGACGTTTCGCATGATTGGTTTCCGTGCTGACACACCCATGCCCTGGCAGGGCAAGCAGCAATGTCACTGAGATGGAAACTTGCGTGGCCGGTGCGCGGGCCAGCTGGGCGCAGCAAAGATACAAAAAATGGTTACGACTACACATTGTGGATAACTCGTTATAAAAAAAACGAGCTTACGTCATAAGGAGAAGCCAGCTTACTGAAGCAGGCTCATTTCATGGTGGTTACAAATGCACCAAGCACTGTACTACCTAAGCAGTCGCCTTCTTGGGAGTGAACCCTGCATGTTCAAGTGCATCCTTCAGAGCCTCCAAAAGTAGAGCTACATTTGCGGGGCGGGCATTGCTCCCCATGAGACCAATTCGCCACACCTGGTTGCCACAATGATAGAAACACAGGAATTTGGTGTCAGATCAACCAACCGTGACACGTTTTGCAGTTCATTCCAGCAATAGATCATGTCATTGCTGAAACACAATGTCCAGTTTTTTTATCACAATGTATCCAGCACAATCCCAACACAGTACCTTGCCAGCAGTCGGACCAAGTCCTCCCGCTATTTCCAAGTTGAACTTCGACATCAGATGGCCTGCAATGGCACGTGAGACGGGCAAGCAAAACAGCGTGCCCACGTTTTCCAGCTGAAGAAGCAATAATGTGGCTCTTCTAGCTAGGAATCAAGGCACAAACAAGAATGACGAGAGGATGTTTCCCAGAAAATTGCCTGGCACTCACCTGTGACTTTAGTCCACTCCACTCCTTCAGGAACCTTCACTGTTGTCACAGTGGGCAGGCGAGAATCGTGGTCCTCCACAAACAACTCCAGTCCCAACTGAGAGGGGAGCAGAGGACAGAGGAGGAACGCAAAAACGGGAAGAGAGAAAGTCAGAAGGTGGGCAGGCGAGAATCGTGGTCCTCCACAAACAGTTCCAGTCCCAGCTGAGGAGGAAGAGAAAGGGAAGAGAGAGAAATGGTGGGTGGGCGGGCGGGAATCGTGGTTCCCCACAAACAGCTCTAGTCCCAGCTGACAGGGGGGCAGAGGTACGAGAGAGGGGAAGGGATAGTAAGAGGAAGGATGAAAGGAAGGAGCGCAGACAAAAGCTGTGAGCCACCATAATCAGCTCAAACCCAGCTGACAGACAGCGGGACAAGGGTACAAGAAAAGGGGAGGAATGGTGCAGGGAGGGATGGATAGACGGCGAGCAGTGCCAGCTGGCAGCAATTACAGTGGAGTGCAGAAGACGGCTGAGGGAAGGTGGGATGGGAAGGAGCGCAGCATTCATGGACGGATCAGTGGACGGAAAGGAAGGCAATTCCACATCAAGTTAGATACATGAACCACTGTGTAAATCTCAGTGCCCCTCTTTTTCAGCCAACCAGTGCAGTATCTTTCTCACTCCCCCACAATTGGCCGTCGCGTTGCCCTTTCACCATTCAGCAATCCATTTCAACCCCAGAGGATCCCTCACCTCTTCCAGCCCTGCCCACAGCAGCTCGGCCTGGCTGCGATGGCGCTGCCACACATTCTCCAGACCCTGTCATGCACAACAGAAAAAAACACAGAACCACCAGCGTCAGCAACAAAGAGAGGGAGAGAAAAAGAGAGAGGTTAACAGTCCTGACTTCCCAGAGCCCCCTTGTGAAGTGTTTTCCCTGGCCTCACTCATGCGAGGAGGACAGAGATGCTCGCATGGGAAGCAGAGAGTGATGAAAACTCGAAAAAAGCTGGCACCCCACAAGCCATCGTCCAGCAGTAGAGTTAGACAATCAGAGGCGATCTGTGTCCCTGGTACCCCACCCAGGGCAGCCAGTACTCTAGTCAACTCAAGAACAGCCAAACCAGCAGTTAACGGTGATGTGTTTGCTTGTACCTCACCAGGAGCCACCCGTCCTAAACCAACCCCCTGAACTTTTCAAACAAATGTCAGACGCTGTACATACGCGCAGTAGGATACCAAAATGGTTCACAACTTGCTTGGGCCATGGCTACTCACCTCCTCGGCCAGCATGGCAAGTGCTTCCCTCATGGCGTTAACATTTGTCACCAGGCCTGATACGGTTGAGATGGGTGCATGAGGGTGGAGAGGGGGGGACAGCTAGGTGAGGAAGGTGCCAAGGGGCGGAAAGGAGGGTGGGAAGGTGAAAGGGAGGAAAAGGCGGGCACCCTGAATGGGTGGGGTGGGATGAGAAGAAACGCAATATTCGGATACATTAAGGGTCCATCCATGGCATGCCTTGGTCACTAGTCAATGGGTGTATAAATTTATGGATCTCCTACGCAATGTTAAAATCTGGTGTACCTGTGTGGTGGTACTTGCGGGGTTCGCCATCCACTCCCCAATACTCCCCAACCTGCACAAAAAGCGGATAATATCAGCAGCATGGCCACAACGCTTGTGTCCATTTAGGTTGTGGGAGCTGTGGAAACCAAGCATTCATTGAAAGAGAATATGTAAGGACTAAAGAAGCCGATGGATGAGAAACCACGGGTCCTGAATGAGCTCACTCACGCTCCGTACAGTGTGTACAAGCGATGACCTTGCAAATTTAATCGTGAAACGAAATAATGTGCAGTCTAGGTTACCAAACGCAGCGTTATGAGGTTCATATGTTGCGTCTTGCAAGGTTGATGTGCTACAGGGTTCAAATCTCACCAGGTTCATATCGAAGTAGTAGGACTGGACCTGCAGAAAGCACAGCAGAATCAAGATACAGGGATCGAGAGCAATTGTACTAATACACATGCCTTGCGTCAACGAGTTCATATCTAAAGTGTAGAAATGAGACTGCTAACAACCAGCAGCAACCAGCAATCAGCAAGCAACCAGCAGAAGAGGGCTGAAGGGCATGGGGATGGGAAGAGCACGGGGGCTTCTGTGGTAGGCAGGGAATAAAGCCAGTCAAGGGAGAGTGGGGAGCGCAAAGAGAGACTGAACGCTTGGCAAGCTTAGCCCAATCCTTGTTCCTCCTTGTTTTTCCCCTTCAGCCAACCCTGATGCATCCCTCCCCAACAGCCCATCCCATCCCTCCACACCCTTTCCCATCCCTCCACACCCCTTCCCACTCCCTTTCAGTCGCTGCCCGTATCCCAGACTCACAGGAGTGGCACGGTTGGCTAGCTTTGCACGGGCTCTCTCGCTGAGAGAGAGGGGTGACGGGGCAACAGGCGCAGACAAGCACTTCTGGGAGCCGCTGTAAATGACGTCCACTCCCCATGCGTCCACGTGCAGAGGGATCCCTCCGAGTGTGCACACAGCGTCTACAAACAGCAGTGCGCCTGGGAGGCAGAAGGAGAGGGGGGAAGAGGCGGGTGTGCATGGGAAAGGGCGGGAAGGGCAAGGAGCGGCGGACAGACACTTCTGTGAGCCGCTGTAAATGACGTCCACTCCCCATGCGTCCACGTGCAGAGGGATCCCTCCGAGTGTGCACACTGCGTCTACAAACAGCAGCGCGCCTGGTGTAGGGGAAAATGGGGGTGTGTGCAAGCGAAGGGTAAGAGAGGCACTTCTGGGAGCCGCTGTTAATGACGTCCACTCCCCATGCGTCCACGTGCAGAGGGATCCCTCCCAGCGTGCACACTGCGTCTACAAACAGCAGTGCGCCTGAGATAGGAGAAGGGGTACACGGGAGGGTGCGTGGGGATAAAGGGTAAGGGCAGATGAGTGGACAGGCACTTGTGAGAGCCTTTGTATATGACATCCACCCCTTTACGCGACCATGTGCAGCGTCTCCTCACAGCAGACCCGTTTCAAGACCATGCTCTCACCGTTCTTATGGCAGATCTCCCCCAAGCCTTCAAGAGGCTGCAGCGTCCCAGTGCTGGACTCGCCGTGCACCACAAGCACCACCTTCACGCCCGGGTTATCCGCCAGAGCCATTCAACGTCACAAATCTGCTCCAAAGGAATGCATGCTCTCACCATTCTTGTGGCAGACCTCTAACATTTTTGAGTCGACTCAAAGGAAGGTTTTCCGCCAGAGCCTTCTCCACGTCAGCAACCTGCTCCAAGGCCATGCTCTCACCGTTCTTGTGGCAGAGCTCCCCCAGTCCTTCCAGAGGCTGCAGCGTGCCCGTGCTGGACTCGCCATGCACCACAAACACCACCTTCACTCCCAGTATCCCATTGCAGGCAAACCTGCTCCAAAGGCACGCATGCTCTCACCATTCTTATGGCAGACCTCTCCCAACCCTTCCAGCGGCTGCAGCGTCCCCGTGCTGGACTCGCCATGCACCACAAACACCACCTTCACGCCCGGGTTATCCGCCAGAGCCTTCTCCACGTCAGCAACGGAAAACACCTTCCCCGGTGCCGCCTCCATCTTCCGGACGTCAGCACCGTACCTCGCTGCCAGGATCGTCATGCGCTCGCCCCAGATGCCGTTCACCCCAACCAGCACCAAGTCGCCAGGCTCCACCACCTGATGCAGGAAAAGAGAAGGGAGGGAGGATGAGAGAGAGAAAACTTCTGAGGCGCCTCAACAACCTAGGTGCCTGGGTCGTCATGCTCTCGCCCCAGATGCCGTTCACTCCGGCCAGCACCAAGTCGCCAGGCTCCACCACCTGATGCAGGGGAGAGAGAGAGAGAGGGATAATAACGAGACTTCCCGCTATCTTGTTTAGACTTCCAAATGCCCAAAGCAGCACATGCTAATCAGCCCCCATGCCTCCTTCCTATCCTCACCTGTTCCACCCTCCGCAAACCCGAGCCCTTCCATATCCCCCGAGTCACCCCCCAGCCCCGCCTGAGACCCTTCCAGCACCCCCGAGCTGCCCCGGCACCCCCGAGACCCCCCAGTGCCTCTGAGGCCCCCCCAGCCACCCTACAGACACCTCAATCCTCCGAAGCTTTCCCAAGCGGCCAAGAGAGGAGTGTGCGACTCACAGAGGCGACGGCAGCCTCCATGGCGGCGTGGCCGGAGCCGCTGACGGCGATGGTCCCCCCCAGGGCCCCCTAGTCCCTCTGAGCTCCCCCCATACCCTTCAGCCCCCCCCCCAGAGACTCACAGAGGCGACCGCAGCCTCCATGGCGGCGTGGCCGGAGCCGCTGACGGCGATGGTGAACGGGTTCTGCGTCTGAAAGGTGTACTGCAGCCATGACTTCACCTCGTCCATCACTGTGAGGAACTCCGGATGCATCTGTGACGAAGGGAGAGAGGGGGGGGGGGGGGGGGGGTGATGACAACGGCCACGTGATTTAGTATTTGTTGCGTCTGGAAGGTGTGCTGCAGCCACGCCTTCACCTCTTCTATCACCGCAAGGAACTCCGAATGCATCTGTTACGACGGGAATGACAAAGAGGAAGTTGGAACGTACCAGGATTGACATTGGGGATGCACCGGAACGAAATTTCAAGACTGGGCCAAATGACATTTCGAGCCGCAGCCACGTATTGACCTCATCCATGACTGGCAGGAACCAATGGATTTCTGTGCGGCGTCAGAAATAAGAATGGAAATTATACCCACGAGGAATTACATTTCAAGATGTCGCACAAGGAGAAATAACTCACGTGGCCGACGAGAGGCAGGGAAGCGGCGGCAAGGACTCGAGGGTGGGGAGTTGCCGGGCCAGGACCTGAACAAAATTCACGCACAGGGTTGAAAACACAGTTCACCCCAAGCCATGAACAAATTTCACGCACAAAATTGTCATCCGAATCGCGGTTCACTGTCACAGAAGAACGTCATTGAGGAACTGACGTTGGAGTGGACTAATTGGTAACTTTGATGCCATTCCATCGGCGAACAACCATTACAACGAAAGTTCGAATGGATGCTCAAATGTTAGGCATGTAAAAATGTTTCGGATAAGCGTACCCATGAGAATCCTATTCGGAAGGCTTAGCGGCGTCGTCGCTAGCGCGGGCTTGCTGACTTTGAGCTCCGCCATGGCTGCCAAATCCGCGGTGGTTACAAACGCTGAAGCAGCACTGCCCTGACTTATCTGCGCCTGAGCGACACCGAAGTAAAGCGCAGAAAATGAAACCCAGGCTATTGACACTACAAAAGGGAGGAGAATTGCCAAGGAGCTACACGCAACGCCACAAAAAAGGCGTTGAAAGCCGGCGAAACGTTGTCTAAATCCGCTTCTGGAGCTGCACCTTTCAGAAAATGAAACAGCCATGGCTGAATCTGAATTAGTAAATTCATGGATTGAGCCATTCTCCTAACCTCATCCCGCAGAAACATTGCCGATGAAATCTGTGCATTGTGGACCAGTGGTCCCCACAGAAAGATTTTGCCGCGGGAGCATGATGTGGCGTCCGTCATTTCAAGCCCGAAAGGAGGAAGCTTGGAAATTGCGACTTCAGAGAATCAACCACGTGGCTGACTACGTGGAGCTCATGAAGCAGGTTCATGTTTACACTCCCTCCCAACAACTGTACCTTGAATATTTTGTCTTCGAATATAGTGCATATATGCTCATGAATTTCTAAAGAATGTAAAGTATCTACTTAGTAAAAGCTTTCATTGCCAGTGCACTTCTTGATGGCTATGGAAGACAAGCTGATCCGTACCAAACAATGCAGAGAGTTCATTAGCTTACGCTAAGAAATAGGTAGTTGAAACTGACAGGCTGAACAGCAAGCACAGCATACACATGCAAAACTTATGTACACTAAAAGAGAGTTAGCAGGAGCAGCTGAGCACTCGTAACTAACGCAGATGGTGCCGAGGCCCTTTTGGCCTCAAGGGCGTCTTGGAGGGGCTGACCCTGGAAACAGATGGAGGAATGACCATAGTTAGGAAGACTTCACGAGAATATTGCTGCAGCATATTACAGTAAGTAGTGCAGCTCCGTACCTAATTGGCAGGCTACCCAATATAGCTCCACTGCAATTCAACGCAGCCATTGCACTCTCCGCCTGCAAACAGATGGTAGTGATGTTAGAAATTGCAGACAACACCATGCTTCTGGAAACTTACAGCATCACAGGGACAATTCTTGACCCTTCCTTGGCAAGAAAAAGACTTACCATCACGAACTCCACAAAGGCAATCCTAGTGGAGTGCTGGGAGTCTCCAAGCAACCGAAGACGTGAAACCTGTCGATGAAAAAATGAGCCATGTTAGAATAGAAGAAGAGGGTAATGATGACGTTAGGTAGCTATTCCATCATAGCTTGCACGCATACCTCTCCACAGAGTGACTCAAAGAACAGCTTCACATCAGAATGAGCAACCTGCAAAGCAAAAAGGGAGTCAGTGAATTTGATTCCTCGCATACACCATGAACATGGGAAACAATCCAAGTACAGCTCACCTTCTTATCAATGTTTGTACAGTAGATAGTGCGAGCACACATTTCCTTCTCGCCCTGGCTCTGAACATAGCAAGGGGAGAGACATGTGTGAGTAACTTTTCTAAGCAAAGAGGCGACAAACTCAGCAAAGGCTGAAGCGGGCAGTCTTGTTTGTACCTTGGGCAGATAGTTGGGGTTAACTGGCAGAATGGCAGTCTTTGAAGGTAAGACGCGGAGTGGGTAGTAACCCAGCATGGTTCCTGCTACAGTCAGGGCTTTTTTTGCTCCTTCTGCAACATAAAAACCCACAAGCAACACAACAAGAAGTAGCGTTAAAAAGGTTGCGAGCTGTTAGTAGCACTCTGCCAAACATGCTGGAGCATGACTTACCTTCATTTGTGAATTCTACAAATGCAAATCGAAGGATAGAATTGGGGTCTCCACAGATTCGACAATCAACGACCTGCGACAAGGAGTCACATAAAGCGTTTCAGTTGAAATAAAAAAAATGCTTTGATGATGAATGAAGTAAAACAAGAGTGTTATACCTGACCGCAGGACAAGAAAAGTGTAGCAAGTTGTTCTTCTGTAACCTGCATAGGGAAGAGGACAAGAGACGACCAAAGGTTACTGAGAACAGTATGTTGGAAGGAGTCACGTGATACCACACAAAAATAACGGCCGAAGGAGTCAGACACGTCCCCCGTGAAAAAAGGATGGTGTCAATACCTGCTGATCAATGTCAGAGACATAAACGGTCCTCTTGATGGATTCTTCGGTGGAAATTTGTGACGTTCTCGGCTGTCGTCGCCAACGTTCGGCACAAGCAGGAACTTTCTGCGGCTGCAAAGTATGAAAGAGAATGATTTCAGATTAGAGGGTCCAGATGTTTCAGAAGTCGGATGATCAGAAAAACGAGACGGTTTAGAAATTGAGACTCACCTTCTGCATGGAATTCCTCTTGGAAGAAGCGTATCTGGATGGAATAGTCCGAACAATAGCAGTCGGCCTGTGCTGCACTGTCGATGGGACATACTCCTCCGCATTTGGATTGAGGCGCTGTAACATTGCCTCAATGTCCATCATGTTCTGCTGATTGGCGTCCGACTGAAGTTCTGAAGTAGCATTTTGACACGAATCACCAAAATTGGTGATCGTGCCAAGGTATGGCTGGTGGAGCACGGCAGCATAAGCACTCAATGCGTGATACTGCTGATAGAGGGACGCGATCTGTTCTGCAGAGTAACCTTGGAATGACTGCATGAATGAGAGTGCGTTCTGATCAGATAATGCCGACGGGTCAACGACCCACACAGTATGAGGGCTGTACATCATCTGAGAAACATCATACTGCTGCTGAACTAGGATCACGTCGCTCCCAGAGTCAGTGTCACTGAGAGTGGCACTTTCATCACTGCAGACACTTGAAGCCTGATTATCATGAACCTCTTGAGCCGTCTCAACCTCAGCCATTGTCATCACAAGGTCAGCGATGAGGAGAGTACTGCTTTGACGTCCGTGAGAAGGTACTCGCTCGAAAACACGAGGTACTACTACCGAGTGATACTTGAAGGTACCGTAGCTGGTCTGGCCAGTTATGAATTTCTAGTAGTGGTGCTGTTGGAGGAGCACCGCTGAATGCCATTTAGCGTCGTTTCCCAGCAGTTATCAACTCGCTGTGTGGTTGGAGGAAGAAGCCAGAAAGACGCGCGAAGCGAATTACAGCCGACAGATGCTGTCAGTGCGTCTCCGTCTCGTGCCTTGAAATCCGTCGGCCCGTCGGAATGTCTGTATCTGCAAAATGCTCGATCCGCTAAGAGGCTTGATGAAAGAGCAGTTTTCCCGTGACCTAATGACGGAGACGCCTCGGGGATTGCAAATTCTGTTCCGTGGTTCCGTCTATTTGACGAAATAATCAGCTCAGGTGATTCCTTCTGCCGGGCAATTGGCGGCCAGAGGTTCAAGGCAGGGAATTGACAGAATGTCCCACGGACACGATGGTAGGAAGGACGCTGATTGCCAGCGGAAGGTGTCATGACTCATGATTCCCAGTTGGGGTCAGGCCAAACATCCCTCCATCCACCCTCCTGTCCCCTGTCGTTCATCCATCTGGCTGAACATCCCTCCACCGTCCCCTGTCGCTGCGAAGGGCAACGTACGTCAGGGGGGGTGTGGCCCGTACCAGACGAGTCGTTCGGCTCGACAGCGGGAGGCAAACCGCCCAAGTCTTTCGCTGCAGCAGCTTGCCGTTGGGTGTGGCGAAATGTACAGTACCAATCTAGGTTACGGCCCATCGGGAATGCCGGGGGAGTTGTGCGAAAAGCGAAAAACCGCAAGAATTAAAACGAGGGTCTAGATTTGACAAGCGGGGGTTCAGAAGTTTTTGTTTTGAACCAGGCTTGCCAGCGCGAAAGTGTTGGCTAACGAAAACCTGGATTTCGTGCGGACACTTTTCCTCCGCAGTAACAGTTCGCCAGGGTTTTGGGTTTCGGGTGGCAAATGTGCACCGTCGCTTTAAGCGCCACGGCGCCGTCACCTGTCATGTTGAAACGAAACCAACCGACAGTGCATGGCTGCTTGTGCTTGTTCGTCGGTCCAAATTCTGGTGGTTTTGGCGAAGGACGATACCACCCTTTCTGACGGCCCGCGCCTGGTAACGAGATACCACCTCGTGTAAGAGCGGACGATGTTACATAATTTATCACGCATTAAACCGTATGAAAACAAGTGACCTTCAGGAATTATTGCGATTACAGCACCTGACTCCACACTTGAATATTTCTACATGTAAAAATTGTACAAGGAACAAAACGGATATTAATTCAATACATGTCCATGTCTCACTGCCAGATCTCATCCTACGTCACGTATACTGAAAACTGGAGTGAATGTGGTACCCTTCCACGAGTTTTTTTCCCCTCAGGAAGGGTGGCTTCTAGCAGGGTGCGAGGAGATGGTGGGCGTGAGGACGAGCGTGAGCAGCAGGAGCATCACAACCACAGGAACCAGCATTAGCTCCGCAGGTGGCGGGGCCACGTCTGACAAGCAAGCAGGAAGCAGGACCAATACCACAATCACCACAGCCATAATGGCCAACACGGACTTGGCTGATGCCTGATGTGACGTTTTAGCCAGGCCTGTGCCTGCTGACTCACTGTTATCTACTCTTGCGTGTGCTACATCCTCGTCATCCTCTGCCGCAGCGTTGAACAAGGCCATAACCCTAGCAGCCTCTCTACTGTTTTCCGGAATCTGTGCAGTAAGATATCCTCCTCCTTGTCCCATGACGGCCTCCCTCCCCGCAGCGGCGCAGGCTGCTTCCCTTCCGTACCTGTCCCCGTCCCTCCACCAACTTTCCGTGTCGTTCGTCGCGTGGCCGCGCTCAGCCGTCGGATACTCGTCCCGGACGATGCCGTTGAATTCCATTCCGCGCGTCCCCGCGCCTTGCATTCCCCCTCCCGCGCCAAAACGAAGGTCGGAAGCCGACCCCGTCTCTGCACTGGCTTTGCTGTACCGAGCGCGGCTTCCGGCGGCGGCGGGGGCGGCTCTGTACCCGCTAGCGACGGTGTATTCCGAAGCGCGAAACGCCGCGGGGTTATCGTGGCTCCAGCTCTGCCTACCCAACGTGCTCGCGCGTGCGCTGCCGCTGCGCGGAGCGACCTGGCTGTAATTTCCGCCGGCGGCGGCAATAGCGCCGCTCTTGGCGCCAGGATGGCTGTAACGCTCGTAGCCGTACTCAATCTCAGCTGCATATACAGGACCACCACCGCCGCCGACGCGGTTCGTCCGCGGATCCCGCCGTTCCGCCGCAAGAGACGGAGGAAACCCCCCCTGCTGCTGACGATGCAAATCACGGTGCTGCTGAGTCAAGAAAATGCTACTGCGTGGGCTTCCGTGGCCGCTTCCGCTTCCACGATGACTTCCCCCATCGCCGCTTTCGATGCTACTACTTGATCGTTCCGCGTAGCATTGCGAGCTGAAAATGAGGCGGTCGGCGGAATCTTCCGCATGAACGCTTCCGCCGCCGCTATGGCGGTCGAGGGACGCGGCGGATGGGCTGTCCGGGGAGCGGCTGGTTAATTCTTCGGCTCGGTCGCGAGGAGTATATGGCGACATTGTTCGTGGCGCAAGGCAGACGTCGTTTTGATCTCGATGTCGATACATTGTGCTGGAATCTGAAATAAGTAGGAAAAGCTTGATTTTTTTGTTGCGGATGAAGCAACTTGTGTGCGATATAGTAGGACTTGGGTCGTTCAAATGTGTGACCAGGAGAAGAATTATTGAAAGAGCTCGCTGTTTGTGAAATCTACAGCGAGTCACGTGACGTGTGCTGCGTGTTAGACAGCACAGTTCCATACGCGATTACAGCAATTCCCGAAGGACCAAGGAGCATCAGCAGCAGAGGGAATGCTGCTGGTTGGGCACGCAGCAGAACCCCGTTCGTCTTGGATGAGGCGATGTAGCCTCACCTCTCTCCGTCAGCCACACCTCCGCGGCAGTGCTGCTCCACATGGCCGTTGCCCACTCCGTACCTCCTGCTATTCCCGTGCCTCCTCACCTCACGAGCTTCGACCTGTCACAGCCGCGGAAATGCCATCCATGCGCTGGCGGGGAATGGTGAAGGCTGGGGATACTGTTGGCATGGCATGGGCGGTGATTCCTGGGCCCTGGCTTGCCCGAGTGCTCGTATGGTTCGGTTCGGTCAGCGTCAGGGGCTCGTTTGGTTGGTGTGGCTTGCGATTGCTGCCGTGTGCACCCCGTCATCATTTTTGTGACAGCTTCCCGAGCCACCAGAAACTCGATTCATTGTGGACGCCAGCGCACCTCGTCAATCGTCGGGAGCACATGACGGTCAGACGTCACGTTCCACAGAAGTTCATTTCCGCGAATGTCATCACTGGAAGGAGTACATTGCTTGCCACAACAACGGATAAGTAACAATATATTCTGTGCCAGAATATATTATACAAATAAGGCTATACAAAGGACTTTTACGTGCACTCGTAATGCCCCGCAGTGTCAACAGTGACGCTGCTAGGAAGAATGACCTCAGCATTTGGGTGCACGAGAGGGACAGAGAATGCTGGATGCCAGATGTCTTGCTTCGGCTTCTTGTGCAAATCCACCGCAGTTGTCCAGCACGGAGATACGGATCGTGCCACGTTATTTGCGGTGAAGCCGCGGCCAGTAGTCGCTGTATGAATATCTACAGTAAGCCCCCCGGAAGACGGGGAACGTCGATGAAAGTGCCATAAGTCAGGATTAAGTGGATTGTCACAATTATACGCAACATTCACTGAACGTTGGTACAGTAGTGCGTGCAATATCTCCAACAGAAGGCAATGGGCTTGTTTATTTGCTGCTTACCCAAAAGATTACAAGTCATATCCCAGTTTCGAATTTAATTACATGAAGCAGTCGGCCTGGTTTGATTTGATCCCAGCAGTTGTCTCTGTGTTTACAAGAGTGTCGCAAAGAACGTGTGTCCAGCATTTTCGAGGTTCCCCAAAATTGTTGTTGTTAGAAAATGAGATGCGATATTCCAGTGTTTGTATAGAATGAGGTGTGGAATTTTCCGTAACAGTCGTGTAGTTGTGAACGGAAGGGATTGGAAAAAAGGATTATCCATGCCAAGAAGTTCAGGGTAAACCTTCTATTTGATTCGATCTTGGGATTGGAAAGGAAACGTAGACGATATACACTTGATAGCCTTTTTAGAAGCATAAACGTTTAGTTTGAATGGTATATATGAGGGAAACTAACAGAAACGGTTGAACTTATTGAAATGGAACCAGTAAACAGGCCATGGTTCATCCCTCCACCATACTTGCATTTCGGCAACTTATGTGTTTTTTGGCACTTGGTATGGCAACTTAGGTTTATAAAAAAATACATTTCTATATGCTAAGATTGGATCACATACCATCGCGGAAGGCGTGGACTCTAAATTCTTTAAACATTGCGATTGTTGTTGCCGTTCTGCATGGATTTTATTTTTGCCCTTGAGAGCCGGCTTTCTAAGCAGCGCCGGATTTTCATTGAAAATCTAGTATGCTGTACGACAGATGGTATTACTTTACCGTAATCAAATCGATTTGATTGTTGCTTCTAATAGGCAAATGATGTCACGTCGGGATATTTCGATAGCTCAACTAATCGTGTGAGATTTAATTCTAAAATTTTATGAAATGAGAAGCATGTATAACTCGCTAGAGGCATACCGAACTTCCTTGCTCCAATTAGTTGACCGAACGCCCAATTATGTGATCGACCCGACCCATAAAAATGTAATGACATATTCTCATATTCATAGAAACGTCTGGTTGGTTCGTTGGTCTATGGTCCAACCGTGGTGATGACTTTTACTCGGTCTGGGAAACAAGTTGTCGGATTATCTGGGATTAGATAGATAGTTTAATATGGTCCAAGTAGGACCAAGATCCAACCTAACTGGGCCTTTTTTTCACGAGCTGATCTAGACATCGTTTTTCCTGCAAGTGCCAGGTAATGATGCGTTACTGATAGTGTTCTGCGCATCCGCTTGGCTTGTAACGTATTTACATGAGCTGGTGAATACACCCTGGGGAAGACGGTAGGGGATGCTGTTAAACCATCATCAAGTGTGCACGCCAAGGCTGGCTTGCTAGCTTGGGTTGCTCGAACCTCTCGCCTTTTCTTCGACTTGGTGGGTTGGGGAAGACAATTTGAAAGCAGGCAGTGGTCCCCTTCCGCCAGCTGTCCGCATTTCGCCTCCGTTCCGCGCACATCATCCTCCCCCGCAGCTGCATTGCTTGGGCCTTGCGCGCATGTCCTCCTCCTGCCTGATGCGATTTCTGCTCCATCCACCCTTGCCAAAGTTGCTTGAAACAAACACCTCCCCGCGGCTCCCTGATATTGCCGCGGCAGGGCCGCGGGTCATGTCATGGGGTTGACGAGGAGCCGGTTTTCAATCTTGGACGAGGCTGGACACGTGAACCGTATTGAACCGTCGTGATAATTATATAAATCACTTTGTAACCCAGCATATTTCCCGAGCCTGAGGTTCGGCACTCTCCCCGTGCCCGAGGGCCACGAGCACCTGGCTTTTCTGAGACGAAAAGTGCACATGGTGGTTTCTTCCTGACCACGCAAAACGCTGCACCCTTGTGCAGCTTTCTCGAGAATCTTACATGGATGGATTCTCTGCTCAGACAGACTTCGCCTCCCACCTCACCACCTGGACAACAGCCGCTGCTTGAACGCTGCACCGTTTGTTGTTGCTCTGAACCTTTTTCTATCGTTCTAAACCGTTGGGGAACGCAACGATCTTTCAAACAAGTTTTATTTTTGGGAAAGCTTGTATTCTGGACAATAGTTTCTAGTCTCGGCCTAAGTTTCTAGGCAATAGCTTCTTGTCGTGCTCCTGTCTTCATCAACATCTCACCTCTCGCCTCTGTTTGTCACGACTCCGAAGACGAAACGATTTATTCAGTTTTATTCCGGCTTGTTTGCGTCGGAAGAGCGATCAACGCTTTTGTATGGACTCCAGTGGAGACCAGAGCTGGAAGAGGTCAGTGTTCGACCTCTCGCGCTTTACTTCACACCCCTCCTTGCTTCTTCCTGCCGCTGTCGATCTGCACGCATCGCATAACCCGTCTACGTTCACGTCCCCATCCGACGTCTCTTCCGTGCATGTCATGGGACCCTCGTGGCGTCTTCATGATACGACCGTGACTTCCACTTCTCGACTCGTCCCCTACTACGATTCTCTCCACTCCAGCGCCGGCAATAACCCGATCCAGCGAAGGTCATCCGGGAGCTCGTCGTCTCCTTCTTCAGACCCTTTAAGAAGACCATCACGACAAAATTCCTGCCGTGACGAGCGTCGGCGATCTGGCGATCAACCGTTCCCAACAGATAATCGCTACTCCTCTTCCTCCTCATTATCCGGCGGCCAAAATCGTGGACAGCCGCAGCAGCGTCGTCGTCCCGGCATGTCATTTCAAAGCAATTCATTTCGGTCACAGGGGGGAGACCCTGTCGAGGCTCATCTCGCGCACGCCGTTTCGGAGCTTGCTGCGACGAGAGCTCCACCGGCCGAAGAGCTTCTGGGTTTTTCCGAGCAAGAGATCCAAGATTCTAATCAATCTGATGGTCAAACAAGGACGCGAAGCGCACTAGTCGGAGGGACGAACCCCCCAGCTGCTCGGATGATGTCTCGTCGTGCAATCCTGGTGGTGACTGTCTTCCTGTTTCTACTTATAGTGCTGCCAGCACTTCTCCCGAGCATTTCTCCTCCGCCTTCGGCGCTGCTGGTTATTCCGGTGATGCTCATGTTCATGCTGGTATATCTAGCTCTGGCTCCTCACCATCTTCCAGGGAGGAACCACGTTTACACATAGCACTCTTTATCTTGGCTCTTAGCTTTAGTGCTCTCTCAGAGCCTCTGTTGCTAAATAAGCTTTTCCTTTCAGGCACCTTTGAGGAGGTTTCAAGATTAACAAAATTAATGCAGAAGATTAATTCACCTTTGAGCTACAATGGCTGGTTTGGCGGCTACAATATTGTACAGCCAGACACAATACAGCATGTATGGTCCTTCACAAAAACAAAATCTAGCCACGCCATTCATCTGGATCTTAATACACTTTTTATGCAGGATGATAAGGCTTTTACGTTCCTGAACTGCAACACATGCAATGCAAGTACTCACATAAACATTGCCTACAATGGTGTAAGGCTATGGTGTGGTACATCATACTCAAAGCAGCACCATAACCAAGTCAGGCACCCAACCTGAATTTCCTCCACCTAGACCCCAGATCCACCCCTTCCAGACCCGTTTCTCCAACAAGAAAGTCCACCATCCACCATAAGCTTTCTGACCTGAGCAGGGACCATCACAAGGTGCTCGCTCATCCTCCAATTTATGAAGCATATATAAGATTGTATGCAGACACTGAATGGCTCAGGCGGCTGGGAAGAGAGAGCTGTCAAGCTGTGTCTGCTGCATGCCCGCACTCCCACTGCCTCCACCACCAGAGGAACGGAAATCTCGAGGGAGGGCTGAGAGCAGGCGACGAGTGGCCTCCGCCCTGGAAGGGAAGAGAGGGGGTACGAGGAAATGATAGGAGAGAGAAAGGTGAGTGCAATGGCGGAGAACTGGAGGCACGCGGAGGTGGAGGGGGGATGGATGGTGGGGAAGAAACTGAACAGGCCGGCGGTTACCAGACATGCGGAGGAGTATTTAAATGCGGCTACTAGAAAATTCTCCAATCCAATTTCTTTAAGACCATACCTGCAAGCAAGTGAAATGTCGTCTCGATCCACCAACCCCAGCACCCGATAGGTGAAAGAGAAACCAAGTGTGGCTATCAAGAATCTTATTTCCAATTCTTATCCGTACCTGCAAGCAAGCGAGATGTCGTCTCGATCCACCAACCCCAGCACCCGAAGACGCACTACAGGTGCCACGTCATCATCGTTGTTGCGGACGTGGTCCCCATCCGAACCACTCTCCCCATCCGTGTCACCCTCCTCTCTCTCACTCCCACTGCTCCCCCCTCCACTTCCCCTCACACTCCTCCATCCATTCTCCCTTTCACTTCCTCTTTGGTATTCCCTCTCACTCTCACTCCCACTACCACGGTCACTCTCACTCCCGCTCCCACCACTGCTGCTGCTGTAACCACCACTCTCTCTCTCACTGTCACTCCCACTGCTGCTGCCACTCCCAGAAGCTTCACCCCCCACCCTCTCCCTCCTCACAACCATCTCCTCTCGCAACACAACAGGAAGCTGACGAAGCCCGCGAGCTGTCATTCGGTCTCGTGCCGCCCGGAGCGTGGTATCCGGAAAAGTCACCTCTATGGCCTCAGACGGCCGGCTCCGGGCGGCAATGCCAGACGAGGAAGAGGACGAAGGGTTGCCATTGGCATCTTGATTTGATTCTGAAGGGAAGCGGAGGAAAGCGTCAGAGTCAGGATGCTGGTGACAGATGGCAATAACAGGAAGAGATTCCACGTCAGCAGAAGCTCCCCCAGCGGTAAGCTGCCTCTCCGCCTCCTCCTGAACATCCACCAGCGTCAGCAGCCCATGCAGATAACCCCCGTCCTGCAGCACCAAGCAGCACCACTGCCTGTGCGCCACCATAGATGCCACAGCATCTCGCACCATGGCTCGCACTCCCACTGCTGCAAAGGAGGTGTTCATTGCTACTGCCACCGGCAACTCCTCTAAGAGCTGCTCCTCTAAAAACACTCCGTCTCGCACATCCAGTGACACGCCGTCGTCGCGCGAGACGACAACCAGGGGAGGCGGCGGCGGGAGCGGCGCGAACGACGGGGAGGAGGGTGGAGCAGCAGACGGAGGAGAGTTGGGTTGGGAAGGAGCCATGAAGCCGGACTGGGGGTTGGTGGGGGATGGGATTCGAAGAGGAGGGAGGTCTGGGGTTGGGAGGTCGGGAGAAGGAGAGAAGGAGCCAGCAGATGGGGTCTCTTGTGAGAGCCCGTAGTTGCTTCCCTCTGGGCCCTCGATTCTAGAGTCTGTTTCCACTTCAGCTGCTGGTTCTGCTGCTGCTGCTGCTGTTGCTGTTGCTGCTGCTTCCTGCTTTTGGACAGGGCTAGCACCCACTTGAGTGGATCCTGGCTCCAATGGACTTCCACCTGTTCCTGTCGCAGGTGCAAGTCCCGTCGCAGCGCTTACTGCTGCTGCTGCAGCAGCTGCCGTTGCTGCAGCTGCTGCTGTTGCTGCTGCAGCAACTGACCCCGAAGCTGCGTCCACCACCACCGAAACTGCTGCAGCTGCCGCCACCGCTGCTGCCGCTGCCACTCCTGCTGCGGCCGCATCAGCCTGAGCTTCCTCGGCTTCTGAAGGGGAAGACAGAGGAGCAGCAGCAGCCGTACCTTGCCCACTGACTGACAAGGGAGAAGAGGTTGCAGGAGGAGGAAGGGGAGAAGAGGGTAGGGGGTCGGGTACCAAACCGCTTGCTCTCTCGAGTACTATCACAGTCGCATTTGACTCTGCCATGGCTGTTGCTGAACCACCTGAGAAACCACCTGACGAAACCCCTCCTCCCGACCCACCTGCCACGTCTAGTATGACAGCTGGCATGAGCGGATTGGCCGGAGGAGCAGAAGGAGCAGTAGCAGCGGTGGGAGGAAGGGCAGGATTACCATCGGTTGTTGAAAGACCAGCGTTATCAGCTTCGGCTGCTTCCGCTGCTGCTTCCACCGCAGCTTCGGCAGCCGTGGCTGCAGCTTCGGCAGCCACGCCTGCAGCTTCGGCAGCCACTTCCGCAGCTAGATCTAGCTCCGGCATGTACGCCGAAGCCTCGGGATTATCATACGCCTTCTCCTGGGCACTAGAGGCGGCTGCTGCTGCCGCCGCTGCTGCAGTTGCCGCTGCTGCCGCTGCTGTTGCAGCCGCGGCTGCTGCACTTGCAACCTTGGGTCCAGAGGAAGGGGTTCTGGAGAGGGTAGCACGTTTAGGAGAGGAAGGAGGGGAGGAGGAGGGCGAGGTGAAAGGGGAGGAGCGTCCAGAGGAGATGGGTGACTCGTAGAAAGAAGAGTTGGATGCAGCGTAAGGGCCAGAAACAGGACCAGAAGTAGGTGGACCATAGGCAGCAGAACCAGGAGGTGCTGCGTACCCCTGGGGAGAAGAAAAAGATGCTGCCGCTGCCGCCGCCGCCGCAGCAGCAGCAGAAGCAGCAGTAGCAGGTGTGGCTCTGTTAGGATCTTCAGCCCCCTTCCCTCCACCACCCTCACCAGCACCACCACCATCCCATTCTCTCCCTCCTACCTCCTTTCCTCTAGCCTCCCTTCTCATCCCCTCCCCTCCTCCTCCTCCACCCACCCAAGACCCGGACCCAGAATAAATATCCCCCGGATAAAGTGCCCCTGGATAAGGACCGGGGAACTGAGACGGTGCGTAGGAAGGAAGAGGGGCAGCAGGGGCCTGAGAAGCCATGTAGGGAGGACGAGTAGCAGCAGCAGCGTCAGGAGAAGCTTCAGCAGCAGGAGCACCAGGAGCATAGGAGCCTGCCCCAGAGTAGAGCAGTGGCGAGGGGGGAACGGGCGACGGGGGAAGAACCGGCACGAGCGACGGGGAGAGAGGACTGGGATAATACGAAGTCGGGTATGGGTAGGAGGAGGGAGAGGAGGAGGAAGGGGAGGAAGAGGAGTAAGGAGGGGAGGAAGGGAATGAGGAGGAGGAGGAGGAGGAGGGGGGGTTGGAGGGAGAAAAGACGGTGACGCCGCCTGGTTGAGGTCTTCGAGGCTTTCTGGCGGCAGTGGAGGCGAGCCAGGAGGAGATGCCGACTGCTGCCATGAGCGGCAGAATGATGCGGTAGTCCCGTGTGAGCTCGAATAGGAGGAGCACTGAGGTGAGTGGCACCTGGCACACTCCTGCCAGGGTTGCCGCCATGCCCACCTGATGGGGGTTGGGGGGTAGGTGGGGTGGAGGGGAGGCGCACAGGAGAAGCAGGTTGGGAGGACGCACACAGGGAATGAGGGGAATGATGTGGTTGAGAGGGGTGAGAGGAGATGTGGGCTTTCTGGCGGCAGTGGAGGCGAGCCAGGAGGAGATGCCGACTGCTGCCATGAGCGGCAGAATGATGCGGTAGTCGCGTGTGAGCTCGAATAGGAGGAGGACGGAGGTCAGGGGAACTTGGCACACTCCCGCTAACGTAGCCGCCATTCCCACCTGGACAGAGGGAAAAGAAGGGGGGGAACAGGGGAAGCAGGTTGGGAGGACGCACACAGAGAAAGGTGGTTTAGAGGGGTGAGAGGAGACGAGGGCTTTCTAGCGGCAGTGGAGGCGAGCCAGGAGGAGATGCCGACTGCTGCCATGAGTGGGAGAATGATGCTGGGCAAGGCTTACCATAGCATAGGCCTGGGGGCCGGCCACTTGGATCCACTTGAGGGTTAAACGCGGGTCAACAAGCGCCAGCACATCAGATTGTGAGGCGACGTCAGGGAGATAGCCGTGCGAGAGACCCTGGCTTACCATAGCATAGGCCTGGGGGGCAGCCACTTGGATCCACGTGAGGGTCAAATCCGGATCAATGAACGCCAGCACGTCACTGGCCAGTCGCCTCAGAAGAATGAAGAGAGAGAGAGTAGAGAGAGCGGGCATGGAAGAGGGCAAGGCTTACCATGGCATAGGCCTGGGGGGCGGCCACTTGGATCCACGTGCGGGTTAACTCCGGGTCAATAAACGCCAGCAGCCGCACTCTGAGGTACCTCAAAATAGAGGAGGGACAGGTATGAGAAACAGCTAGGTACGCCGAGACTTACCATAGCATAGGCCTGAGGGGCGGCCACTTGGATCCACGTGAAGGTTAGGTCCGGGTCAATAAACGCCAGCACATCACTGGCCAGCCGCCCGTACGCCGCCCCAAGCGCCGCCCCGATGAAGAGCGAGGGCGCATAGAAGCCGCCCACGAGGCGAGACCCGCGACAGAAGGCCGTGGCGAGGACCTTGACCACCACGAGTTGCAGCAGGAACCCTGGCTGGTGATGGGAAGCGGAAGGGAGACAAAAAGAGAGGAGATGTGGGAGATGAGGGAGAGGTGGGGGATCCGCGACAGAAGGCCGTGGCGAGGACCTTGATTACCACGAGTTGCAGCAGGAACCCCGGCTGGTGATGGGGAAGGGAGACAGGGGAACGGGGACAAGGGAGAGTGATGCACCAGAAGCTGTGTATGCGTCGTATGAGCCGTGACAGAAGGCCGTGGCGAGGACCTTGACTACCACTAGCTGGAGGAGAAACCCCGGCTGGTAGTGGGGAAGGGGGACGGCGGCAGGGAGTTAAGCACTTACTGCAGGGGAGACGACCAGCGGATGAGGTCGTTCACGCTTTGGAAGCCCCAGTAGAGCACCTCGGGATACACCAGCACTCAAAGCATGCAGCATGACAGCAAGCAACACAGCACGTACCGCAGGGGAAGCCACGAGTGGGTGTGACGTGATGAGATCATTCACGTTCTGGAAGCCCCAATAGAGCACCTCGGGATACACCAGCACTCAAAGCATGCAGCATGACAGCAAGCAACACAGCACGTACCGCAGGGGAGGCCACGAGTGGGTGTGACGTGATGAGATCATTCACGTTTTGAAACCCCCAGTAGAGCACCTCGGGATACACCAGCACTCAAAGCATGCAGCATGACAGCAAGCAACACAGCACGTACCGCAGGGGAAGGCCACCAGCGGGTGTGACGTGATGAGATCATTCACGCTTTGGAAGCCCCAATAGAGCACCTCGGGATACACCAGCACTCAAAGCATGCAGCATGACAGCAAGCAACACAGCACGTACCGCAGGGGAAGGCCACCAGCGGGTGTGACGTGATGAGATCATTCACGTTCTGGAAGCCCCAATAGAGCACCTCGGGATACACCAGCACTCAAAGCATGCAGCATGACAGCAAGCAACACAGCACGTACCGCAGGGGAAGGCCACCAGCGGGTGTGACGTGATGAGATCATTCACGTTCTGGAAGCCCCAATAGAGCACCTCGGAATACACCAGCACTCAAAGCATGCAGCATGACAGCAAGCAACACAGCACGTACCGCAGGGGAAGCCACCAGCGGGTGTGACGTGATGAGATCATTCACGTTCTGGAAGCCCCAATAGAGCACCTCGGGATACACCAGCACTCAAAGCATGCAGCATGACAGCAAGCAACACAGCACGTACCGCAGGGGAAGGCCACCAGCGGGTGTGACGTGATGAGATCATTCACGTTCTGGAAGCCCCAATAGAGCACCTCGGGATACACCAGCACTCAAAGCATGCAGCACGACAGCAAGCAACACAGCACGTACCGCAGGGGAAGGCCACCAGCGGGTGTGACGTGATGAGATCATTCACGTTCTGGAAGCCCCAATAGAGCACCTCGGAATACACCAGCACTCAAAGCATGCAGCATGACAGCAAGCAACACAGCACGTACCGCAGGGGAAGCCACCAGCGGGTGTGACGTGATGAGATCATTCACGTTCTGGAAGCCCCAATAGAGCACCTCGGGATACACCAGCACTCAAAGCATGCAGCATGACAGCAAGCAACACAGCACGTACCGCAGGGGAAGCCACGAGTGGGTGTGACGTGATGAGATCATTCACGTTCTGGAAGCCCCAATAGAGCACCTCGGGATACACCAGCACTCAAAGCATGCAGCATGACAGCAAGCAACACAGCACGTACCGCAGGGGAAGCCACGAGTGGGTGTGACGTGATGAGATCATTCACGTTTTGAAACCCCCAGTAGAGCACCTCGGGATACACCAGCGAGATCACCCCGATCCCCAGCCCTCCGATCGCCGGCAGCAGCACAGGCGGCACGTTCGTATTCGCCTCCAACCCATCAAACATCGACGAGAAGAACGCCGCCGAGCGCGTGAGCGAGATAGACACCCCACCGCAGCACAACCCAAGCAGCAGATACAGCGGCAGCTCCGCCGGCGATCGTAGCTCGTATAAGGGCACGTGGATTGATGGGTCTGCACCCAAACCAGCCTGGGACACCACCGCGGCAAGCACAGAAGACAGGAGGATCATAGCCGTGGTGAGGCTCGCAGGGGAGCCTTGCGTGGACGACCGAAGGACGGATTCCAGAGCAAAGAAGCAACCCGCAACCGCAGCGTTGAACCCCGATGCAATACCCGCGGCGGATCCCGCTGCTACGAGTGCAATCGTGCGCTCACGGCTTCCCCGGACGATGCTTCCTGTGGCCTTGCCGATGCTGGACCCGATTTCCACGCTCGGGCCTTCCGGACCGAGGCTGTTTCCTGTGCCGAGCGTGACCGCTGCCGCCAGGGCTTTCAGGACCGGCCGAGCCACGGCCCGAGCCTTCCGGTTAAGCTCGGAGACGTCGTCCGGGGTGAGAAACGGCAGGGAGAAGGCTCGTTGCTTGGGTGACATTATTTGCTGCCCTGCTCCCTCCTCCTCTTGCTGCTGTCGCTGGCGCTGCTGCTGCTGCGTGCGGGTGGGAGCGGTATCCTTGAGTCCCGATCGGAGCGAGTTGAGGATGCCAACGGCAATGCCGCCCGCCAGAGGCACCAGGAAGAGGTGCCACACGTCGCCCACCGGTTGGTCCCTCAGCCACGCGGAGCCCTCCTCGTGAGGCACGTTCTGGAACAAAGTGTCTCTGATAATGTGCACCTGGAGGGTGGCGGGGGTGGTGGAGAGCGGTTGGGAGCGATGAGAGTGGTGGAGTGACGTGGGCGATTGAATCTGGAAAATAAAAATCAAGCCCGTCACGCGGAGCCCTCCTCGTGAGGCACTATAAGGAAAGGCCATACTTTTCCAGAACTCACCGTATCATTAAATAGCACCACGGACGAGCCAGTCAACACGCCCACAAGGCACGAGACAACGAGAATGAGCGACTCGGGCGGCAGAGACAGCGCCATGTTGTCCTTCACCGCTCTCAACGCCTTCACACTCCACTGCGCCACCTGCCTGCGCACATGCGCCTGGGAGGGAGGAACCCAGGACCCTGAAACCGCCTTGCTCTTCTCGTGCCCATGCCCCTTGCTCTTATCATGCCCATCCCCATGCCCGTGCCCGTGCTTGTGGTTGTGATGATGGTGGTGGTGATGATGGCGTTTTAGCTCCTGGCCGCGGCTGCTGACGTGTTGCAGCTGTTCCTCCTGATCCGGTGAAGCTGGCATTACTGCCACGTCACCACTCTGCTGCTGCTGCCGCTGCTGCAGCAGCCGTGATTGCAATTCCGATTGTTGCCGCTGCGCCTCCTGCTGCTGCTGTTGCTGCTGCTGCCACTGCGCCTGCTGCTGTTGCTGCTGTTGTTGTTGCTGTTGCTGCTGCCATAACTGCTCCTGCTGCTGCTGTTGCCACCCCCAAAGCTGCTCTCGCTGCCGTTGAAAATCATTCTCCTGATCGTTCGTCTGCTGCTGCTGCCGCCATTGCTGCTCCTGCTGTTGCTGCTGCCGCCACTGCTGTTCCTGCTGTTGCTGCTCCGGTTGCTGTCTCTGCAGCGGCTGCTGCAGTTGCTGCTGCTGCTGCTGCTGCTGCTGCCATTGCAGCTGTCCCGGTTGCGGCGGCTGCTGTTGCTGTGAATCCGGGTGGCCATACGAGTACCAGTTTTGCGGCTGCTGCTGCTGTTGATACTGTAACGATTGATGAAACGCGTGTTGATGTAACTCCTGGTATTGCCCATAGCTGCTCAACCCATCCCCATCGCCGATACCACCGGCAACACCGCCGCCCATATTGCCGCCATTGCCGCTGCTATCATACGGACTCCCAGTCCCAGATCCGATCCCATACCCCGCGCTTCCCCCCAGCTCCCCCCGCTCCGCATCCGCGGGCTTCCCCTGCGCCTCCCCGCCGATGTCCCCCCGCCACCGCTGCCCCTCCCGCCGGTGCCTCTGCACCGCCTCTTCCTCCTCCCAATCGTCCTCAACATCGGGCAGGAAATAAAAATATTCCTCTTCGTCGTCAGCCGGTTGCCGGCGCGACCGCCGGCTAGCCGCCGGGAGTCCTGAGCGCAGGGCGCGCGCTTCCACTTTGCCGGCGCCGGTTTTTCCGCCGGCCGTCTTGCCGGACGACGTCCGCGGACGGGTAGAAAGCGGGGATGCGAGCGCGGGGGAGGGGGGGAGAGAGGAGGGGGAGGAGAGGGAGTGGGGGGAGGGGCAGGAAAGAGCGGAGGAGAGAGACGAAGATCTGGGGAGGAAGGAGGGGGAGCGGGAGAGAAACGGGGAGGAGGGCGGGGAAGAGGCGGAAGGATGTCGCGGGGAGGCGGGGAGTAGGGGGGGCAAGCGGGAAGAATTCCCCTGCTTGCAGTTGGCGGAAGAAGCGGACGAGCAGGAGGAGGAGGCGCGGCGGAAAGGGGGAGGTCCGGGAGAGTGCGGGGAACCGGCAGAGCGGGCGGAGGGGGAACGGGCGGAGCGCAGAGGCGCTACGACGTTTTTATAGAAATAGGAAGATATGTACAGGGGTGGGGCGGAGAGACACGGGCGCAGTTTCTTGCGCCCGCTGCCACGTGGATCGCCCTGATTAGCCGCCGCCGTCGCTGACGTGGTCCGCGGCGGGATGGGAAGGGCAGAAGAAGCATGGCTTGCGTGGCAGCATCGCAACGACGGGAGAGGCGACGAGGCCTGGAGGACTCACGCGCAAAAGCGGTGAGAGTGGGAGGAGAGAGAGGGGAGGATGGAAAGGAGGAAAGGGGGGAGAGCGGGAGCGGCGAAGAGGGGGAAGGGGGAAAGGGGGAGGGGGAGGGAGAAATGAGGGGAGAGCGGGACAGCTTACGGCACAGCTTCCGCGACGAAACGGGAAACGGGACAGGGAAAGTTTTTTGGCATTCTAACACATCTCTCGCACGAAATTGGGAATGGGATTGGGTAAGAGATAGAAGCGCGGCTCAACGCTAGCACGAGCGGGATGGGAAGGAAGCATGACTGCAGTGTCGACAGAATAAGTCGACCAAGCAGGATGAGTGAGACGGCATGAACAGAAGGCGGTACGACGAGGCGGTAGGAAGACACGCTCCAGACGATTGCCTCGCTACGACTTGGAGCAATTACGTTCGTATGGCCGCGGCGGGGCTTAGATCTCAGTCGCTAAACACGTCTGCCGTGCCTGCCGCGTCTCCAAACGAGAGGAAAACGCTGAAAAATACGCATGCCGCGTCTCCTAACGAGAGAGTACTCTTAAATTACTCGCTGATAATAAAGGCTTAAACTAAAAAGCACTGAAGTGGCGTATCGCGACCCCCACCGGATACGCGTCGAAATAGTTTTAAGATATAAGAAAAAGCTATTAAGGGGCACCTGATAAGCGCCTGGAGAGAGCAGCTGCGGTCGCGCGGCCTCCCTCTGCGCGCCGTAGTAGTGTCCCAGCTTCGGCCCCACGGGGCTTAGCTTTCCCATGGATCGTATCGTACGGTCCAGGAACTTCTATCAAACTTGCAGGTTCTAGATGCTCCGCGTTTCGTAAAACAACTATTTCCTAGATGTCCTGATCTCTAATTGCCTCTCGGATCAGAAAGATAAAGCCGACGTTCAGTAGTCGCTAGACGGGGAACGATAATTATGCGGCGCCGCGCAGCCTCTGCGATACTATTATCGCCCTAGAATGACTGAGCTAATTAGGAAGTTCAAAGTTTGATTGAACTGAGGGCATATGACGTGCCCAAGGGTCGTTAGATTCAATCAGAAAAACACTAATTTCGACGAAGCGGCATGGCAACTGGGCGATTAGGCGGGAGCTGTCATGTGCCAGAGCCATTGTTCTGGCACTTGATACATGGACATCCCTGCTATTGTTGTTCCTGGGTTGACATTTGACAATCACATCCCTTGTTTCCAGTTCACTCATGCAGAAGATCGCACCAATCAAGGCAGCACCAGCAGCCAACAAAGCAGTTGCTGCTCCTCGCAGTTACCCCCGTCGGTTCCTCCTCCCTGGCTACGCTCGGCGAGCCGTCCCCCTTCTCCCCCTCCCCCGCCCCCGTCCCCACGCCATGTTGTGCGCGGATTTCCCCTTCCTCACCCCCTATTCTTTGTTCTCCGCGCGCAAAACTTGACCTCCAACTGCTGCGCTAGCCAGGTCTTTTGCTGCCCCCCTGCATTCGCAGAATCCTTTCTTCCCGATTACAGTACAGTAGAAAGTCAGAGGGCGTACCTGGAAAGAGGGGATGACCACTGTGCAACGGTTATGCTGGCGGAGGGGACTGTACTGTACTTATGTGGAGGATCAACGGGGCTGCGAACATGAAAATCATTCGGCATCGGAACATCTGACGGTTCAACGTGCTCGACTCGACCAACCATGGTCGAGATTTGCCCCCAACGATTCGGGTGGGCGGGGGGAGGCGTGAGCGGAAGTGGGCGGGGACAGATTGTGGGGGAAGGGGGGGGGGGTGTGGGGGGAAGACGTAGCGCACTGACGTGTTACGGGCCAGTTTGGCGGGGAAGTCTGTGGGTGCCAGGTTGGGGAAGCCGACGCGAAATCAGAAGTTTTTCCGGATTGGCACACGTAATCAAGGTTCGACAGTTCGGGGCAGTCGCGTTCAAGAACGCGGGCAGAATATGCTCTTCGGCCAGCGTGACCAATGCGTGGGATGACGTGTTTTGGGTGATTCAGCAACGTCGTGATTCGCTCGTTCCTCCTGATAGTGGTGCAGGCTTCGACAAAAAATGATTGGACAGGGTCGACTGAGGTACGAAGCGCTCCTGCTCTGGTTGGCTTGACGTGCTTTGCTACGATTCGGGATCAGAAAGGTCGGACTGCGCGAAGGTTGGGATTGGCCATTGGCAGAGTCGAGGTTTGAACAGAAGCGATTCACCCTGGCGACAGAAATCAGCTACTGTATTTCGTGAAGCTTCGTCAGAGCTTACCAGAAACTGTGCGTGGCCAATGATAATCATACACCCATCTTAACAGTTCGATCATTTGTACACGTACACCTTTTTTTATAATCAGTAAAGCGAGTCATGTCGTGAAGGAGCACCACAGATGTTCCGTCTAGCGTGTTCCATACGCTTTCTATGAGCATTTTTCGGAAATTTGTATCCCCTTCCCAATAAATAGCGTCGCAAAACTGAAGTCTAGGGATTATGCACTTTAGGGCGTAATATGTAGTGCCGAGTTAGGGATAGTGTTCCCTAGTAAAAGGGATCTGCCGTGTCCGTGGTTCGACACGTAGCGCGGAGTCTGTGAATGCTCGATCGCCATGGGGCCACCTCATATACCCCTTTGGCGTCAGAATCTGAGGCATATATTTTCATTCCAGCGCCTTTTCGTGAGTCGACTGTATGCAGCCACGTGGCATTCTCCTGGTTTTCCACCTCTGCACAAGCATGGCCATGTCATAGAAGAAAGAAATCGCTGGATTCATGCAGCAGCACTTCACCTGTCGTCACAGCTTCCCGCGTCGTCCACGTCAGCATCGCAGCCCAGCTCAGCAAGCAGCGGCAGCAGAAGCAGCAGTAGCAGTGTCCAATACTCTTCTGCCACGTTGGCAAGCCTAGCAACGCTCTCCGCAGCAGCAGTGGTAGCAGCAGCAACAGCATCAACCCTAGAACCAGAACACGTGTATTGTGACTCTGGCCCTCCAGAACCTTCAGATCTTGACCCTGCTACATCCGAGCCTGCAGCACCAGGGGCTGTAGCATCAGAATCAATCAAATCAAATTTGGGGGAATCTGGGGAAGATCCGGCAGCCACGGGACCTGAAGCCCTAGAGCTGGCGGTTCGGGCGGCGAGGAGGGGACTGCTGGTGAGACTGTATCGAATGAGACAGAAACGGGAGGCGGAGGAGGAGAAGAGGAGGGAGGAAGGTGGGGGGGTTGGTGGCAGTGTGGGTGCAGAGACGTATATACTACCTACCCCAGGTGTCACCTGCAAGGGCCATCAGGTATAATGGCTGCAGAAAAAAAAAAATGAATGTGGCTGTAAACCGTGATTCGGCGTTCGAATGCAGTTATGATGAACGGTGATTCGGCATTCTAACGTGGTTGTGAACGGTAATCCAACATTTCATGGTACATGTGGTTCCCATGTATGCGCTTCTTCATCCTTCTGGGCTCTCCTCTTCTTACCTGATCCGCGATTGAAAGCATTCCTATTAATAATGGACTGTTCACCTGCCTGTCCTCCTTCACCCGCCAGTGTCTGCCATCTCTCCACTCTGCTCACCCACCTCATCGCCCACCTGGGCTGCCACCCGGCTGCTGCTTCCCCACCTCAATGCTTTATTGCCATCCCTTGCTGTGATACCCATCACTCATCACCCATCACCCATCACCCATCACCCATCACCCATCACCCATCACCTCCCAGGTCTCTGTGCGCCTGCGTCTCCCTGCCTCCTGCGACCTCTCTGCTCTGCTCGCCCACCTCATCGCCCACCTGGGCTGCCACCCTGCCATGACTCCCCACTCCAGCGCCCTCACCCATCCCTTACGCTGATGCTCCCATACCATCCCTCACCCATCATCCTCACCCATTAGGTCTCGGTCCGTCTGCGCCTTCCAGCTTCCTGTGACCTCTCTGCTCTCCTCGCTCACCTCATCGCCCACCTGGGCTGCCACCCGGCCATCACTCCCGCGCTCAACTCGTCCCTGCCTGGGAGTGCAGTGCAGAAAAGAGCATCTTCAGTGGATGATGCGGGGGACATGGTGGGAGCAGGCGGCATGGCGGTGTATGCATGGGACAGGTGAGCCTGTGAGGGTGAGAGAGAGAGCAAGGGAGCATGAGTCATGAGTCGCGGCAGGTGAGGGGAACGTGTCATGAGTCGCGGCAGGTGAGGGGAACGTGGCCCTCAACTCAACTCATCCCTGCCTGGGAGTGCAGTGCAGCAAAAGGCATCTTCAGTGGATGATGCGGGGGATATGGTGGGGGCAGGCGGCATGGCGGTGTATGCATGGGACAGGTGAGGGGGAGAGGCACTAGGGAGAGGAGAAGCTATAATCCATTCTCAATCCATTCTGCCGCATTCCGCCAGCTATAACCCTGTTCCCCCATCCTCCTTTTTCCGTTTCCCCCTCCGCCTTACCCCCCTGACCTCTCAGTCCCATGGCTTGCCATGGGACTCAGTCCAATTGGTGCTCATGGCCCCGCTCCCCCACGCGCACCTGCCGGCCCCTATCCACCGCCCCGTCTGCTCCTGCTCCCACGTCCCCCGCCCCCCTTTCCGCTGTCCCCCCAATTACCTTTCCTCCAGCCCCGTGGCACGGCAGATGGTGTCGATGCCCCTGCTCCCCCACGCGCACCTGCCAGTGCTGCCCCCATCGATTCTGCCCCCGTTCCCCCCTGCCGTTCCCCTTGCCGACCCCCCCCCCTTTCCCCCTCCTCTTACCCTTTCTGACCACCCAGCCCTGTGGCACGCCAGATGGTGCTCATGCCCCTGCTCCCCCACGCGCACCTGCCACTGCTTCCTTTATCCATTCTGCCCCCCTCCCCACTGCCATTTTGCCTGCCATTCGCCCCATTTGCCCTCCCGCTTCCCCCGTCTTCCCATGACCTTTCCCCCAGTCCCGTGGCTCGCCAGATGGTGCTGATGCCCCTGCTCCCCCACGCGCACCTGCCCGCACAAATGCACACGGGCACAGACACCAAGAAGGAATCTGAGCAGGGTGAAAGGGAGACAGGGGTTCAGGTGGAATCTCAGGTGGATCCTCAGGTGGATTCAATAGAGCCGGTGGTGGTGGCGGGTGGGGGCGCTGTGAAGGTGCTGCTGTTCGAGCCGCTTGTGGGCCTTGGCACTCCGGTGAGTTGCACCCCTTTGGACCGCATTGTACCCCCGACTCTCACACTTCTTGGAATGTCTTTTATTTTGTGCTTTGCTTTCCAAAGAAGTTTGCACCCCTTTGGACCTCATTTGTGCTTTCCTTACCCATCAGCCGCTTGCTGTCCTGCCCTCCCTTCTTCCCCTCCCCTTCCTGTTTCTCGCAGAAGTTTCTTGTTTTTTTTTTCAGAACCATTCACATCCTGGTTGTCGTCACCTCTTTCCGTACTTCCCTTCCCCTTTCAACCCTTTTCTCTTTCCACTTTTTCTCTTCCTCCTGCTCCTTTTCCTGCTCTTTCTCCTCCAACCAGGAAATCGAGTTTCTCAAGCCAGGTGCATTTACACCCGCAGAGCTAGACATCATAGTCAGCACGGTCCAATCAGCAATCGACAGCTCAGCAACCTTCCGGCCTCAGCAGCAGGCTGGGCCAGGTGCTAGCAGCCGCAGTGGTAGTGGCGTTGGTGGTGGCCATACCAACAGAAATGGCTCACTGTTGCCTTCTCCTGACATATCTCCTGACAGGGCTCCTGACAGATTTCCTGACAGATCTCCTGAAAGGTCTCCTGACAGAAGCACAAGCGGCAAGAGCTTGAGTGGTGGTTACAGCAGCAGGGGTGCCATTGGCAGTGGTGGTTACAGCAGCAGGGGTGCCATTGGCAGTGGTGGTGGCAGTGGTACTGGTGGTGGTGGGGGGGAGGGACACACAGGCATGTCCCAGGCAATTGCTGAGAAGCTTCAGCGCATGGGAGTGATGGTGTATGCTCCTGGTGGAGAGGAGGGAGGGAGTGGGAGGGGAGAAGGGGAGGAGGAGGGGGAGGAGGAGGAAGAGGAGGGGAAGGAGAGGGAGCAGGAGGAGGAGGGGAAAGGGGATGAGAGGAGGTGGATGGATTGGGGAAATCTGGTTGGATATGAGGAGCAGAAACGGTAAGAAGCAGTGTAATCTGTTCTGCAGGAAGCATGCAAAGAGGTGACTTTTGAGTCGACTCAAAAGTCACCTCAACACACGCACCCACTCCCTCCCACACACACCCCCTCGGCCCCCCAAGCTGCCCAACCAGGGAGGGAGGTAGAGGAAAAACCAGTGCTGCTGCTCTCCTCCCCGGCTCTTTCTCGCTCTTCCCCGCTCTCCCCACTTCCCCTCGCCCCACGTCAGGTGCTCCGCCCTGACGTGTACGATACATTGCTTTCAAACGTGATACGAGTGATTTTTTTAGACGTCTCAGAAATTTCAGGTGCTCCGTCCGCCCTGACGTGTACGATACCTTGCCTGCAATCTTCACCCATTCTGCTGTCTCTCTTTCCCCACTCTCCCCCACTCTCCCCCACCCCCCAATTCCTCTTGCCCCACCAGCGAGATAGAGGACACGATGCTGCTCGCTTTACTCCGCCCGGACGTGTATGACAGCATTGCCAGAGCCACGCGCACCCACGTTCCCATGCACTCCCCTTGGTCTCCCCGTTCCCCCTACCCCTCTGCTGGTTGCAGGGAGATAGAGGACACGGTGCTGCTGGCTCTGCTTCGCCCAGACGTGTATGACAGCATTGCCAGGGCCACGCGCACTCACTTCGCCTCTGTTCCCTTTGTTCCCCCTTTTTTCGTGCCTCCCTCCTCTCGCCCCACCAGGGAAATAGAGGACACGGTGCTTCTCGCCCTGCTTCGCCCTGACGTATACGACAGCATTGCCAGGGCCACGCGCACCCACTTTGAATCCAACCGCCCGCGCGCTGTACTTTTCGACGGGCCGCCAGGTGAGGCTGTGGTGGGCTGCGGTGGGCTGCGGTGGGCTGCGGTGGGCTGCAGTGGGCTGCGGTGGGCTGTGGTGGACTGTGGTGGGCTGTGGAAAGAGCCATAGCCAAACGTGGTGAATCTGGAATCTACTCAAAAGCCATTTTTGTTTTCATCTATGCTTCCCCTTCGCCCTTCTATCCGTTCCTCTCAACCTTCACCCCCATCAGGCACTGGGAAGACGTCATGTGCAAGAGCCATGACCAAACGTGGTGACTTTTGAGTCGAATTAAATGTCATACTTATTTGTTCCATCCATTCCTCTCTCGCCCATCGCCCCTACCAGGCACTGGGAAGACGTCATGTGCACGAGCCATGGCCAAACGAGCGGTGAGTGCCTTGCCATGCCATGCCATGCCATGCCATCTGCCATGCTATTCCATCTGCCATTATATTCCATCTGCCATGCCATACCGCACCATGCCTTGGTGTACGTGCCTCTAGAGGAATCTAGCATCCTAGTAGCACGGGGAGAGGAGCAAGCACCAACTGTCGACCTCGTAGCCCTATCTGCTGTCCTTGGTGTAGTCATGTCATGACCTCACCCTACCCCCGTTCCCTCCTCTCCCCCTTCTTCTCCCATCAGAGCATGCCTCCAGTGTACGTGCCTCTAGAGGAATCTAGCATCCTAGTAGTACGGGGAGAGGAGCAAGCACCAACTGTCGACCTCGTAGCCCTATCTGCTGTCCTTGGTGTAGTCATGTCATGACCTCACCCTACCCCCGTTCCCTCCTCTCCCCCTTCTTCTCCCATCAGAGCATGCCTCCAGTGTACGTGCCTCTAGAAGAATCTAGCATCCTAGTACTAAGGGGAGAGCGAGCACCAGCTGTCATATCTGTCCTCTCCCCCACCCCCATCAGAACGTGCCTCTGGAAACTGTAGCGTCCAAGTACTGTGGGGAGAGTGAGCGCCAGCTGTCATACTTAAGAGTGTTCTCGTCCCACTCTCCTTCCATCCTCCCCACCTCCGCCCGCACCCCCATCTCACATCAGAGCGTGCCACTGGTGTACGTACCCCTCGAGTCCGTGGCATGCAAGTATTATGGGGAGAGGGATTGGGCGCCTGTATGTATTTCCACCACCCACTCTCCTCCCACCCACATCAGAGCGTGCCACTGGTGTACGTACCCCTGGAGTCCGTGCCATGCAAGTACTAGGGGAGAGCGAGCACCAGGCACCCTTATCAAGTGCTATGATGGGTATTCTGGCACCCACTGTCTCGTACTCCCTTTCTCCCCCATCTCACATCAGAGCGTGCCACTGGTGTACGCACCCCTGGAGTCCGTGCCATGCAAGTACTAGGGGAGAGCGAGCACCAGGCACCCTTATCAAGTGCTATGATGGGTATTCTGGCACCCACTGTCTCGTACTCCCTTCCTCCCCCATCTCACATCAGAGCGTGCCACTGGTGTACGTACCCCTGGAGTCCGTGCCATCCAAGTACTAGGGGAGAGTGAGCACCAGCTGTCAACCGTGTTTGCGCATTCTGAACAGCACCATCCCTCGAACGCGCTCCCTTGCAAACCCCCACCCTCCTTCAGAGCGTGCCACTGGTGTATGTGCCTCTCGAGTCTGTAGCATCCAAGTACTATGGGGAGAGCGAGCGCCAGCTGTCGACTGTGTTTGTGCTGGCCAATCAGCTGCACCCAGGTGGCGCCATCGTGTTCCTCGATGAGGTGGGTGAGTTTGGGGGGGAGATGTTGAGTGGGGGAAGGGGAGAAGAGGAGAGAGAAGGTGGCTGATAAGAGTGTTGGCCAATCAGATCACTCGATGAAGGAGAGGGGGCAGCAGAGGAGGAGGAGGTGGAAGGGGAGGTGAAGAAAGGAGAAAGTGCAGGCAAGTTCAAGGATGCACACGCAGGTGTTGCCATGGAAGAGGAGAGCAAATCGATGAGGTTTCGGGATTTGCCTGGTGGGGATGGGGGGGGTGGATGACATGGTGACAGGGACTATCCAACTCACTCTGAGGATGCCACTAGGGACAACGATCCAATTGAGTGTAACACGCAGCGCATCACTTGCCTGAACCCGGGTCGTACTCACAACCTTCTCCTCAACTCACAAAAAGCTTGCTCTCCAGGCTTGCGGTTACGGCCCGGGTTCAGGCAAGTGCTGCGCTGCGTGTTACAATCAATTGGATCGTTGTCCCTGGTGGCATCCTCACTCGATTCCATCCTCACTCGATTCCATCCTCACTCGATTCCATCCTCACCCGATTCCATCCTCACTCGATTCCATCCTCACCCGATTCCGCCATATCTCCCATCACTTCACGTCGCAGGTGGATGCACTGGCAACAGCGAGGGACAGCGACATGCATGAAGCCAGCCACACATGGCATGATGCGTCTCAACCAAACCTCGACTCTATTCCATTACATGACTTCATCACTTGATCATGCACGTGGCAGGTGGATGCGCTGGCAACAGCGAGGGACAGCGACATGCATGAAGCGACGCGGCGAGTCCTCTCAGTGCTGCTCAGAGAGGTGTGTTTCTTGGGGCAGCTTAAATCACATGGGTGGTTTCAAATGTCTTGGTGATTCCAAGTGCCATCCATGACACCACTGGCAACAGCGAGGGACAGCGACATGCATGAAGCCACACGGCGAGTCCTCTCAGTGCTGCTCAGAGAGGTGTGCTTCTTGGGGCGACTCAAGTCACATATGTGGTTTTCCACGAGTGATCTCAAATGTTTCGCATAGTATTTAAAGCAGGGGTACACATTCGAGTGTATTGGAGGAAAGTTTTCTTCACATTCGAGAATTTGCTTTACTGCGCTCTATTAGCTGCTCTCCTTGAAGCCACTGATTGTACCGTAATCACCCCCTCCAGCTGTATTTCAAAGCTACAGGTAGAAGCAACAAAATGAAGTGTCACTAGGTTTCTTCTAACTTTCCTGTTTATCCCCTAGCGCTTTTCCTTTGCGTGTGTCTGCTTACGACGTTTGTTTTGTTTTGCCTAGCAACTTTTCTTGTCTTGCACACCTGCCTGGCCTTTCCCCTTCCCTCCCGTGTCTCCCTCCCATTTCTTTCTCAGATTGCAGAATGGGAGGGAAAGGGAAAGGCATCTGCGCAAGAGGGCACTGAAGGTGGTGTGTATGTGAAGATCTCACCGATCAGCCGGTCAATTGCTTCTGCTGACGTCATGAAGCTTATCCAAGACGTGGGTTGGCAGGCTACCTTTTTTTAACAGATGCGTGTCAATCCACGTCTTGGATAAGCTTCATGACGTCAGCAAAGCATTTGACTGGCTGATTGGTGAGGTTTTTCACATACACACCACCGTCATTGCCCTCTTGCGCACCTGCCTTTCCCTTTCCCTCCCGTTCTGCAATCCAAGGGAGACATGGGATTGAAGGGGGGAAATCACAGCAACAAAACTTCTTTGTGCTGCTGAGGAAGATGTGTATTATCTCTCAGCTGCTGCACACCCCTTGCTCCATTCCCCTTGCTGCGTGCAGATGGATGGTTTGAGCGGGATCGGGGCATTTGGTGATACCCTTCACATTGCCTGCCTACCAACCTTGTCTTGCCTCCCCACCGACTCCCTTGCTGCGTGCAGATGGATGGGTTTGAGCGGGACCGGGGCATTGTGGTCATTGCCTTAGTGCCCGACCCTCCAGCAAGTGCATCTTGCTGCTTACCTTCCTTGCCTTGCTGCCCCACTCTTCCCCCCTGCTGCACCCCCCCCAACCACGGCGTGCATGTGTGCAGATGGATGGGTTTGAGCGGGACCGGGGCATTGTGGTCATAGCTGCAACCAACAGAAAGGAGGACCTGGATCCGGCTCTCATCAGGTGAGCTTCTTTTCCCATGGCATGAGACGATTTTCGAGGCGCCTCAAACGTGGTCATAGCTGCAACCAACAGAAAGGAGGACCTGGATCCGGCTCTCACCTTCTTTTCCCATGGCATGAGACGATTTTGGAGGCGCCTCAAACGTGGTCATAGCTGCAACCAACAGAAAGGAGGACCTGGATCCGGCTCTCATCAGGTGAGCTTCTTTTCCCATGGCATGAGACGATTTTGGAGGCGCCTCAAACGTGGTCATAGCTGCAACCAACAGAAAGGAGGACCTGGATCCGGCTCTCATCAGGTGGTGATTCTTTTCTCGTTGCATGACTAATTAGGCGCCGCGCCTCGAAAACAAAATGAGGAACTTTTAAGGCGCCTCACGTGTAGAAAAAAAATATATATATATATATATATATATATATATATATATATATAACTTTCTCGCGGCTCTAGTCGGTCGTTCCACGTCTCTTTGAAGCTTCCTCCGGGACGCACGCTCTCACGCTCTCACGCTCTCACGCTCTCATCACGGTTCCACTGCCCCACTATTTTATATCGCCACTTACATGCCATGCCTCCCTTATGACTCAACCGTGCCTCACTTTTGCCCACACACGCATGTGTGTCTGTCGTTTTGATGCAGCCATTGCACACACTCACACACGCCCTCATCACAAATTTTACTGCCATAAGCTATTTCCCCTTCATGCTTCCCTTATGCCCCACCCATGTGTGGCAGTCGTTTTGATGCAGCCATTACATTCTCCCTCCCGGACGCACACACTCGCGCGCTGATCATCGCTCAGTACGCACGCCACCTCACTCCGGGGGAAAGAGAAACCCTTGCACAGGCATGCGACAAGTGAGTGCACCCTTCTAGACATGCACACCGGCACACTCATCGTTGCTCAATACGCACGCCACCTCACTCCGGGGGAAAGAGAAACCCTTGCACAGGCATGCGACAAGTGAGTGCACCCTTCTAGACATGCACACCGGCACACTCATCGTTGCTCAATACGCACGCCACCTCACTCCGGGGGAAAGAGAAACCCTTGCACAGGCATGCGACAAGTGAGTGCACCCTTCTAGACATGCACACCGGCACACTCATCGTTGCTCAATACGCACGCCACCTCACTCCGGGGGAAAGAGAAACCCTTGCACAGGCATGCGACAAGTGAGTGCACCCTTCTAGACATGCACACCGGCACACTCATCGTTGCTCAATACGCACGCCACCTCACTCCGGGGGAAAGAGAAACCCTTGCACAGGCATGCGACAAGTGAGTGCACCCTTCTAGACATGCACACCGGCACACTCATCGTTGCTCAATACGCACGCCACCTCACTCCGGGGGAAAGAGAAACCCTTGCACAGGCATGCGACAAGTGAGTGCACCCTTCTAGACATGCACACCGGCACACTCATCGTTGCTCAATACGCACGCCACCTCACTCCGGGGGAAAGAGAAACCCTTGCACAGGCATGCGACAAGTGAGTGCACCCTTCTAGACATGCACACCGGCACACTCATCGTTGCTCAATACGCACGCCACCTCACTCCGGGGGAAAGAGAAACCCTTGCACAGGCATGCGACAAGTTAGTGCATGAGTTCTTTGTTTCTTTAGGCACTTTCCATGATATCTTTCTAGACGCTCACACCCGCGCGCGGATCAATGCTCAGTATGACTTGCACGAGCATGCAACAATTGAGTGTACGGTTTTTACTTTGAGTCACCTCGCCTCATTGCTTTACACGCCCACCACCTCACACCAGAGGACAGAGAAGTCCTTGCACGGGCGCACAGCTTTTTTCTCTCTCCCCTCCTTGCTTTTCTTCGCATGCTTGCAGCATGTCTGGGAGAGATATTCGCGATGTTTGTGAGCAAACAGAACGGCACTGGGCGTCCAAGGTGCGAATGCACTGTACTGTTTAACACTTGTTTTCGTTTGATTTCGTTCCCAGATGTTTGCCCAAATGTTGCACTCACATTACCCATATTCCTCTGGATAATGGCCCCTAGGGACTTCACTAGTTTTTTTTTGCTTTATGCGTTCTCCATTTTTGTAATTGCAGCTGATAAGGAAGAGGAGTGTGGACCCGAATGATGAAGCAAGGCTGCCAGGTGTATCCTTGTATTTGGAATCTGCTGCTCAACGACGGAAATCAATGTTGTGACATCATGTTGCTCCTGCTGTTCGTGGGAAGCCCCCACATAGTGGTTATATCTTGCAGGAACAATTAGCAGGAGACGATGTATGAGATGAGAAGGTACATACAGCTCTGTTATTTGTTCGAAGCCTAACAATATCTTTAACAGCCTCAAATCGATTATGATTATTATACTGTGGCCAGTGATATCCAGAAGACTGTAGAGGAGCTGCGAAGCCTGCATTTATGAAGTGGTTTCCAATGATCGCTTGCATTCTACAGTACTTCTACAGCTTACAGCCAGATCGTTGACAAATGTTGATCGGTTAGTGGTGGCGCACCGTGGACGACTCTTGTCCACTCAACCCCTTCACAAAAGGACACACTGATTTCAGTAGGGGATACGCCGTGCTGTGCTGAAAGATCTGTCATTAAGCGCCACAGACTGGTTGGCCCTCGTAAACCGGACTTCCGAAACCCCTCGTTCCTGTAAAATATTGTGTGCAAATCCTCCCAGAAAAATGGTTGACAAAGTGGTTCTCGAAGTGTGTTTAACAGAACCACTGGTTGACAGGGAAACAATCACTAAGAATTGAACTGCTTCTCCTCGCCTTTTAGTGATAGGATGCGCAGGAAAACGAAAGGAAGTTCGTGTTTGCCCAATTATGTTGGCTGAATAAAGTTGGTCGAATCTACTTTGTACCAGGGTTTTTACCCTGTTAGCTCGAGCAGCAGTTGGCTCCAAACAGATTGACGTTTGGAAGTGGGATTTGCTGCACACAGTCCTTCTTGAACTGCATCACAGGCCCATTCACACGAAGGTTTCATTCGGTGGACTTTGTCACTCGGTGGTGTGGTGTGGTTTGTTGTATTGTGGTGTGGTTTGGTGTGGTCTGGTGTGGTATTGTGGTGGGGCACTGGGGCCCTTGCCTGGCCCATGGATGGGTGGGTGATCGAAGTCGAAAGGGGGAGAGGAGGCAGGTGAGGTGAGGCTTGGTGTGACTTGTGGAGGGGAAAAGCGGGAGGGGAGAGATGGGGAAAAGAGGGGGTTGGGGGTGGGGGGAAGGGGGTAACACCGCAGATTGGTGGGAGGCATACCGCTTGGGGCGAATGGCAGGCAGGCAGGAGATTCCTGGTGGCGCGAACACCACCGCAGTTGTCCCAGCCACCCATCCACACACCCACACATCACATCCCATCCCAATCCACTTCCTCCCCTTCTGTTTCGCAGTTTTGACCATTGTTGGGTCTCTGATTCGTGAATAGTACAGGAGGCTGTGGATTTCTTACCCTGAAGTAGTACAACTCTCTCTTCCCGCTACTTTCACATAGCGTTCTAGACAGTACGGACAATCGTCGTGTTTGAACTCCATCTACTCCTATCGTTCCACTCCACTCATACCGCTCCAAGGAGCATCCGCAATATGAGCGTGTGCGAGTCGTCGTCCGAAGCCGGCTTCCCCGGCATGACTCAGGGGATCCCGTCGTATCTAACGGGACACTATCCTTTCGCGAGTGCGTGTTCCTGAATCAGATCCCCACTTATTTAACATGCTATTATTTCATGTGAAGTATGTTGCCTCCGTGACCGCTCGATTTTTCGTTAGCGTCACGTTCTGTGGAACTTCGGCCGCATCACGTGACGCGATCGTATTCTGCTTGCCTCGTACCTGACACGTCCTTAGTTTTTTCCTTTATTCCTTTCTTCCCTTATTCCTTTCTTCCCAGGCTATGGCGGCCAGGCGTCCTATCACTTCGGCGCGCCGTTTCCCCCCATGTACGGCGCGCCCATGCATATGCAGCTTCCGCCGCACATGAGTGCGCAGGCTTCCGCGCACACGCACGCGCACGCGCACGGAACAGCACACGGAGCGACGCACGCAGCGGCTCATCCAAGCTACGGCTTCCCCCCTCCGCCGACCGCTCGACATCACCCATCTCGCCATGCCGCCGCAGCAGCAGGCCCGACGAAGAGACTCCGTCGCACCGGTCGATCTGATCGCGACAGCATGGGTCACATCCCCACGCCTTTTTTCAACGACAGTCCGGTAGATGTCGAGATCGACGGTGCTGATGAGCCGAGAGGCGATGACGCAAGGTTAGGCAGCAGCAGCTGTGGCAATCCCGCGTTCGATGAACTTTCCTGGGGGTTCCCTGATCTTGAGTTAAAGCCGAAGCTTGACCCTGCGGCCGTGGCGACTACCGATTCGCGAAATTCTGATGTGCGATCTTTGGAACCTCCAACGATCTCTGGTTACGCGCCGCACGTGACGCACGATGACGTGTACTACACGGAATACTACCCGCATCCGGCGGCGGAATATCCTCCAATGGCGAACCCGTATCACGCGGCGGCGTACTTCCAGCCTCATCCATCTCATCACCCTCATCCTCTCTACAGTCATCACCTGTACAAGCAGCGGCACGCGGAAGCCGCAGCGATGGCGAGGCAAGCGCGAGTGGCGGCGACGAGGGAGGCGCTCGCAGGGCGAAACGGTGCGCAATCAATCACAGGGCGAAACGTGAAGGCGCCAGGAGTCGCACACGCGAAGGCGACGGGGAAGAGAAAGGGAGGCGACAGCGTCGCAGAACCGCACACTCTCGGTGGCGGTTTTGAGTTCGACGAGCAGCTCGATTTCGCCGGCGCCGTCGCTGCTAACGAGCCCTGTGCTGTCGTCCCGTCGCGCGCTGATCGTCCCGCTTCTCCCGCTGACGTACTCGTTCCGTCGTCCCCGTCTGTGCCGTTTCTACCCGCCGCTTCCGCCGAAACTGCTTCTGCATTTCCAGCTGCCTCGCGCCATCCGTCGCTCTCCCTCACTGCGGAGCGCGACGGCCCGTGTGGTTTCGGCATTCATCCTCCTCTCCTTAAAGACCGCGACGATGCGACCCCCTCGGTTTTATTCCCGCCGCCTGTTCCGCGTATGCCTGTTGCGGTTTCATCCCCCGTCGTGCCTTCCGCCGTGCCTTCCGCCGCTGCGAGTATTCCGCCGACAGTCGATCCGAAGCGAAGAAGGTGCGTGTCTGTGTTTTCTCTAGTCAATTCCAAATATTTTGAAACTTCGGCCAGTAGCCTGCTGACCGTTTTGTACCCAAACCGCTTGCCCTATTCTTCCTCTCGCATTAAAAAAACGTAAGAACGTCATTTTTCTCCCTATCTCGCTTCCGGTTCCTAGGGTCTCCATGATTCCTACCTAGTATCTTATTCTGAAACTATCGACTAATTTCTAGGGTTTCCTTGCTGCGTACCTGTGGATATGGTTGGGGATGCGACTGTGCGATGATTTGTCCATCTGATTGCTCTCGTTACAGGTTGCTCCGCAACAGAGTCAGCGCTCAACAAGCTAGAGAGAAGAAAAAATACTACATCAATGTAAGCAGTTGCTGACTTTTCAAACCTGCCTTGCATTAGAGAGATGAGTTTGCAACCCTGTTTTTGGTTCTCATTGTTTTTCATACACACCTGGTGCGTGTTGGGTTGGGCTTGACGCACTAGTCGTGTGTGTCAAGTGGTGTTAGCTAATATTTTCCTACACCCTTTGCGCTCACAGGGGTTGGAGGGGAGAGAGGCAGTACTTGTGGCGGACAATGAGGCGTTGGAGGCTACGATTGCCGCTCTGACAAAGGTGGGCATTTTTATAGTGATGCAAATGTACATATTTTCTTGTATCACGCCCTTCTATTTCCATCACTGAGGGTTGATTGCATACTGCTGACGCATTTGTTGCCTCTGTTATATAATATTGCAGGAGAACGCTGAGCTGAGGTCGCGGCTGAGACGCAGAGTGGTCTATCAATGAACTGATTCTACGAAATGGTGAAAGGTGGAGCTCAGCTGTCTTACCGCACTATACCATGTAGGATTACCCTGATAAGCTAGTCATTTTTTGTGCCTTGGGCACGTGATGCATTAGGTGGTATTGTTGTACAATTATCTAGTAATAACATCTCATAAGCAAAGGCAACATAAGTCCATGAGTTCCTTCTAACGCGTCTCACGAATTTAGCATTGTGGGTCAATCAATGCTCCTCTTCACTCTCTTGCTTCCCCAGATTCCGTCTTCGTGACCAATGTCGCGCAATTCCCGTTAGTTTTCCGCATAAGAGTCCGTTGTTCTCGCAACCCAGCCAGCCGGAATGGCGGCAACAGGCGTCGCCGTCACTCGTGCCGCGGCCACGTACCCGTGCAACGCATTGCCAATGGACTCGACAAGAACTTCCTCGCGAGTTCATTTCACGCCTCCTAGAACCACCTTGCGCTCTCTCTTACTAGGACCGCAAGCCAGCGTGGTCGACGGCGTGGCGACCCGAGCCTCGTTTTTAACTAGCAAAGCCGCATTCTCTGGCGGATTTTCCGCCGCTAATTTCGGCACAGCGACGCCGAGTCTGTCAGGCGGGCGCCGGAGCGTCATCCGCACATCCGCGGGGGAACCGGAAGGCGCGGGGAAGAGCGCAGGGGGAAAGGCGGAGGAGCGCGCGGGGCCGACAGCGGAGACCTCTCCGCTGGTGCGCTTCGCGTGGTATGCGTCAGAGGCGTTCGGGAAGGCGGTGGCGGCGGTCCGCGGGGGGGAGGCGGAAGGCGGAAGGGGGAAGGGCGCAACGGCGGAAGGGGAGCCCGCGGTGGTTGAGCGCGACGCGGCGATTAAAGCGCTCAGGGAAGACTATGACAAGTCGTACTTCGTGACAGGTGATACGTGGCAGATGGGGATTGGCGGGACGGCATGTGGCAGATGGGGATTGGTGGGACGGCACGTGGTAGATTGGGATTGGTGATTTGAATCTTATGCATATCTTATTTTGTCTTTGTAAGTCGCTTGCACTCTATATCCTCCTTCCACCCTCAACACCCCCCCCCCCCCCCCCCTCCCCCGCTTCTCTCCCCCTCCCCTCCCTTCGCCTGCCTTGCCTATTTGCCTGTGTTTACCTCCCAGGCGAGATGACCATGTGGCTGTACGAGCCAGATTGCGAGTTCGCCGACCCCTTTGTGTCGTTCAACGGCCGAGATCGATTCAAGCAGAACGTGTCCAACCTCGGGTCGTTCATGGAGGAAGTTTCTCTGAAGATTCTCGACTGGCAGGAGTCAGAGGTATTGAAATCCGACTACACTGCCTGAATGCTCCCTCTGATTACTCTATTCCTCCATCTGACTAACATATTCTTTCATTTCCTGTTCACTTCTATATTGCATTCCCCAATGTAAACAATTGTGTCAATGTAACCGCAGGGCACGGTTACCACCAAGTGGAGATTCAGCTGCGTGTTGGGCCTGCCATGGCGCCCCATTCTCGCTGGTAAGCCCTCTCCTTCCCATCTTAGTGGCGATGGGTGGCATCATACATTCACACTCTTCACACGCTTTCCAATGCTCATGTCTTTGAGACGTCTCTAAAGCCATTCTTGCTTGTAAGCCCTCTCCTTCCCAACTTAGACGCGATGAGTGGCGTTGCTCGTTCACACTCTTCACACGCTTTCTATTGCTTATGACTCCCTCCTAAATGCCACTCTTGTGTGTCTGTCTGCCCATCCCTGTCATCTGCAATCCCCTCCCTATCCTCTCTACCTGCCCTCCCTGCTCTTCGTCTTCTTTCCTACACAGCATCCGGGTCGACAGACCATTTCTTCAACGAATCGACAGGAAAAATATACAAGTAAGCAAGAAACGCTCAACCGGCGTATTTCTATTCTTATGTATTTTCCAACTTGGAAGCTGGCTTGCAGACTTGCCATTGCCTTGACGTGCAGTCACCATAACACAGTCCCTCCTTCTCACGTAAGATGTCCATCCCCGATCCAATCGTGTTTTGAGTCGACTCAAAACATGACTCATTACTCACGTAAGATATCCATCTCCGCCTGTCCAATCCATGATCTCGTCTCGTCCCATGTATATCTCCACCTCTCCTCTCGAGTCGACTCAAAAGGTGACTTTTGAGTCGATTCAAAAGTCACACAGTCCCTCCTTCTCACGTATGATATCCATCTCCGCCTGTCCAATCCATGACCCCATTCCATGTACGGTACATCTCCACTCCACCTCTCCTCTCACCAGGCATGTGGAGCGGCGGAACATTTCTCCTGCAGATGGCGTCAAGCAGCTGCTCAAGCCAACCCTTCAAATTAAACCCCTGTATTTTGAATCGACTCAGATTATCGCATGCATCCCCTTGCCCTTCATTTCCCCTCTCACCAGGCATGTGGAGCGGTGGGACATTTCCCCTGCAGATGGCGTCAAGCAGCTACTCAAGCCAAAAAGTGTATGCACACTGTCCACCCCACCATGCCCCCTCCTCTCACCCTCTCACCAGGCATGTGGAGCGGTGGGACATTTCCCCTGCAGATGGCATCAAGCAGCTCCTCAAGCCCAACCCTAAACTCAGAAAGCGCTAGTTTGCACTGCAGTCCACCTTATCCCTCCTCTCACTTCGTCGGAAACAAATTCTTCGACTGCAACCACTGGGCTGGGTGCAAGCAAGTACACAGCAGCTTAGTTGAGTGCACCTGCTGTTGTGTTGAGCAGTGTAAAAGCTCAGCTTGAGTGTATACACTTGAGTTATCATTATTGCTTGTAGTAGCAGTATTAGTGTGATGTATATTGCATGCTTGTTTGTTTGTGCAATGCTGCCAAATGAGAGTTAAGCAGAGCAGCTATGGAAAACACTAAAAAAATACACCACATGTAAACAAATTCTGGCCATTCTGGGCTTACAGAATGATGACACCCACATTGGCTAGGAAACAACAACTAAGGACCCTAGGCCTGGCATGGTATCGCTTAAAGCTCAAGGCCCAAATTGCACAACAATAGTAATCTTGATGGGGGGGGATGAGCCTGGCGAGAGACTTCCAAGGGGAAGGGTGTTGGAAGTGGGGTACCGCATGAGCGAAATTGGCGATTTTGGGGGTGGCGAAAGCTTGTTGTCCGCAGCTGAATGATACCCAATCACAGTGAAGAACCAATTTGTGGTCAAAAACATAACACAAGTTTGGCGTACCAACCACCACACTTCGGACACAACCCTAGGTGCGCCTTGTACACAAACCAATTCGACACACCACTCCCACACCCACCTGCTGAATAAAAAAAGCGGAGAAAACGCTATTATCATGCCGCATTCAACTCGCCGATAACAGACAAGCACCCAACATCTAGGTCTTAGAGGACAGAGTACATAAGCATTTGCCAGGGTTGAAAAGGGTAGCTAATGCGCAACTTGCGCCATAAACGCAGGTCCCATCGAACAAAGCGCGCCCCACGTAGTATATGGCAGAGCGCACCCGTGCGCCTCTCAGCTGAAACTCCCGCACGGTCGTATTGCTCTTGATTAGGGTCTCCATGCAGCGCCATTACGCATCACTAAGGACGCTCGAAAACGGAGCGTAAGAGGTTGGTTTAGCAGTCGTTGTAGGAAGGAGCAAGGCGTGAACCACCTGTACACGGAGCAGCATAGTTTAAATACAGTTGCCACCCAAATCCGCAGCACCGATGGCTCGTCGGCGTCAAAAAAACATCTCAGGCAGGTCCGTATTGGAGCATGCATCACCAATCACGCACCATGCCAGTGAAGTAAGCACCTTCGGTCGGATTTGGAAATGGTCCCATACCCCCCCACATGGCATAACACCATGCCAGTGCATTGGCACATTTGTCACTCTTGAGAGGTACAGGCACACTGCGCCACGGCGCTCCCACCGCCATGCTCTAATATCTGGATAGAGTGACGCTTTCGCCTCTCACAAAAGGCACAATCCTCTTGGGCTTCTCTGCCCTGAGCTTCCCCTGCCCTGAGCTTCCCCTGCCCTGAGCTTCCCCTGCCCTGAGGTTCCCCTGCCTTGGGCTTCCCTGCCCTGGGCTTACCTGCCCTGGGCTTTCCTGCCCTGGGCTTACCTGCCCTGGGCTTCCCTGCCCTGGGCTTACCTGCCCTGGGCTTTCCTGCCCTGGGCTTCCCTACCTGAGCTTCCCCGCCTTGGGCTTCCATGCCCTGGGCTTCCCTGCCCTGGGCTTCTTTCCTTTGGGCTTCCCTGCCCTGGGCATTTTGAGGCCTGAGCTTCCATGCCCTGGGCTTCCCTGCCCTGGGCTTCCCTGGCCTAGGCTTACCTGCCTGAGCTTACCCGCCCTAGGCTTCCCTGGCTTGGGCTTCCCTGCCCTGAGCTGACCCGCCTTGGGCTTACCTGCCTTGGGCTTACCTGCCCTGGGCTTCCCTGCCCTGGGCTTTCCTGCCTTGTGCTTCCCTACCTGAGCTTCCCCGCCCTGGGATTTTCTGCCCTGGGCTTCCCTCCCTTGGGCTTCCCTGCCCTGGGCATTTTGAGGCCTGAGCTTCCATGCCCTGGGCTTCCCTGCCCTGGGCTTCCCTGGCCTAGGCTTACCTGCCTGAGCTTACCCGCCCTGGGCTTCCCTGGCTTGGGCTTCCCTGCCCTGAGCTGACCCACCTTGGGCTTACCCGCCCTGGGCTTCCCTGCCCTGGGCTTCCCTGCCCTGTGCTTCCCTGCCTGAGCTTACCCGCCTTGGGCTTCCCTGCCGTAGGCATTCATTCCAGCACACATTCACAGACTTTTTTGCACACCCCAACCCCCCCCCCCCCCCTGCCCTCCCTCTATCGCAGGCTCACAAATGATGTGGCCCCGGACGGGGACCATCCGGCGAAAGAGCTCAGCAAGGAGCATGACAAGCCTATGCACGGAATATCAAAGCATATGCGCCCTGTCATATGCCTCCAGCGGTGCGGGTTGTCGGCACTGATGGGAGGCGAGAACGTTGCGACGACTGCAGATGTTCTCTACTACTTTATGATGAATGCTCCGGCTGCATGCAAACGGCTTATGCGGGCAGCAAAAGAAGCTGGTGAATGTTTATGGATAGTGGGAACGCGTGGTGATTGCTGTTGCATGTGCGCTAATAACCAGGGGTTTGTACATCCTCATACAACGATCGTGCAACCAAGCTGCATTTTATCCACGTGAATCCCCATCCAGGTGCGAATGGGGCGAATGCGGTAGCGACGGCAGAGCTACATCTGGAGTCATACGGGCGTCAGTTTGATTCGCGGGCGAACGATGGTGTGAACGCGGTGACCACGATAATGGGGAAGGCTGATCGTGAACTCAAGGGGCTTGTATACGACTTCCCTGCCTACAAGGAGGATCATCGCGGACGATTACGCCCCGTTGCTGGAAATGGGTGGGGTGGGCCCCGGAAAGGCAAGGCGTTCGAGGAAATGCGCACACAAGGTGAGATATGGAATGGGGATGAAAGGTTAGTAAGCCGCTTTAACCATACATCCAGCCAAGAAAACATGCACAAAACTCGAGGAAGCGGAAACCCCATACCAATCTCGTGAAAAAAAAACAGTGAGTACTCGCCTTGTGTGATATGCACGCAGGGGATGCAGATGGTGGGGCTGTGGAACTCGACAGCGTCCCCATCCCGACGGTGGGATCGGCGTGCACAATTGCAGAGGGAGGTGACCGTCATGTGGGACCAACACATCAAGAAGATGCAGCGTTGGATCACAATGAAAGGTTGGAGTGTGTTATTATACTCAAGATTCTGAAATCTTTGCGAGCATCCCACGGAATTTTGCTTGTTTACCTTGGGCAAGCATTGGGGAGATAGTTTGCTGATATGGTGGGGAACAGAGCAGCTAGCATTACAGAAACAAGTGCCATCCTTCTCCCCTTCGGGTGTTGCCGCCTTCTCCTTTTTGTTTAGTAACCCTCTCCATCCCTACCCATCCATTTTCGTCACTGACCTTTGCTGGCCCAACCAACAACAGGACGACAACTCGAGACAAAACAACCAGCAAGAGGCCAAAACCAGTTCCACGTGGGTGGTCAGCCGCTCCAAGCATCACGGATGTGCCTGAGTACACGGTATGCCTTCTACAACCGAAGCACTTGCTCGAAACGGTGGGATCACTACAGATTTGTTGCACACGAGCGGGCTGTTCTGGGAGTATGGCACTCGTGTCGTGGAAAACAGCATGGGCCTGTTTCGGACTTTATTGGCACTGTAACACGTGCACAAGCGGCAGGGAAGTATGGTCAAGTCCGAAAAAGGAGCACACATCAAATATGAGAAAGACCGGGCCAAGGACGTCAAAGCTCATGCCCAGGTTCGTCGGTGCCTTCGCCCTTGCGGGGGTAGGATTTCAAGTGATGTGGGAAGTTTGTCGCAATCTTGGACTTCCGAATCCGGGCAAGGGAACATTCTATCGTTTGCTGCAGGGTGAAGATGGTTTATGGAATGCCATTATTCGTGCTGCACAGAACTCGATGGGGGACGTGCTTACCACTTTATCCAAGAGAGTGGGTGGCGTGGGTTACATCAGTGTTGATGGCAGATGGTCACAAGCGCGAGAGGCAAAGTGGTGTACTGTGTCCTTCCTCCATCCTGAAAGTAGGAAAATCTTGCATGTAGAGACCACAAAACTTGACGTCGATGATGACTCCGCACCGAGGCTCGAAAGTGTAGGATTCAAAAGGGGGATGGACTTCCTCAAGGAGCAGGGGTTTGAGATGGAGGGGATTGTTACCGATGAGGGTAACACCTTTCGAGGTGCTGCTGTAGAAAGAGGAATCCGTCATCAGATTGACTGGTGGCATAAAAGACGATCGGAGGTGAAAAGATTTGAAAACGAGCTGCAGAACCTTGTTAGAAAAGTGGTGGATATTGATAACGCTGAGACTGTTGAGGACCTTCACATGCACACCTTGAAGAAGTTGAAGGCTTGGTTACTAAAGAAGGCTCCAAGCAAAGCGGAGGGCAAAACGGGAAAGGATGAGTTCATCGAGACAGTTTGCAGTGAGCTCGGTATTGTTTATCGTTATGTGAAACCGGCCGATGCAAAATGGATGCATCTGGAATTGCAGCAGGTGACGTGCACCAAAGGGTTGCACGAGGCTAGTCGTGGGCCAGAGCCACATAGGAGCGAAGAGGATGGAGAGGATAATGAAACGGTTGACATACCGGTTATGCTCTCATTGATACATGAACATGGCGTGCCTGCGCATGAGGGAACGGGAGATGGTGGTGATGCGGTTGAGATGCTGGAGGGTCCAGTGTCAGTAGAAGTTTGTTGGCGGGATGTGGAGGAGCTGTGGGGGTACGACATCCACCCTGAGCATGGGTTGCGTCCCTCATCACAAGCGTCTCTGGTGGTCGCACTCGCTTGCAATGGCGCTCGCGCTGATACGGATTTCTTGGGAGAACCAATCGATCAAGCACCACCAACGACCCCTCAGACAGGTACATTATCTAATCATCATAGCCACTCTTCTCGTTCATACTATCCCCAATGCACCACCCACTTCATTACCACATCACCACACCCCCTTGCTGTTTTTGCTCACTCCATTACCACATCACCGTATCCCCACTGTTTATACTCATTCCATTACCATATCACCACATCTTTCAGTGTTATTTATCATTCCATTCCAATTCATCACACCACCCACTGTTTTTGCTCACTCCATTATCAAATCACCACACCCCTCTACCGTTCTTGCTCACTATATTACCACATCCCCACACCACCCACTATTTATGCTCATTTCATTACCATATCACCACACACCCTTCAATGGTTTCTATCATTCCAATACCAATTCATCACACCACCCACTGTGTTTGCTCACTCCAATATCACAGCAGCACACCCCCCTATTGTTTTTGCTCACTCTATCACCCCCTCACCACACCCTCCATTGTGTTTGCTCACTCCATTACCACATCACTACACCCCCATCTGTTTATGCCCACTATTCAACCACCTCACCACACCACCCACCGTTTATGATGATGCCATTACCGATTTGCAACACCACCTACTGTTTTTGCTCACTCCATTACCATATCACCATACCCCTCAATGTGTATGGTACTCCATTACCATATCACCACACCACCAGCTCAAGTCACTATAACATATCGTCACATTCTTCTACATTTGTGACAACTTGCAGGAAGCCAACCCAAAGTTTCCGTCGATGGCTGCAATGAGACGCGACGGTGGCACCCACGTAGCAATAAGAAACGGGCACGCGGCACTGGAAACGAAGTCAACGTCGCTAGAGAGAGTGGCGGAAGCAGAAGGTTGGAATATTCGGTTGCACAACGCGTCAGCGTGCATTTCAGGCATGTTATGATGCGCTGTGCAGTGAAGGCGCGCGAAGGGGATGCGCTGCCAAAGGAGGAGGTGTCAGAGGAGTTAGGACTGGCGGCAGATCACTTTGCAGGTGATCATTCACGCTGCCAACGAGCGGGGATCACACCTCCACGCTGTGTTTCAGAGGGATGGGGGGGGAGAGTGCCGTGTATGCGGTTGGTTCACCAACCCACCTGGCTGTTCGCGAGTGGTTCAAGACGCGACTAGGGCCAACACAAGTGGAACCATTCATCCGTGGCGCGAATAGTTCACTGAATGAGTCATTTCACTCTCTGATTTGCAAGTATGCACCCAAGAGGCTGCGATTCAGGGGCAGCATGAAGGCACGCATAGCCTTGGCAGTGCTGCATTGGAGCAGTTGCATGGACCCACTCGTCAAGGCGTACCGCCTCCGTGCAAGAAAGGCGACACAAGTGCAGCGGGGTTCTGGAGAGAGGATCCTAGGTCCTATGGACTGGTCCTGGATCGACAAGATAATGCAGGAGTGGTTGAAGGAAGGGGTGGAGGATGTGGAGGAAACTGAAACGGCAATAGAGGGAATGCTGGATGAGGTTGTCACAGATCAGGGGGTTAGTGAGAACACCCGTGCGGTGCGACAACGAACCATGAGTGGACAGCCGAGTACTGTTTCTGTGCAACCGGTGTGCAGCACCCCTTTGGCTACCAATGAGCTCACTTTCTCGCCTGGGTGTCACGGCAGCACATCCCGGCCTGCCCCGGTGTCATACGGCCAACGAACTTCACAAGCTCGTCGCCGTTTGCTGGGTTCGTGGTTATAGACATACTTGCTTGTCCCTAAATTCCTGCTCGTGCTTCAGCAGCCGCATCCACCCTGCGCTTATGTCCTTTTTTTGCTTGTTTGCCAAATCTGTGCATTTCTGCTTTCTGTTACCAACCCACAGGAGAAAGGCCAACCAACCTACGCTAACGCTCTTGGCAAGCAGAGGTCTCACACGTAAAGGTGGATTGTAACACGCACAACCTGGTGTCTCCAATACGGTATGCGCCCAATCAGCCCCATACCCTAGGGTACTTTACGGCCCAATCATATACTTGCTGTTTTACATGACCGGTCCGCCACACTCCTATAGGATGTCATTTTTTTTTAGTGATGTTGCCTTCCTTTTTGTACTATACGACTGCAAGATCGTGCCACCTACACCTTCAATGACATCCCTACCCCCCCACCTCCCCCATCCCCTCTCCCACCCGTGCCTTCTGGTCTCTGACAAAAAGATGTCACAGGTCCGGGTTTCTTGGCTGATGCCCCCGTACAACCAAGTTTGTCCCCAACCCCATCTTCACCTCATACTTTATATTTCATACTTCGTCAAACGGCTTGCAGCAGATGCTTTGGTCAGCACTCTCTAAACGTTGCTTCTCCTAAAGACGTACGGTAGCGTACTATAAACAGGTCCACAACCCAAATTAGTTGAGGCATAACATGAACTGAAGGACCTCCCAGAAACCTCAAGTGGTTGCGTAGCCTCCTGCTTTTGCGGTTGCTAACTTCACAACATCATTGTCATCTAATAATGGCACGGCATGTGTGATATTTACTCTGAACTCTGATTGTTTGTTTTGACAATGTTGGTGTTAGGGTTTGCTTACACAATCCATACCATTCTCATATAATCTCCCTTCCGTATAATTCACAAAGGAAGTTGCATTGTTGGAATAGTTTGGTAGGTTGATCCATTAGCATCTATTAGGCGAACGCATGCACCGAAACAATGCCGTCAACAGGGCCTGTACACAGGAGTGGGTGAAAAGGCAGCATAGGACTGGAGAAATCAGGTATTGTGGGAGGGGGGGATCGTAGTGGAGCAATAAGAGTGGGCAAGAGCATGCGATATCAGAGTGGGTGTGATGGGAACCCGAATTTGTGGGGAATGAGATGTGAGATGCGGGGTGAGTTTGGAGTAGGTACGGTGTGGTCACGGAATGAGATAGGTGAGGGGATAATGGTTAGGAGAATAAAGTGGAAGAATGGGGTGGTGGCATGAGGGGAGGGATGTGGGATGGTGGAGGGGAAGGGGGTGGCATGAGGGGAGGGATGTGGGGCGCGAGTGACAATGATAAGGCGGACCATGTCCTTCCTCCATCCCTGCCCTGCACCTGGTTGCCGAAACCCAAGAACTTTTGCCAATCAGTGCCGATGAGACGTAGCCCACCAGCTCACATGCACACGGGCCAAGGGCTCCCGTGTACAGCGAAGGCAGGGAGGGCAGGGAGATCATGGGATAGCAGCATACCTAGAGCAGCGAGGCGCGTGTCAAGCATGTTGCCCATCTGCACGCGCACACACACACACACAGCGAAGGGGATGGGCAGGGAAAAGAGAGCGTTGGAACAGGAGGTGATGGGAAGGCAAAAGATGAAATCTGAGTGGTACGGGTAGGAAGGGGGAATGGAACGGAAGTGGAGAGGGAGGTGGACGGACGTATGGCGATGAGGATGGATGGGGGAGCAGCCATGCGAGCGGTGACGTTGAAGGACGAGACAGCAAAGCATGGTGCTGAACAGCTTCACGGCGTGTTGGGTGGCATGGCAGCCGAGCCAACGGTGGAGCATGACACGGGCATACCAGGTTGAAGTGCTCGTACTGCTGATTGCCCAGCCCAAACACGGCAAAGCGCATGGGACGGCTGGGGACTGAGGTATGAACAGAGGGGTGGTGGCAGGTTAACGGCACAGCATGAACCAGTCATGAAGGGCAACACGCACGCGCTGCACCTAGCCTCTCCACCGCTGCTTACCTCTACCTCTGCAGCAGCAGCATCCACTTGAAGAAACGCTGCACACCGTCCGTTGGCTCTCCCTCAACGTAGCTGCCCACGGAAGAGGGAGGGGAGGGGAGGAGGTGAGCAATGGGGGAAAGGCATGGGCAAGGCGGAAAGGCATGGGCAAGGGGGAAAGGCATGGGCAAGGGGGAAAGGCATGGGCAAGGGGGATAGGCATGGGCAAGGGGGATAGGCATGGGCAAGGGGGATAGGCATGGGCAAGGGGGGAAAGGCATGGGCAAGGCGGATAGGCATGGGCAAAGGGGGAAAGGGACGGGCAATGGGGAAAGGCATGGGCAAGGGGGGAAAGGCATGGGCAAGGGGGAAAGGCATGGGCTAGGGGGAAAGGCATGGGCTAGGGGGAAAGGCATGGGCAAAGGGGATAGGCATGGGCAAGGGGGAAAGGCATGGGCAAGGGGGAAAGGCATGGGCAAGGGGGAAAGGCATGGGCTAGGGGGAAAGGCATGGGCAAGGGGGATAGGCATGGGCAAGGGGGATAGGCATGGGCAAGGCGGATAGGCATGGGCAAGGCGGATAGGCATGGGCAAGGCGGATAGGCATGGGCAAGGGGGAAAGGCATGGGCAAGGGGGAAAGGCATGGGCAAGGCGGAAAGGCATGGGCAAGGCGGAAAGGCATGGGCAAGGGGGAAAGGCATGGGCAAGGGGGAAAGGGACGGGCATTGGGGAAAGGCATGGGCAAGGGGGAAAGGCATGGGCAAGGGGGAAAGGAATGGGCAAGGCGGATAGGCATGGGCAAAGGGGGAAAGGGACGGGCAATGGGGAAAGGCATGGGCAAGGGGGGAAAGGCATGGGCAAGGGGGAAAGGCATGGGCTAGGGGGAAAGGCATGGGCAAGGGGGATAGGCATGGGCAAGGCGGATAGGCATGGGCAAGGCGGATAGGCATGGGCAAAGGGGGAAAGGGACGGGCAAGGCGGAAAGGCATGGGCAAGGGGGAAAGGCATGGGCAAGGGGGAAAGGCATGGGCTAGGGGGAAAGGCATGGGCAAGGGGGATAGGCATGGGCAAGGGGGATAGGCATGGGCAAGGCGGATAGGCATGGGCAAGGCGGATAGGCATGGGCAAGGCGGATAGGCATGGGCAAGGGGGAAAGGCATGGGCAAGGGGGAAAGGCATGGGCAAGGCGGAAAGGCATGGGCAAGGCGGAAAGGCATGGGCAAGGGGGAAAGGCATGGGCAAGGGGGAAAGGGACGGGCATTGGGGAAAGGCATGGGCAAGGGGGGAAAGGCATGGGCAAGGGGGAAAGGCATGGGCTAGGGGGAAAGGCATGGGCAAGGGGGATAGGCATGGGCAAGGCGGATAGGCATGGGCAAGGCGGATAGGCATGGGCAAGGCGGATAGGCATGGGCAAGGGGGAAATGCATGGGCAAGGCGGAAAGGCATGGACAAGGGGGAAAGGCATGGGCAAGGCGGAAAGGCATGGGCAAGGGGGAAAGGCATGGGCAAGGGGGAAAGGGACGGGCATTGGGGAAAGGCATGGGCAAGGGGGAAAGGCATGGGCAAGGCGGAAAGGCATGGGCAAGGGGGAAAGGCATGGGCAAGGGGGAAAGGCATGGGCAAGGGGGATAGGCATGGGCAAGGGGGATAGGCATGGGCAAGGGGGATAGGCATGGGCAAGGGGGGAACTGCACGCTCACCTGCTCCGCGTGCAGCATGCTCGCCGGTGCTGTCCACGCGGCCAGCAGAGCGCGCGGCGCTGCCTGGTGAGCGGGGGGGGCGCTGACCCGGCGGGTGGAGCGGCGCGTGGGCGCTGTGACGTTGGAGCCTGTCGTTCATCCACAGGGAGGAGAGGGAGGGGCAGAGGGGAGAGCGGAGGAAGAGACGGAGGGAGAGAGCAACGCGGACGCGCGAAGGGCAAGAGGGGTGGAGGCGCATGCAGTTGTAGAGCGCGCGGACTGCAGTCTTCCGCAGTCGCATGGCGCACATGCAGTCGCATGGCGCAGATGCAGTCGCATGGCGCACATGCAGTCGCATTGCGGCCATGCAGTCGCATGGCGCGCATGCAGTCGCATGGCGCACATGCAGTCGCATGGCGCGCATGCAGTCGCATGGCGCGCATGCAGTCGCATTGCGGCCATGCAGTCGCATGGCGCGCATGAAGTCGCATAGCGCACATGCAGGCGGCATAGCGCACATGCAGTCTAGGTGCGGGCTCGTGAATTCACAGGGCGCACACATGCAGTGAGAGACGAGCCCGCACCTAATACGACAGCGGATGAGAGACGAGCGCGGATTGTGGGACAGTCCGGATGAGAGACGAGCGCTGATTGTGGGCCAGACCGGATGAGAGACGAGCGCGGATGCGCGAGGTGCGCGGATGAGATTTCGGGCGCGGATGAGCGACGGGCGCGTATGACATTTCGCGCGCGGATGAGCGAGGAGCGCGTATGAGATTTCGAGTGCGGACGAGCCGTGAGCGCGGGTTCCCTAAGATCGCAGGTGAGCGCGGGGGTTGGTTGAGCGACGAGCGTCGGTGTGCGACGAGCCGAATGCAAACGGCATGAGAGCGGGGGGACGATGAGAACGGTCTGGTGGTGGTATACAATGGCAAAGCACTTTCCCCGCCCACACGCCCTAGGCTTTCTGGGTATCGCGTCATGCCTGCCTCAGCAGTACACACCTACGATGTCGTCTAGTTATGCCTGTTGCTGGGCGCCGAGAAGACATTGATGCGTCACATGTACGTCACCATTGAGACCTTCCTCACCGTCGAGGGTATCTTCGCGATTTTAGTAAACCTGGTCGTAGCCCTATATGTATCGCTCGTCTCTCTATTACGCATTTCGGAGGGCGTATAGGAGTGAGTGGTCAAAGGCCTGATTAGTAATCTTGCTTGGAGTGAGTGGTCTAGGTGTGTTGCCCCTTCTCCCTGGCTTTCCTCGGTGAATGAACTTCAAAAGTCCCAAATTGCGGGGCTGTGGGCGTCAAGGTGAGTATTCGGAGTCTGCCTGGTGTTAGGACCAGGGCTGCAGAGTTTCGCACGGATCCACCCAACCAATCGCGACGATTGTGGACAACTGTTGGGGTCGCTCGAACTTCCGTGTCAATGAATCGGGTAACACACTTCCGAGGCCATCAAGATTACTAATCTTGATGGCCGCGGCTTGCAATTTGGGCCTTGAGCTTTAAAAGTCACGTCAGGCCGAGCTGGGACCCATGGTCATAGCCATAAGTTTTCATTTTGTTGTGACTGTAACATAATGTAAGAGTCTTCTTGACTTTACTGCGCACTCTCGAGTGCGCATCAAAACTTATGGTTCTGCTCCCCACTCAGGTGAGCTTCATGATGCCGGGGAAAGACGGGCGAATGGCCGCCAGGGGCTCACCGTAGCCCACAGGGACTGTTGGTGGGACATGGGGAAAAGGGACAAACAGAAGAGAGTGAGAGAGGATATGGAGGAGTGAGGAAGGGGATATGACAAGAATGGCCGCCAGGGGCTCACCGTAGCCCACAGCGACTGTTGGTGGGACATGGGGAGGACGGGAGGAGAAGAAGCGGGGAAATGGAGGAGGGAGTTCAGATGAGCTCCATGATGCCGGGGAAAGACAGGCGAATGGCCGCCAGGAGCTCACCGTAGCCCACAGGGACTGTTGGTGGGACATGGGGGTTGGAGGAAAGGGGGAAGGAGGAAAGGAGATGAGGTGAGAGGAGTTGGAGGAGCGAGGAGGGAGAAACGACAGGCAGATGGCTGCCAGGGGTTCACCACACCCCACAGGGACTGCTGCCAGGACATGGGGGTGGAGGAAGGAGGGAAGGGGGAGATGGGATGGGAATATAGAGGGGTTGAAATGGAGGAGAGTGTAAATGTAAAGGCAGGTAGATGGCTGCCAGGGGTTGACCACACCCCACAGGGACTGTTGGTGGGACACGGGGGTGGAGGAAAGGGGGAAGTGAAAGATGGGAATAGGGGGGGGATGAAATGGAGGAGAGAATAAGGGGAAAGGCAGGCAGATGGCCGCCAGAGGCTGAACATACCGCATTGGGACTGAAGGTGGGACATGGGGTGCCGGCGGAAGGGGAGGATAGTAAGATGGGAAGACTTAACAAGCTAGGAAAAAGGATGCGGGACCAATTAGCACATGGATTTCAACACCTAAAATATATTATCGGAGAAAGACCCAAGAATAGGGAGATCAACCATAAGTGTTGGTAATGGGCAGGGCACATAGAAAGTACCTCCATCCTCCACCAGAAAATCTACCACTGTGCCCGCATGCTCCGTCTGCATAGACACAAAAACAGCAAGGGCACAGTCATTGTTAAGAAACTGTTTTTGAGTCGACTCAAAAACAAAACAGCAAGGGCACGGTCGTTGTTAAGAAACTTAGCAGCAAAACAGCGACAAAAGAGCAAGAGGCAGCAACAGGAACAACAGCGGGGAAGAGAGCACCAGAGAAAGGGGCAGGGAAGAAAGGAGAGATTATGATCACCGGAAGAAGGGAAACAGTTCGACTCAGTTCCTTGTCAAGGGAAACAGTTCGACTCAGTTCCTTGTCAAGGGAAACAGTTCGACTCAGTTCCTTGTCAAGGGAGTTCCTTGTCAAGGGAGTTCCTTGTCAAGGGAAACAGTTCGACTCAGTTCCTTGTCAAGGGAAACAGTTCGACTCAGTTCCTTGTCAAGGGAAACAGTTCGACTCAGTTCCTTGTCAAGGGAAACAGTTCGACTCAGTTCCTTGTCAATGGAAACAGTTCGACTCAGTTCCTTGTCAAGGGAAACAGTTCGACTCAGTTCCTTGTCAAGGGAGTTCCTTGTCAAGGGAGTTCCTTGTCAAGGGAAACATCCCCGAAAAATATTTTGAGATTCCTTAGAGCTGCATTCAAGTCAACCGGTATCTCTGTCACATACACGCATCATCTTTTACCACTCTCCACCACTCCTTACAACGCCCTACCAATCCCTGCCGTTTCTTCTCACTTCCTGCAACTCCTTACCAGTCTCTGCATTGCCCCACATCCCCTCTTCAACCTTATCAGCCTGCCCCACACCCTTCACCCCTATCGGCCTGCTCCACACCCTATATTTTCCAACCTCCCACCCACCTCGATCGTGAGGTTGGTGCCGAGCTGCTCCAGGAAGCACATGGCTTGCCCCTTCTTCACACCGAGTGCTGGCCTGTACCCCCACACTCCCGCAACTCCCTGCAATACCTATCAGCCCATCACTGCCCTTATCCCACCATCCCACCCACCTCGATCGTGAGGTTGGTGCCGAGCTGCTCCAGGAAGCACATGGCTTGCCCCTTCTTCACCACCAAGTGCGCATATCAGTGGATGTAGCCCCTTCAACCCCCCCACCCCCCGTGCAATGCCTGTCAGCCCTCCGCCGCCCCCACCCCACCCTCTCCCACGCCCACCTCGATCGTGAGGTTGGTGCCGAGCTGCTCCAGGAAGCACATGGCTTGCCCCTTCTTCACCACTGCTCCCTGTTGATGGGAGACGGGTGAGAGGGAAAGGGGGAGAGAGGAGGCGAGGGAAAGGAGTAGGGGAAAGGGGGGTCGAGGGGAAGGAATAAGGGCAAGGGGGGTAAGGAAGGACGTGAGGGGGGTTGAGGGGAATGAGCGAGGGACTTAGGGAGTGGAGTGGGGTGGAGAGGAAATTGTGTGTGCGTCTATACCAAGTGCTATGTGCCTCCTTCTATACTTGTGATAGACACACACACACACACACACACACACACACACACACACACACACACACAAATTGTACCGTGCATGCTTGCATGATAGATTCACTGAAGCACACCACATATTTAAGAGGAAATTACCCTCTCCCAAAACCGAGTACCGCACTGCACCGCACTGTACCTCGAGCACAATTGGCCGGCCGTGCTTGCCCTTGTACAGCTTGCCACGTCGCATGATGCCCACCTGGCAGGGATGGGTTGGACGGGGGCCGGGGGGAGTGGGGGAGGAAGGGGGTTGATTTCTTAGGCGCCTCAAAAGCCGTGCTTGCCCTTGTACAGCTTGCCACGTCGCATGATTCCCACCTGGCAGGGGGAAAGGGGGGACGGGGGGAGTGGGGGAGGAAGGGGGTTGATTTTTGAGGCGCCTCAAAAGCCGTGCTTGGCCTTGTACAGCTTGCCACGTCGCATGATGCCCACCTGGCAGGGATGGGTTGGACGGGAACAGGGAAGGTTGTGAATGAGGGTGGGAATGAGGATGCAGCGAAGGGTGACGAGGAGGGTGGGGATGAGGGTGTGTGGGTTAGGTGGGGGGAAGGGTGGGGAGGATGGCGCAAAGAAGGGTGAGGAAGAGGGTGGGAATGACGACCATGGAAGGGTGGGGGAGAGGTGGGGCGAACGGTGAGGGGGCGGGTTCGCAGGGTGAGACGGCGGAAAGAGTATAAACCACCATCTGTTACCCGCGGCGACGTGACATAGGCAAGACCCTTGTGCTTGGGCTTCTCGGGCTCTGCACCCACCTCCGCTCCGCCACGGTCTCCGCTCCGCAGCAGCAGCGGGGGCAGCAGCAGCGAGGGAGAGGGATAATGACACCATGTAGTGCAGACTCAAGTGTTCACTCCACTCTTACCCGCGGCAACGTGACATAGGCAAGACCCTTGTGCTTGGGCTTCTCGGGCTCTGCGGCCACCTCCGTCACGGGCTCCGCGGCAGCAGCGTGGGGGAGGGAGGGGTAGAGGTACTATACAATGGGACTGTACGCTTCCACCCATCTCTTACCCGGGGCGACGTGACATAAACGAGGCCCTCGTCCTTGGGTTTCTCAGGCTCAGCTGCCACCTCCGCCACGGGCTCCGCGGCAGGGAGGGACTCCGCCATGGGGAAGGCGGGCACTGGCGCAGCGTACACCACAGGGGCCGCGGCGGCCGCGGCGGAGGCTTCAGCAGCAGCCACGGCATGCCCGATGCTGCCGTCCACGTCCCTCTTGACGTGCAGGGTGAAGGCGCCGACCTGAGAGAGGTGTGGGTTCGAGGATAGTGGAGAAGAGGGAGGGGAGTCAAGGGGGTTACTGCGAGAACAGCTGCTGTCACGGCACTGCCGGTGATGCTGCCGTCCACGTCCTACTTGATGTGCAAGGCCCTCCCTCTTCACGTCAAGTAGGACGTGCAGGGGACGACTTTTGAGGCGCCTCAAATGCCGTCCACGTCCTACTTGACGTGCAAGGTTGACCCTCTTCACGTCAAGTAGGACGTGCAGGGGGAAGCGTCAAGCCCTTTTTTGAGTCGACTCAAAAATCGACTTAACGTCCCTCTGACGTGCAAGGCCGTCCCTCTTCACGTCAAGTAGGGCGTGCAGGGGGAAGCCTCAAGCCCTTCCTATCACACAAGAAAGTGAGTGCGAAGTATTGTCAGCGAATCGTCTCGCTTCCGTACCTTGAGTTCTTGCCTCGGTACTCCCATATACCTGAGTGACTGCGACGGTCGTCTCCTAACGTACCTACGTGCTTGCTTCGGTACTCCCGTATGTGAGTGTTTGGTTCGGTGGTCGCCTACCTGAGTGTTTCCCTCGGTCCTCCCCTACCGCACCTCAAGTGCTAGATTTGGTCCTTCCGTACCTGAGTGCCTGCTTCGGTGGTACCGTACCTTGACCTTAAGCTCGGCGATGTGAGTCTCGTCGCAGAGCTCCATCAGCAGCGACTGCACCTGTTGGCGAAAGGACAGGTAATGGGACATGGGCACGGGGCATGAGGAATGAGGATTTTTTGGAGAAATGGCGGAGTGGAATGACGCGGAGGAACGACGGAGGCATGGCGGGAGAAGTCACGGAGAGGAGAGTACCGCGGCGGAATGAGGCGAGGAGAGGGCGAGTGACGCGAGGTAACAAGGAGAGGAGAGCAACACGACGGAACGAGGGGTGGGAATATACCTCGTCCACTGTCGGCGCGGCCACAGCTGCGCCATTGCTCAGCTCCTCCGCCTCAACCGCCAACTCCTTCACAGCTCCTGAATAGATTAAAAAAAAAAAAAAAGGTAAGTCAGGCTAGACAGGAGTAAAAAGCTGTATCCACACACAAAGAATTATATTCATTAGTATTAATTAGTATTGCAAACAGTCACAATGTAGTACTGGCGAAGGTAAGAGCGAAGAGTGGCTGTTCAAACGGTCGACTCCCATCAGTTCGAATGCGCTAGAGAGGTTGTGAATGCGATCGAGGGGATGTGAATGCGCTCGAGCGGTTGTGAATGCGGTCGAGCGGTTGTTAAAGCGGTCGAGCGGTTGTTAATGCGGTCGAGAGGTTGTACGAGCGCTTACCGTCCTCGACAGCAGCAGCGCGGCAGCGGAGGAGGTGGGTGCGACCCCCGCGGGGAGCGGCGGAGAGGGGAGCGGGGAGAGGCGCGGGGACGACGGAGCGGGCGAAGCTGGAGGCGGAAGCAGCGGAAGCTGCTCTGCTGGCGGTGAGCGCTGCTGTGGGAACGGCTGAGAGGGACAGCATGAAGGAGAGTAGGAAATGGGGGATATGATACGGATGGTCACACGGGAATGGTACGATTGAAAGAACAAGGGTTGTTTTTTAAACGGGGAAGTCCGTTGTGAGAGTGCTTGAGGGAGCTGGACGAGAATCGAATCACGAGCACGACAGAATGCGAATGTAAGCTTCTTCGCGTTAGTGGGCAGCTCTACCCAAGACGGACCCTAGGGTTTGTCTTGAACGCATAAGCGAAACTTGGAACGGAAGTATTACTGATGCACATACTGCGAGGTTTGTGTGTAGTGTACCTGTCCGAGCTGCGATGGTCGCCATTGTGATTGTAACGTGGAGGTTGTCGGAAGATGACGCTGCAGCTACGATCAAGCTCTTAGCACCTGATTACCTAAGCCGACTGCTTATGAGATCGTAGGAGCGAGAGCTGGGTGGCAGCTGCTGGTCAGGAGGAACTTATTCCGACTGAAGATGACCAGCTAAGGCAGGCCCCTGTTTCTGTGCAGAGCTTTGTTGGATAGGTGGAGGTTTCAGCATCACTTATCCTCCACCAAGCACAACAGGTTGCAGAAGTGTTGGCAGAGAATCACCATACTCAACCGTTTTAGAACGTATATTAGTAGAATTTAGACTCCTGCAAAACTGACTAAACCGTAGTGACACTGTGCATTTGGAAACGGCTTGTGCATGATTCCATTCCAAGTCAAGTGTCACTGCAGCAGCACTGGCTGGCTTTTCTGGGAAAGGGGATCCCAAGAATTTGACGGAAACGATGACGGACGGACAGGTGAATGTTGAAGACAGATGATCTCCTCGACAAGTTCAGGGCCAATGGTGAAGACAGATGCATTTTCATCCTGCCAGTTTGTTCGCTCGTAAACGGTTGACGTTAGCGGTTGGAATTCGGCCCCGAATGCGTCTCGCCAGCGTGGATGATCGTCCGCCGTGTCATGGTGTTGTGTGAGTGGTTCGAGGGCCAAGGTCGATCCACTAACCATCTGATGTCAGATCGGGTTGCTGGATAACTGACGGCTGGCAACGGTTTGATGAACCCCTGCGTGGCTGTGACACTTTGGTCACATCACTGGCCCCTGCATGTACCTGATATAGAGTTATTCGCATCAGGATTCAGATTATGGCACATGGATGCTATAGAAATCTAGTACGATACACACAAAAAACTAATGCTGGCCTGTGCTCTGGATAAAATCTGGGAAGATTCCTAGGTGGCAATCTGCCAGGTCAGTTAGCATATTTCCTACGTCAGACATCGTGTGTGTGAAATTTCCCAGCTCGGCAGTGCATCGACCACGTCACTCGGTGAAATCGACGGTCATGAAACCCTTGTGGTCCCAGATCTTGACATTCTCGAACGCCTCAAATATCCCAGAGCGACTCGCTCATTGGGTAACAGGCGAAAGCCGGCAGCAATTCTCTCTGCCCTCTCGCTGCCGAAGCGATAGTAACTCGAAATCGTGAATCTCGTAGGGGACAATTCGTGTGGGAGAAGGAACTTGAGGACTTCAAATTCAGCCCCCTGACATTCCTATATAGTTCCCAGCAGCCCAGCCCAATCTTGAAATTCAGTAGTTTATGGAGCATCTGTAACTTCAGTAAGACGAGCGGCTGCTCCTCCAAAATCCGTTTCCTGCTTGCTTGCGTTATCTCGTCTGTCGCCATCCCTCCTCCTCGCGAAGAAGTGCGGGGGGATTCGCCACTCTTCCTGGACGTCATTGTGCGCGTATTCTCGAAATCATGGCTTCTGCATCTGCTGTCAGCGTGTCCTGCGGCATCAGGCTCAACCCGTCCACTCTCCAGGTAAACTCTTCACAATTGGGTACAATGACATTTTCTACCGAATTTCAACTCCAGATTCAACCAAGCATGCTATCTTTGCTGATGGTGTCTCATTGTTCCTCTTCGCTATTACGCGTTCCGCAGAAGCCTTCGTGGTCTTGGCGTCAAAGTCGGCGCTCATCCCGTTTTGAGACGTCTCAAAACACTTCTTCATACACGTGCTGATGTTGTTTCATTGTTCCTCTCCGCGTTCCGCAGAAGCCTTCAGTGGTCTTGGCATCAAAGACGGCGTTCCTCCCGTCGCCGCTGCTTCGTACCACGTACGCTTCTTGTTCCAAGAACGTCAGTTCTCGCATCGCGACACGATGCTCGGCTTCCATTCATGCCGCTATGGCTGGTAGGCCACTAAAATTACCACGCGACAAGATTCTACAACGCATATACCTTTTCTCAGCCAGTTGCTCATCAAAAGCAGCAAGTGCTCATAAATCACAGTCTGGCTTTGTGTTCGTTTCCAAAATCTGCTTAATGTCATCAAATCTCTAAATTTCTTGCGTATTTGTTTGTTTGCAGTGTCTCCATCGGAGCTGGACGTGATCTCGAGGAGCAGCGAGATTGTTCCCGATTCAATCGTTGGCGGCCAATTTGAGAGGTGAAACAACGTTGACAAAGTCAATTTGCACTTTTTTACGTTCACCTTCAGTCTTTTTCGCTAACAACCAAGGATTCACCCGGAGTGATGCATTCACAATGTGTAACCCTTTGCCATTTGTTACAATTGTGTCATTGTAAACAATATTTTCAGCTTCAAGCCCACTGCGGCGACCGTGTCGTCGTCTCTCATCCTCGGGGTTTCCTCCTTGGGGGAAGCTAAGTTCGACGTGAGTGTGCGCGTGCTCGTATGGGAGTGTGCTCGTATCATGGGAATGTGCTTTTATGGGATTGTGTTCGTTTCGGATAGTGACCGTATGAAAGTGTTACTCCATGTGAAACTCGTTGTCTGTGTTCATTTGTCAGCTAGCATTATATCTGCTGATGTCTTCACATCAGTCGCTGGCAGTTAGTAAGTCTCTGGCAGTTAATCGGTCTCTGGCAGTTAGTCAATCTCTGGCCGTCAAGTCAGTCTTTGCCCGTCAGTCAGTCCCTGGCCGTCTTTACAGGCAATGGCTGGCCGTCCTTACTGACAGCCCCCCTTACTCCTGCGCGTGCAAGCAGCAATATAATTCTTTTATCGACTCAAAACTCACCCTTACTCTTTACTGACGGGCCCCCTTACTCTCCCCGTGTGCAGGGAGCGATCAAGAGCGCGTTGGCGTACGGCAAGTGCATGATAGCCGCGGAGGAAAACAAGTTCTCCTGCTTCCTCGATAAGGTCAGCCTCGCTATGCAAATGCTGTTCTTCTTTTTGCAGCAGATAGTATGAAAATTCATATTGGTCCTGCGTATACGGAGGAAAGCCAAGCGTGAATTGCAACCGTGAATTTCCTAACGTTAATCTTGAAAATTGGACCAGCTGCATTGGGGGAAAAGGTTATACAATGAACGATTCTGAGTTTTGAGACCCTTGATTTATGTAATTTGTTGCTTGGAGGACTAAAACGCGAACATGATGTGCTTATATGTGCAGGCGCTGCTGAACGTGGGGAGGGAGCTGAGCCTCGAGGTGTTCCTTGAACGTTGCTGGGACCCGTTGTATGAGAAAAACGCTAAGATAACATTTTATCGCGTATGTGGTGTGCGTATGTGGTTTGCGTATGTGGTGTGCGTATGTGTGCAGGCGCTGGTGAACGTGGGGAGGGAGCTCAGCCTCGAGGTGTCCGGGCGTGTGTCCACCGAGGTGGACCCCCGGCTGGCGCACAACACGGCCGCCATGGTCGACCGGGTGAGCATTACACCACCGCCTGTGATCTTCTGAGTGCATGAGGGTGTGCATGACTGCTGGCTGCGTAAGGATTTTGTGCGCATGAACCCCTCTAGACACGTATGTGTCCGGCTCCGGGCGTGCGTCTGCCGAGGTGGACCCCAGGCTGGCGCACAACACGGCCGCCAAAATCCCCCCCTTTCCTCCCCTCCCCCTTCCTTGTAACCAGGTGCGTAACCTCACAGAGCTGTACAAGGAGGTAGACGTGCCGGTGAACCGAGTTCTGCCCCATTAGGCTCCCCTGAACCGCTTCGAATCTCTTCCAGTGTGGTCTTCTCCCTGTCCATTTCCGCATAAACCAGGTGCGCAACCTCGCAGAGCCCTACAAGGAGGTGAATTTGGGTGTCAACCGAGTCCTGTCGCCTTTAGACTCCCCTGAACCGCTTAGAATCCCGTCCGATGTCATTATCTCCTACTCTCTTTCCCCATTACCAGGTGCGCAACCTGGCAGAGCTGTACAAGGAGGTGGATGTGGGTGTGAACCGAGTGCTGTTCAAGCTGCCCGCCACGTGGGAGGGCATCGAGGCGGCGAGGCGTTTGGAAGCAGAGGGCATCAAGACGCACGTCACTGGCGTCGCCAGGTGAGGGGAGGGAGGGGGTGGTTGATTGTTGGGAGTGTCGGTGGGTGTGGGTGTGAACCGCGTGCTGTTCAAGCTGCCCGCCACGTGGGAGGGCATCGAGGCTGCAAGGCACCTGGAAGCAGAGGGCATTAAGACGCATGTCACTGGCGTCGCCAGGTGAGGGGAGGGAGAGGGTGGTTGATTGTTGGGAGTGTTGGGGGACATGCCGCTGAACCGAGTGCTGTTCAAGCTACCCGCCACGTGGGAGGGGATTGAAGCTGTGAGGCACTTGGAAGCAGAGGGCATAAAGACGCATGTCACTGGCGTTGCCAGGTGAGGGGAGGAAAGCGGGAAGGGTGGGAGCACCATTCCATCTCTTTATGCTCCTCTGCTTCCATTACCTCCCATTCCTTTCGTCCCCCAGCCATTACTCTTGATCCTTCCTAAAGTGTTCCCAAAATACACCACTTTTGCTCTCTCTTCCTCTCTGCAGCTTCGCCCGGGCATCAGCATGTGCGCAGGCCAACGTGGCGATCATTCATCTCTTCTCCCCTCCCCCTCCCCCCCGCCTCCCTCCTCCACCCTGCAGCTTCGCCCAGGCGTCAGCATGTGCGCAGGCCAACGTGGCAGTCATTCAGATCCCCGTCGGCCGCATCAAGGTACAAAGCACACTCAATGATGGCATATCATCACTTTTCATCACCTATCATGCTTTCTTTCACTGCCCGTACGGAGAACCTCAACAGAAATTGTAGTCGTCCACCGTAGGAGAAACCCTGTTATAGAATATTTCGTCATTCTCAGTTTTGTCTCTCCCCACTCCTTCCTGTCCCTCCACGACTGGCTTCTCACGAATTCGGTTGGCAAAGAAATGCCACACACCACACGCCACGACTTCGCAGTTCCTTCCTCTCAACTCCGTTCCTCCTATTCCTCTCCCCTCTCACCAGGACTGGGCACGCACGCATTCAGGCGACAAGGAGGTGGACGCCGCAGCAGCCAAGGGCGAGGACCCCGGAGTCAGCCTGGTAAGGCCAAGCCTGACTTTGCTTCCGGCTCTCGTTACAGCTGTTGCGTACTCCCTCCTAGTCTCTTTCAATAAATGTCGAAAGCGGATGGACTGATTGATCCTGACTTTGCTTTCGACTCACGCTACAGTTCTCGAGTACTTTCTAGTCTTGTCTTCTCTGAAACCCCGTGCCCTGCATGTGCCATGTGTTATGTCTAATTCTCTCATCTACTCATCTACTCATCTACTCATCTACTCATCTCCGCTCGCGTCATTCCCCACCAGGTGCGCCGTGCGTGTGCATTTATTGCCCGCAACAACTTCCCCACCAAGGTCATGGCGTCCAACATCCGCAGCAAGGAGGACGCACTCAGCCTCCATGGGTATGTCTTGACTCGCACGCACCCATTGGCTCGCACACACCCGTACACATGCAGCAATGGACATGAACACGCACACCTACTCGGCACATGCCACCACTTCCCCACCAAGGTCATGGCGTCCAACATTCGCAGCAAGCAAGATTCACTAAGCCTCCATGGGTATGTCTTGACTCGCACACACACACGCACACACACACACACACGAGGGGATTTTTTCAGAATTCTAAAAAAAACCCTGACGTTGCACACACACACACAAGCGGCCGTGCACTTGCGCACACATACCGGCACCCGGTACATGCCACCCGGCATCCAGCATCCGCAGCAAGTAGGCCACCCTCAGCCTGCTCCGGTAATGTCTTTGTCTCACAGATAGACACGTATACACTCTAACGACGTGTACTGACGCATAGCATAGCATGCATAACGGCTTCCCCACCAAGGTCATGGCATCCAACGTCCGCAGCAAGGACGACGCACTCAGCCTGCTTGGGTACGTACTGGTTTGAACCACACACGCACACAATCACACACACACACCCGGCACAACCAATCACTTCCCGACCAAGGTCATGGCATCCAACATCCGCAGCAAGGACGACGCACTCAGCCTGCTTGGGTACTACGCACACATGCACATGCACATGCACATGCTCGACATGCTCGACATGCACACATGCACACATGCACATGCTCAACATGCACACATGCACACGTGCACGCATGCACACATGCACACATGCGGCCATGGATATGCCGCTGTCACATCTACACTCAATTGTAACGAAGTGGGTGTACATTATCTCATACGCCCTAATTTGCCTTATTATCATATGTTTTCATCATGTATTGTTTCACGTGCAGCACTGATTACCTGGTACCCCTCAGGGTGATGGGGGCTTTGAAAGACACTCCCGCCTATTACGTGCGCACTACCGTACCTTTCAATGCTTTCTTTTCCCTGCTCGAATCGATTGTGCAGCACTGATTACCTGGTGGTGCCCCTCAAGGTGCTGGAGGCTCTGAAAGACACTCCTGCCTCCCCTGACCTCAAACCTGCAGCAGTCAGTGCAGCAGCTGACAAGGTAGGAGCTCAATTGCTGGTTGTGTGTGTGTGTGTGTGCTTTGGTAATTGTGCCATGTCACGTACCGGTACACTCCTGCACCTGTTTCCCTTGCTACTCCAATCTTTCAAGTGTGTTTTCTACCGTACCGTGTGTTCTCTAATGGACTCACGCTACTCCATGTGTTTTCCACTTTATTGCAGGTCAAGCCGTGGGACATGGCGAGGTTCATGGCCAATATTGGTCCATGTGCCCGGCAGCTGCTTCAGGCTGAGATTGATTCTGCTGTTTCTCAGGCAGAGAAGGTTGACAAGCACTTCAAGAAGATCTGGCCGCCCCCGAACGTGTGAAGGGCCAAAATATATAAATAATTGTGGTTAATGTAATTACATGGGCAGCATGCCCCTCCGTCTAGTGTTTTTGTGTTATGCTTGTGTATATGAAAGGAAGTTGTTGTTCTGGCGCACTTACCGAATTCTGTATGTTAAAAGGATATGGTATCTGCCCGTGGAATAAGTGTAAGAATGTAAGAGTAGATTGTGGAACTTATATATCCATATGCACTGCTCAATTGTACACTTAGCATTGGACTTTTCATCTGCACAAATTCATCCCTTCCCCACTGTAAGGAAAATCCCTTACTTCACGTCCCTGCTCAGCGCGTACACCACTGTTCCCGCCAGCAGCACCCAACAGTAATCCGTTACCACTCGCGACACTCGCTTCGACACCATTCCCGCCACCATTCACGACGAGACCCAACCTCACGGTTCGGTTGGTAACCCGCGCTCCGGACCTCCGCCTCGACATCTCCCAACCTCGGCACTAGGCCCGTCGCGCACCCCACTTTTCACATTACCGTTACCACTGTAGTTTCGCTATATATTCTTCGCTCATACCTTCGCTCATTGTACTCTTGCTTCGATAGTGCAATTCTCGCTCGTTCACTCAATTGCACTCGTATCACTTGGTTATCAGAGCCTACGATCTCTTCTCGGACCGCACCCACACCTTCGCTTCCCCACTATCTCAAATTTTTGGGGGGGGTAGACGTCTCTCAGCGAACAAGCACCGCCGCTCGAAGTGCTCTCTCGTAAGCACGCACGGCCACGACAGAGGCTCCCGCTGAGTTTGCCCGACACCCCCGCCATGGCCGACATTAATCTTGCGACATTGACGCAGGAGCAGCTCGACCGTCTCGTGCGTCAACTCGAAGATTCGGCACTCGAAATCGCGACACTCACGGCGGAACGTGACTCCGCCCGCCAGCAATCAACGGTGAATGCACCAGCTCCATCACAAGCACCCGCAAATGCACCTGCGCAATCAGAAGAACCAATCGTCATCTCATCCAACACACCAACGCAAAACGACAGCGTGGGACAGCGCTCAGGCGCAGCCAGTGATGACGCCGCTCAATCGATGCCTGGCATGGAGAGAAATCGGGCCGCGCCAAGCCCGCGTGGGCCTCGCGAAGCTCGTCGGCACGTGGAGTTTGCAGCAACAAGTGGCAACCACGACATCATTGTCAGAATGTGATGTTTGTGTAGCCTGCAGTGGGGTACTCTGTAGCGAGTACAGCCCGAATTAGGGTTTGCCATATGTACTCTACTGCATGCTAGTGAAAACCTTCTTTTCGTGTTTCTCATTCCTGTCTCTTGATTCTGACATGGTTTCAGAGCAGGTCGATCCCCTTGGGTCGATCCTGTGGGTGGGCCCGCCACCTAACTGCTTCCGCTGCTGTTCTGCTTCTCGCACGCCTCGGGCGCGCGCCGTCTTCTTCCTGCCGCGCGAATTTTTTTAGGGTTTTTCATCCCGCCGTGCGCTTGGGGCGCGCGGCGCGTTTCTGCTCGCCGTGCGCCCCGAGGCGCGCGGCGGTTTTCTGCCGTGGGGGACCCGCGCGCAACACCCCGCCCTTCCCGTCGCGTCGCCCTGCAGGCCGCGCGCGTGCGGCCCGTCTGCCCGTCGCGCGGCCTTGGGGAGCAGCGCGCGGCCCCCGCCCTTCCCGTAGCGTCGCCCTGCAGGTCGCGCGCGGGTCTGCAGGGCGCGCGCGGCCCGTCTGCCCGTCGCGCGGCCTTGGGGAGCCGCGCGCGCCCCCCGCCCGTCCGTCGCAGCGCCCTGGGGAGCCGCGCGCGCCCCCCCGCCCGTCCGTCTTGGCGTCCTGGGGAGGAGCACGCGGCCCCTCCTGTCCCGTCCACCCCCCCCCCCCCCCCGTGCTGCCCATTCCTCCCGTGCCGCCGTGCGTTCCGCGGTGGTGGGGGGTGTGGGGTGGCAAGCATGGGGGTGCGCGGTGTGGGTGTTCCCCTCTTCCTTGTTCGTCTCCCACTGCTGCAGCTGCTGCTGAGGGGGGTGGAGGTGTGGGAGCCGCGGGGAGTGGAGCTGGGGGGGTGACGTGGAAGTGGAGCTAGGGTTTCTGCAGGGGGTGTGTGAAAGGGGTGTGGGACAGTTGGGGGAGGTTGACAGGAGGTGGCCGTTGTGACGTCTGCAGCGCCAGTAGTCCGGGGGTTGAGTACTCCGGTAGCCCAGCGAGCCTGCTGCTGCCAGTCGCCCGTGGGTCTGTTGCTCCTGCTGCTGCTTAGCGCGGAGCCAGTTACTCCTGTAGTCCGGAGGTTGAGTGCTCCGGTAGCCACCGTGCGCGCCGTTCCTGTTGCCCGTGTGTCTACGGCTTCACCCGTCGCCTTCTATCTTCACTCCTCTCACAGTCTCTCCTCCTCCTCACTTGCCCTCTGTGACTGCCTCTAGCTTTGCTTATCATTGTGAACTATTGCTCTATGACTGCTTGTTGTGTTGATTGTAACCCACTTTGACTATGGGGGTGTGTCAGAATGTGATGTTTGTGTAGCCTGCAGTGGGGTACTCTGTAGCGAGTACAGCCCGAATTAGGGTTTGCCATATGTACTCTACTGCATGCTAGTGAAAACCTTCTTTTCGTGTTTCTCATTCCTGTCTCTTGATTCTGACAATCATGGCACCAATGCCACTCAAGCCGCAGCGCCCGCCCTGTTTTGATCCAAGCCAACGTGGAGGTCCGACGGTTCAATCGTGGGTCTTCACGATGAACGTCTTCTTCGACGCGAACTACGTCGAGTCGGACGCAGCGAAGATCAGATACGCCGTCTCGCTGCTGAGGGGCCCCGCCATGGACTGGTGGCGAGTCATCGTGACGTCGCCACGCGCCTACGAGCCACCGTCGCAAGAGGAAGGGCCCACGGGCCCAGCTGTCACCTGGAGTTCATTCTGCGAAACCGCCCAATACAGCACGTGGGATGCGTGGTGCGCAGGGCTTCGGGCGCGTTTCGAGCCGATCGCGGCTTCTATTTCGGCGCGTCAGAAACTGCGTACTTGGCGGCAGCTCGGATCGGTCCAAGACTACACGAGCGGTTTTCTCGCATTATGCGAGCAAGTCGGCTATATGCACGAAGCGGAGCGGGTGGACCGTTACGTCGGAGGGCTGAAGCCGGACATCTCGCACGAAATCAGGCTACGCGGACTCTCGAATTTCAACGAGATTCTCGCGCTCGCCGAGAAAATCGACATTTTACGCCGCCCGAGACCGGGGTCCTACTACGGACATCGCCCTCGGGGACCAATTGAGCACGCCACTATACACGCTGTTGCGACGAATGCAGCTGCCGCGCCGTTTAAGGGGCGCTGCTTCGCTTGCAATAGGCCGGGCCATCGTAAGAGTGAGTGCCCAGAGGAGTTGAGGCGCCGCGGAGCAGAGCAGGGGAGGGAGTCTCTAAGGCAGGGAAACGCCAGCAGTCAGTAGGAATCGGGCCAACTACTGACGAGACTGCCTGCTCGCCCAACCACACCGACCCTCACCGAGTCACAGTACCGATTCACGCTATCGATCGGGCTCGGATGAATAAGGAGGGTACAGCGACGGATTGCCCAGTACTGATTCACAGGAAAATACAGGGAGCAGCAGTGAAGATCTTTATCGACGGAGGAGCAAGCCACAGCTTAGTTAATACCGCAACCGCACGGAAGCTGCAACTGACACTTAGTCGGTGTTTACCGGAAATAGATGCACGCTTAGTGGACGGAACGCCGCTGGCCATACGGGAGAAGGTGGAGAGAGTAAAGGTCCGCTGCGGGGGGAACTTTGGGTTTACACAGGAAATGCTCGCGACGACATTGGATGGGCACGACATTTTACTAGGACGTGATTGGCTGCGACGGTATAACCCGCGAATCGACTGGACGACGGGTAGCTGCACTGTGCGAAGTAGCGGTAACTGGGTCGTGCTACCTCGCTGGCAGTCGCCCGAGTCTTCAACGGTCCACGTCAACGCCATCACGATGAAGCGGGCTGTCGCCGCTGGAGCTGACGTGTACGCAGTGGATATAGCATTGGTAGGAGAAGCAGAGAAGCCGAGCGATTTTCAGAAATTGCTGACAGCGGTACCGCCCGAACTGCAGGAGCTGTTGAAACGGTACCCGGGGATTTTTCCCGACGACTTACCGGAGGGACTGCCACCTCAGCGAGCACACGACCACCGCATAGAGTTAGAACCCGGGGCACAACCAACCGTACAGCGACAGTTCCGACTGACACAGCCCGAGCTCGATGAGCTGAGGAAGCAGTTAGACTACCTGCTAGAGAAAAAATTCATCCGACCGAGCTCGTCACCGTTCGCCGCACCGATACTGTTCACACCAAAAAAAGACGGAGGGTTTCGCCTGTGCATCGATTACAGAGCACTGAACCGGGTAACAGTCAAGTCGCGATACCCCATTCCCCGCGCTGACGAACTAATCGACCAGCTGCGAACAGCACGGGTTTTTTCGAAAATAGATTTACGGGGAGGTTACCACCAGATTCGGGTCGAACCATCGGACTGCGTAAAAACAGCATTTAGAACTAGGTATGGGTCATTCGAGTACACCGTGATGCCATTCGGGCTGACTAACGCACCGGCGACTTTTCAGATGACCATGAACGAGGCGTTTAGGCCGCTCTTAGATAAATGCGTGATAGTTTACCTCGACGACATCCTAGTTTACAGTCGGGATAAGCAGCAGCACTTAGCAGGTCTGGAAGCAGTATTTAAGGTTCTAGACGAGCACAGATTACTGACCAAGGGTTCCAAGTGCGAGTTCTTCCAGGATAGGTTATAATTTTTGGGGCACGTTATTTCGGAGGCTGGAGTTGAAATCGACCCAAAGAAGCTGGACATGGTAAAAGCGTGGCACCCCCCGACGAACATCACGGAGCTGCAAAGCCTTTTAGGGTTCGTTAATTATGTGCGTCGGTTCGTCCCCGATATGGCACGGTTAACTGCCCCACTGACGGATTTACTGCGGAAGGGGTCGTGATCGTGATCGCGATACACGACCGCGAAAT